GTGATGGCCAATTGTGACGAATATCAAAGTCCTCGGCCCCTCAACTTCTGTTAATCCCACACCCTTGTCAGCACATCACCCGGCACCCCAGTCCAAGTTGAAGCTGTCGTCTTGGCTATCCACGCACGGCCATGCTTGTCCCGACAGCCAGTGAGCTCCTTGACAGCAGGCTTTTGGCATCACAGCACGACGTACCGTGGCTGACGGCATCTTATCTTCATCATCTGACCTTTTCAGACAGCCAGATAAACGTCCTGATACGACCCTGTATTGCCCTTTGCGCCAGTGGATGGACGCACTTACACACCACAAACAGCCCGTTCCTGGAGTGCATGGCGCGTTGCAACCCACCAGCATCGGAGATGCACAGCTTGGCTTCTCGAAAAAGTTCTGTGTGTAAGTCATCATCTCCTACAATACCCTTTCGCCGTCGAATCATCAGCTAAATGTTTAATCGTTTAAAATATCACACGAGCAAGCAAACCAAAAAGATCGCCATGATGAGACGCGACAACACCACCAAACAGGACGGCAGATGGGCGGCATTCTTCAATATGCTATTTCCGGTCATCACTTAGCAGGTTGTCAGTCCCCTAACCTTGCGATAGTCCCCCAAGCGGTTGTATTCACAAAAACATACCCTATCCCCTCTTTCTCGTTTCGTTTAATCTCGTGTAGGAATCGCCTTCAATGTCACTGTCATCAGCCTGACAGCCGAGACAAATTTGCAGCAACCGCTTCGTCCGCCTTTTTTGGCGAGTTGCAGGGGTCTCCGTCTGGCGTCTGTGGCACATGTCGTTCGGCGCAGCGGACGTTTCGCCTCTGATCAGCCTCGGACGAGCTGCGCCGAGAAAAATATACAGGCGAATTCAAAAAAGCCACCACGCAATCACTCCGCTGTATAGCTACTGGATCGTCGTCAAACACGTTGTACAAGTGAGTGCATCCTGTCGCCAAGCAGGGCGGCCTGCCTTCTCGCTTGTTAGTCACTCAAGCTTGGCCTAAAACGCCCTCTTTTACGAATACGCCCAACACGTGAAGATAAGCCACCGAGCCCTTGGATTCCGCGAGCATGTTCTTGTGAACCTACATGGCAAGAGTTGATTCCGTTAACCCGAAGCCGTCATTATTAACTCGCCGTCAGCTCCGTCTCGGTTCGACTACGGCGTACACTTACACGACGAAGTCGTCACAACGCAGCAAGTTGGCACCACTTAGATCCCATGAGATCCTACGATCCGTTTCCACTCGTCACGAGACCCAAATGTTCCGCCTGCGCTGCAGTAATGCATTACAATGCCTTGACTGTCTGATCTGAATTGAGCTGCTTCAATGCTGGCGACACCTCCCGCATTCAACCCCACAGCGCCACACCGACAGCCACCACGCAACAAGTGCAGAGTTAGGATGACACTATGGTAGGCTGCCTGCGAAATCAAAGCCTTCTTCATACCAGCATGTCAGAAGCAAATGCGGCTTTTCCCCCCAGTTCTTTTGGCCATGGCTATTCTTTGCTGGGCCAATGTTGATGATGATCCACGACGACATAGCTCGTCCAGTGATGTCCTGGCCATGACAGTCAACTCAGCAGGGCTTCCTAACTAGACAAAATCGATGGCTTGCAGTCCTGCCGCCAATCCATGATCTGAAAATTGAGCTTTGACCACTTCGTCTCCATATCAGGCTCAATTATGAGCCCCCTCACAGTTAGCCTTTGTTCTGGAGTATAGCTTTGACGTCTCATCACTAGGGCTGCGCTCGATACTGCGCTAGAGACGCTACCCAGCCGGTGCACTTGCATTGGGGACCTCGTCTGACTTCCATCGACATTGCGGCGACCATTTTCGGAGCTCCATCACCGACACGCTTGAATGAACCTCATGTATTCTCTAGCGCAATGTTGCTGGCTTAAAGCTCTGACAGCCTGGTATGTTAGCTGTTGCATCATCTCCAGCACTCGTTTGGGAATAGCGCGGCTGCAGCATGCAAGTCTCACAGAACGGTTCCTTGCTGGACAGAGCTTGCGCTATTGCCTTGCGCTATTACCAGCTTGCATTTTGCCTTGAAGGCGCATAAAACTGCCCGCCTCCTGCAACCAGCACGCAATTACTGCGCCACAGAACAAGTCAACAGATTTCGATATTCTTCAAGCCAAGTTGCTAACCCATGAGATGGTTTAATTCTCCGGCGTCATCATCCCCAGGGCCAATTTAAGACCCCTGCGATCTAGCCTCTTTAGAGCCAGACCCAGCGGTCTACTTCCGCTCTTCAATCTTTTGCGGGACGTCGCGGGGTTCAACGGACGCCACGGGGCCTAATAGAGGCGGGATTGACACACCAGTGACACCACCCGCACCCTCCTCTTTGGACTTGTTTCCTAATTTCGATACAGGCCCGTGATATGGGGTCTAGCGCAGTGCTAGACAACGCCATGCGCACGCCACGAGCAGGCTTACGCATAGTAAAAGCAGCTGGGTTCCGTCCGCAGAAGTTCCCAGTTCCACAGCGCTCCGAACAGCTGGGTCTGGACTGTGCCCGCCGGACCGATAATCTTCTTCCAAGTCTATGCAGCTTCCCGACGTTGCTAATCGGCTTAGCGGAAAAAGTCATTGCCTTTGAGGCGGTGTCATCAGGCAACTATACGGTTGACTTGTGTTACGTGTCTAGAACGCTCGCCCACGTTTTAGGAGGCAAAATTGGATGAGATTGGCCACTTCACTGCTTCTTGAACTGTGTTGAGTAACCTCGCGACACTTTCAGAAACGGCTCTCTCTCAAACGGACCGAATAGTTCAGCGTCGACCGTACTCGGATCACAGCGTTGAAGAGTGCACTCAACCACTCGAACCTTTCTCACCCTGGAAAAGGACAAAAGGGCTTGTTCGGAAAAGAACGCCGGGACCTGCAGGCATTTGTGTTCTAGACACATGCAAGCAGGACCCGCGCGAATCCTCCAAAAAAATTAAATGGCCCTGTCTGAGACAGACAGTCGGGTCAGGTTGGTTGAGTTGGCCCGTCGCCCGCCCAGTTGTACTTTCCAAATAGTGTAAGTGGTCAGCGGGTTACGCGTAATGTTGGCGATGATCGGGCCTGTTCAAGGACCCTAGTCTGTCTAGGTGGAGAATGACATTGGAAGCAAAATTGCGACGCTCGCGGTGTCTCGCAATTGTGTTTATGACGTAAATGCAGATCACTATGACGGTCTTTCAAAGTAGATACAGGGTCGAAGATTCGACGCATGCTCAATTTCAAGATGGCTAAATACTCCCCGTTGGCGAGTAATATGGCAGTCGTTGACGGTAGCCACAGACAAAAGTCTCGCCAATGTAAAGACCTATATCAGATACAGACACCACAGATCAAAATCAGCTTGTTTTTGATATAGAATTGCAATACTATCACTCTGTCGTTGCGTGAACTGTGCGCATTGTTCGGAGCAGAAGTACAAGAAGAGATGCTCCGAAAAGGTTCCAGTGCTTGTATTAAAGATTATATATATAAATAAAATCAATTGTATATAATAAAAAGCAAAGACTTAATCTTCTCTTAATATATTAATTCTAGAGTAGGTTATCCTCGCTTAGCGACTGCATCGCTGCTAGGATATTCGCTACCTTGTCCCTGATCTCGCTACTGATGTCAGCATCTACACACTCTCGTTTCTGTGGTGAAAACCCGCCCAAGGCGACTCCTGGAGGTGTTTTGATGCGTCAGAGTTCTGATCCCGCGGGAAAAGACAGATTCGCTCACTTCCTGTGATTTCTTTGGTTGCATGCCTGACTGCGGACCTCTTTCATTGACTGTAGCAACGTCTACCCACGGCGTTGTAGTCGACTGCCCGCCATCGCCCTAGCGGCATCTTTAAGGGGAAATTGGTCAGGGCAACCTTGCAAATAACTTCTTCTCTCCACCGTCATATGTTCAGATATACATTAGTTGACTTGTCCAAAGTGTATATAGATGTAGTATCTTTAGTGCAGTAGCCTTCGAAGCAGTAGTCATATACGTGGTAGTCCTTGACGTGGCGATCTTTAGCGTTGTAGTCTTTAGCGTGGCAATCTTTTACGTAATAGTCTTCAAAGTAGTAGTCATGGACGTGGTAGTCTTTAACGTGGCACTCTTTGGCGTAGCAGTCTTTAATGTGGAAATCTCTAACGTATTAGTCTTTAAAGTAGTAGACGTAGACGTGCTAGTCTTTGATGTGGCAATCTTTGACGTTATAATGTTCGAAGTAGTAGTCGTAGACGTGATAGTCTCTAACGTGGCAGTCCTTAGTATAGTAGTCTTGGAAGCAGCAGTCGTGAACACAGTGGTTCAAGACTTGGTCGTCCTCGACGTATTAGTCTAACCTCGTATATATCCTAAATATTATAAACAGCCCTTGAGACAGACAGCTAGTGAGACAGACAGCAAGTGAGATGAACAGCAAGTGTCACCCGAAGCCCCTAGCGTACGGCAACCAATACGGATCAAAATGCAAATTCTTATTCCACCTGGACAAGTGTCTATACAGGTCATGACTGCGAAACCTGTTTACATCCCAGTGTAGTTTCGTAGCATTACAACTCAAGCCCCAGGAAGCCTCTGGGTACACATTTTCAACCTACATTGTCGTCTCTAACAGGCCTACTTGCCGGTTAATTCTCTAAGTCTTTAGCATCCTATCGTCAGTAGCTGAACCACGGTCTGCCACTCTTAACGCTGCGTCTCACCAGTTTAATTTGCCATAACCTGTCACGTAGCAGTGGATTACCTTTATCATGGGATACTTCGCTTCGGCAAACTGCTGCTCTAGAGTAACATAAGACTGACTCCGTAGTAGAAAGTGCCAATTCTGCTCTAACGTCACTTCTCTTCACTAACTATAAAGCTACTACACTGCTCTCTATACGTTTCCATTCTTTTCCTTGTAACTTATCTCTATCATTCTTTCAAGTGAACAATTATTACCAAAATCATCTATTACAATCTTCTGTGTGGAGCCAATATAACGCCTTTCTAATGGAAAATATCTCCTCCGTCTTTGACGCTTTCGTACGTCTTGTCGAATATGATAGCCGCGACGATGCGTCTGCCAGGACCACTCTGGCTGCCTCAAGTTATAGACCTTGGGTGTGTAATGCAGCCGGCTCCTGCGAACTAGCTGATGAAGCTCATCCGATGGGCTTATGCCTAGGTCGGCTCTACGACTCGGCCGTGTCCGACCTCACTGCGTTTGCGTTTGTGGATCGGGTGGCAAAGCTGCTGCCAGCTGACCCGACCAGGGCGCCAAAGGGGTTGGCTCAATTGATCGAGTCCGCAGCGCTCCGCTCCTGCTACTCCTCTGACTCGGCACACGCTGCCGAGCGCATTGACCGTACCGTTATGAATGCTCGAACTCCCAACTTCGCAGCAGCTTCTACAGCACTGATGCACGACTGTGGCAGCCAAAGTTCTGCCAACGGGCTATGCGTCAAGGACACAGCGCCGCTACGAGCCAGCCTTTGGTTGGCTGGCAAGCACGTGCCACCACAATCTACCGCGGCCTTTGATACCTCCATGTGGTCCGCCAGCTGGTACATGATGGTCAGTGGCGGCGTGCTGACTTGGGATCAATGCTTCACAGGAATGGTTGTGGTGATACCTGGATGGATGACAGAAACCATGAACTCGCCAGACACGGACTCTACCCACACGCCAAGCTTTGTCGAGGCACTCACCACAGCGTATGGGGCAATTGGTAGACAAGAAGCTACCAGTGCGATAGCCGGCATAGCGTTAATGGAGACACCTCAGGCTGCCCGGGTCAGGTTCCGGCCAACGAATAGCAAGGGTATCGCAGGCCCCTCACAGTGCCTACCAGACGATTACGCGCGCTCCCGGTGGGTGGATGGGATGATGTTATCAGCTTGCAAGTTCGTGGATGTGTGCAAGCCTGCATCTTTCGCCCCGAATGTCTGCGATGACCCCATACTGGCTTCCGCCGTAGAGCTCGGCTACTATTATGATGATGTCTGCGACTCGATCCATGACCTTCACCATGGCGAAACCCACAACTACGTCATCCTAGCCAGGGCTGCTGGAAGTAGTTATACCTTCACCCAACACGCCAAGGCTTGTATGGATATCACAGATCGTGCCTGCATTTCGGGTCTCTCGAAACCTGCCGCATGCTGGGCTCTCGCCAACTGTGTATACTTCGCTACCTGGACCCGCTACCGATGTGTCCATCGCGCGAGTCAGCTGAGACTCGCTGCTCCTGACAATGGCTGTTCGATACTGGCTTCAGTCCGGGATGCTCTCCTCACAGATCTCCCGTCGTATCACGATAATTCAGATGCCTGGCTCTCGCGTGTCTTGCACACACCATCAGTCAGGGCAGGTGTCCAGGAGCCAAATTTCGGCTCTGGGCTTGAGTCTTACTACGCAAGACTCGCCGCGCGCTTCGGCTGCAGTTCTACCAGCGAGATATCCAAAGCTATCCAAACGATGGGAGCTGACAATGTCATCGAAGGCCTGCTCATTGGACCCCGCGCGGTGCTCCGACTGGCAGAGGCGGTAGGCTTGCCCTCACTGCGGAACATCTTGGGGCGAGTTGATCGTGGCTACGGGCAGGTCCACCGGCTTTTGCAACGGTTTGCGAGTCTATTAGAACTCGTAGAGCAAGCCAAGTGCTCCGACTCCGCCGTCCTGGAGTTGGCTTATTCTGCGCCGATCATGCAGCGTGAGGCCGAAAAGCTTCGGCCGGGACTTGGCGTGGCGTTCGCAGGTATAGCGTCAGCCATGATTGAACTTCATACAGGATCGTACTACTTAGTTCTAGCAGCATACGCAGACGGTATCTTGACTTCCGCCACCGACTAAGCTAACTGACTATTATTCTGGCGGGAGGATTGTGTCACGCTTATCCTGGCACGGGCGCTGTCAAGAATGTAGCTAGTATAGTTAGACAGTTCCTCGATTAATTTATTTATAACCTTCCTATACTAACAGTATCTCATCAACCACTATCCTAGGAGTTGAGAGTTTAGTTGTGCTCACGGAGTATTACATACATATACGGCTACAGAGGTCTTGAATGTAGCTGCATGTCTTGCCACGTCTGCACGCCGGGAAGTTCCTTCCGAACAGCATGTCAAAGCGCAACACACCAATATGGCGGCCCCGAGCCAAGACAACTCTACTTTTCTGCGCAATATCATTAAATATCGCCAGATTTGGTTGCATACCATGGCAGTGCCATGATAACGGGTAGATGAAGTTTCTTGGGGGGTGGCCACGCAAATGCCGCAGGAGTCAGAAAAAAAGCTACTCAAACACGTTTCCAGAAAAAGTAAATGCGTTAACAAGAGGATCTGCATGATTGACTGCGTAAAGCAATGTAGATCATTCTAATCTACGTACCCATTTGACAGGGCAGGCTATCTCCCTTGCCCCTCAACTTGTGTAAACTATTTAACACTTGGCCCAGCGGCCGAGAGCACGGACCAAAAAGCCCCTGCAGACAAGGAGAAAAAAAAAAGACAAGCACATTTGCCAAGCCAGGGCTAATTCTTTTAAATTGGGGCGCGCGCTCCTCTCTATTCGTAGAGACTCAGTAATAACGTGGGGATTCCCTTGTACTTTTCTACACCCACACCCTTTTCTTATTCTTTCTTTCTTTTGGGGAAACATGTTTCAGTGCAAAAGAAAAATACTATTTCGAACATGGCAGCATCATCACCGTACGATTGCTAGAGCCGTTGGGGGCCAAGAACATATCCCAAACCCTTTTTCCCATTATGCAAGGGCATCTTGCACGGCGCTCCCTTGATCAGATAGTTACTCCACCACCGGCGCAAGCCACAGCCATCAAAATGTATAGCCTAGGGAGCAAGGGAGTTACATAGGAGTGCAGCAAGTTCTAATCCAGAAACGTTCCTCTTTTGCCTTTTTGCATCGCGCTGTGAGCTTCTGACGAGTACAATACCTTGTTGGTGGATATGAACCTTGAGAATTAATGGGCAGGCAGGAAGCAGAGAACTCTCGGCAACTTCGTGCCAAGAGCTCTTTGCACACTCGACGGTGGGCAATGATACCATGACCTCGCTTATTATCTCCTCGTCTGGTAGGCAGTGGTCCAAGTTCCGAATCTCGTTGCCATCAATTTCAAAGTGGCTGGATCTTTCTGGCAACTGCAAGCGGGGTCGTAGAATAATACGTCGAACTTACGAACATAATCACCGAGGGAAGAGTCACCATCTTCAAGCCAATACGTCACGTATGGATAGTTTTCCCATGATGGGCGTCCAAGTCAATAGCTGTGCATCCAAGGTCAAGGAGCTTACAGCGTGTGGCCGCCGCCCGGCGCGTTGGCATTTCGGTAGCCCCTGGAGGAAAGCAGCGCCGGGCTTGTCACCATGTTCTCACATTACGGTCACCTATCCGTACACCGGACGAATATTACTAGGGCTGGGACAGCTGCGACTTGTTCGCATCTCGGCGTGACAATGGCCAACGTTATACTCTATGCGGTACAAGTCCAAAGTGCTCCTAGTCGTCATTTGCTCTTGCGTACGACTTGACCTTTCTGTTGCAGACTCGGTGTGTTTCAATTGACGCATTATCTGGTCAGAAATCTACGTCAGCAAGGTCGCATCGCTGACGTCGCTGCGCATGATAGAGATCGAGGTCGTCATGAAGAGCATTGCGGAGAGGTGCCCTCAACCCACTCCGGGAAAAAAAAAGAAGAGTCAAGCTGTGGCAAATTCATTGATGCGCGAATGGCCCTGGGCTTTGCTTCAACGGCCGCCGCCTTTACTCGTATAATCTGGGCAGACGCTGGAAGATGATGAGCGCAAATCTGTGAGCAATATGCACATCACTCAGCATGTACCAGAGGGAGGTCCCGCCGTATTCCCGCCGCGTGTCGGCATATCAATGCCAGAACGGCACATATAGAGCACAGGAACAGACTCGCCGCCAAGTTGGACATTGTCCCAGCCCCAGCGGGTTGGACTTGGAGGGACAGTTGCCCTGTGCTTTTTCTTCTGATTTCGACATTCTCCGCTGACGCTTGCCCAGCCCTGTCTCGCATCCCGCCGCACACGGTCCTCTATTGCAGACCCCTCTCCTTCCTGCCATCCACCTGGGGGACAAAACAGACCGCCGATGAGCCTCAACACCTGCCATGCGGACCGTCACTCACCTCACTAAACTAGGGGTTTAAAATTATGAGATAAATACTAATAAATTTCTTAGCTACTAAAGTGTAGATATATTAGCCTGAAAGTTACATCTCAGATTATATACTAAGATGATTGCTGCTAGACGAAGTGAGCCTTCTGGGCTCGATGCGCGGTCTGTTTTGTCCCCCGCGGGCCATCCAACGATACCTAGCGTCAGGAACTCAGGGGTTGCATCCCAGGCCCAAATGTGGCTTGACATGGACTCGGCCGGGGGGAGGGGTGTGGAATTGCGCAACGTTGAGTCAGTGGGGGTGCCGAGGCTATTGAATTTTGGCCAACTGAAGATCATTGACATGTCTGCAAGCATTTGACAAATTCTTCGAAAGAAGCTGAATTCGTTGGGGTTGGTCTTGTGTCCGCTCGGTTATTCGTATTGAAGGCTGAGGTGCAAAGCAAAGCGCAACAGGCAGCTTTTTTTATGCGGTTATCCAGAAGTCGCAGCAGCTACGTTAGTGGATATTGCCTGCCCAAGCACTCCGACCACCCGCAGCAAATATAGAAAACTTAATTTGGTTATAATCATCTTTACCTCGTATTTTTTGCTACTTTAAACTTTTCTTCACTAAAAGGCGTTCCCCATGATAAACAGCATCGTCCCCGAGCACACGGGAAAGGCGTCCCGCACCGCCCGGCCAAAAGCTAAATTCGTATCCTCAATGGCAGGACTAGCTTGTTTCAAGCCTTGCCCTCGAGTCCTCGACCTTGATGATCTTCCTCCCTCCACTGAGAAATTTATGCTCGGCTGATCCGCCAAGAGGTTGAATCCGTACCCGTGGTGATCTGATGCTTCATACCTAGCTATTTTGGTCCATGTCGTGTATTGCCGAGGAGCCGTGTGAGACGGGTGCATTCAAGGCGCTCTCGCCATCTGTGTGATACGTGATACAGGGTAGGCAGCTTTCGGGTCAGGAAAGCATTGGTCATGACGCTTCCGACCTGCGCACTCGGACGGGACACATTCGAGCATGTGTTTTGTAAACGTCGAGGTTCCATCAAATGTTGCTGTCAAGTCGCACGAATATTACATTGATTATTGAGAACCGGTGAAGAGCTGCAGTTGACGACGAGTTACACACGATGACTGGGTGCCCCACCTCCATGATGGACTTATCCAACGTCAACCGTCGTCTATCAGAAGCATCAACAGCAGTCCTCTTCAGCACCAGCTAGCAAGAGGTCAATCAGAATCATAGAGGTCAAATTGTCATCTACAGAAACATCGAAACCGCGGTTTGAACGACTTTGGGACCTCTTCGAGTCATAACGAAAACTCGCGAAAAAAATCTCATCTTCGATATCCTGCCGCAATCATGGCGGTGCCGTTGGTATCAGCGCCTCAAATCGCACGCGATTCTCACCTTCCAGCGCCCTCCACCATCAAAGTCAAGAACCTGCACGCCACGATACAGGGCCCGCAGGACGCATGGGGCCGACCTGACCGGCCGCAGCCCATTGCCATCACGGCCGCCGTGTCCCTCGACGCGCCGTTCAACGCATCTTCGGCCAGCGATACCGTCGCCGCGGATACCGTCCACTACGGGCTCCTCAGCAAGGCCATTCTGTCCATCCTCGCCGCGGCCGCGCCCGTCAAGAGCCTGCGACACCTGCTGGACACGACCTGGGCGCAGATGACGGGCGCGGACTCGCGCGGGCAGGACGTCGAGGCGGACGAATCGTCACTGCTGCAGGGACAGGAGAGACAGCAGCAGCAGCAGCAGCAGCAGCAGCAGCCACCGCCGCCGCCGTTTCTGCACTTTGCGCAGCTACGGGCGCTGGAGATTACGCTGCATCTGCCAAAGGCGACGCTGCTTGGGGATGGCGTCAGCTTGACGGTGACGGGCGGCTTTGAGCTGGTCGCGGCAGATGGCGGCAGCGGACGGTTGAAACCGGTCATGCGTCAGGGCGCAGTCTCACTCAAAATTCACAGGCTCCGAGTTCCGACCCTGATTGGCGTGAATAGTAATGAGAGACTGGCGAAGCAGGTTGTGGTTGCGAGCGTGGAGATTGATAGGCTGGAAGACGATGCGGATGTTTACCCTGAACTGGAGCAGGTCGTGGTGACGGTAAGTCGATTGCAATATAGTGCCTCGGACCGATTCTCGAGGGCATACTTTCCTAACACTGCTGCTAGGTCATGTCGGAGTCTTCGTACGAGACGCTTGAGGCTCTGGGTACTCAGATGACAGTGGTGATTGCCGCGCACCTGCATCGAAAGCACACGCCGCCTCGTGATGGCGCAGGTTGGAACATTAACATTTCGTTGGAGAAGCCAATTGCGGTGCCACTGGCAGACGCGGCATGCGTCGAGATGAGCACAAATACGGTCAACGTACCGATATGAGGATACAAAGAATCTTTTTCGAATAAAATGGGTATTTTTTACATCTAAAATAAGGATATGGCCTCTGGAGGCATTCTGAATATAAATTGAAAAGATGGCATACAGCGGGCAAACTATAAAAACAATAAGAAAACGCCTGAAGCCTGTCCAAGATATGGAAAAAGAACAAAATCTCGCTGTCTATGGTTTTCATGTCACATAAATACCGCAAAAAATCAAGTTGAAAGAAAAAAGGATTCGCCCCTTGAAGAGCACATGCACGCAATGCTACGAGCAAAATAAACGACACCTGGTCTTTGTAATCGGAATCTTCGCGCTATACAGTGAGTTTGTTGCACTGGGGAATGTCGCCGTTGGTCACCTCACGTATAAAGTCGGGATCAGGGTCGAAGAGCATGACGTGAAAGTGCTCGACGGCATGGATGGACTTGAGAGCGGCCCAATTCTTGAACCACATGACCTGTCCGGGGTCAGTACACATTGCGCACTCACAAGAGAACTGCGCAAAGATGGCGGCAAGATGCACAGCACAAGATGCAGAGAAAGGAGCAACAAGTCAAGGGAAGGAGGGGGTAAGGGGATGTGGCAGGCGACTTACATGATCCTTGGGCATCTTGGAGCGAAACGTCCTTGTAACATAGTCGTCAATCTCTGCGCGCGCCGTGTCGGTGAGGTCGCCGGTCCCCGGGTTGGCGACTAATTCAAACTTTGTCCAGACGACGAGGTGAATGATGCGCGAGTCGAGCCCGTACGGCCAGTCATTATAGAGGACCTTGTAGTCGTCCGGGTACTCAAACGGCCTGCCGCGGGGACGCACCGGCGCGGTCCAGCGCAGGCGCTCGTTGAGCACAAAGGCGGCAATGGTGCCGTGGCGCTGCGCGGTGAGATAGGAAAACTTCTTGTAGCGGCGCAGCTGCGAGGGCACGCGCTGGAAGCGCTCGAGGCGGTTGGTGGTGACGATGCGGGCGACCTCGGCCCAGGGCAGGATCTCGTAGGCCGAGTCGGGCGTCGACACGCCGGCGAGGTCCTTGGGGTTGAGGCCGCGCAGGAACGCGGGGCAGTCGTCGGTGCGCTCCCGCTCCGGGACGTTGACGTGCCAGTAGGGAACGACGTCGAGGGAGCCCATGGTTTGCTGTGGTGTGGTTGGTGAAGGGGATTCGTGGAATGTGGTGTTGCTTTTTTTTATTTCTTTTTTTTTTGTTTCTTTTTCGTCGCGATTTTTTGTTTCTTTTTCGTTATTCCAGGGAAACGTCCGAGAATCTCGATCCGATTGTTCTTGTCGAAAGGTGCGCAACAGATTTTATAACACAGTGTAGGTTTCAAAGCGTAATGGCGGAGGCGCCGGCGTGACGGGACTGCCTATTTCGTAGATGGCCAACAGGCGAAGCGGGTTAGCTTTGGGGATTGGGAGGGCAAAGATGGCCAGCAGCAATTCTTATTCGAAAAAAAAAGATGATGAAAGGAGAGAGAGAGTTTTAGTACTGTTTAAATGAAAAAGAAGGAGGGAAAAGAAGAGGCAAAAAGCCAGAGTTGGGAGTCAGGTCCATCTTATCCAGTGTCTAGGTCCACGATGTAAAAGGCAAAATGCTTACTGGTCAGGCGGGGTCGCAGCATGCCTTACAAAATGGGCATAACACAGTGCGTTGCAATGGATGGTGAAATGCTGCGATGGGGTCGAGTCATGATTGCTGATTCCCATTTGCGCCGGCCGCAAGACCAAACAAAAGTCTGTTTCGCAGTTAACTAATGAGGTCGGCGGGCGGCGCTCCATGGGCCGGAGGTGCGGAGCCAAAGGCCGGGCGGATGCAACGTTGTGGTCAGGCTGGGGAAGCTCTGGAATGGATGGACAGATGGATGGATGGTGTGGGGGGCGAAATATGGCAAGACGATGGCGAAAAAGATTGGCCGTGGACTAACCTAGTTGGAAACTAATAAGCTCTGGTTTGCACCGCAAAAGCGTTTGTACTGACGCGATTGAGAGGAATGGTTCAAGTGCCTTTCCGTCTCGCTGCGTAGGTAGGTTCCGGCGGCCGGCCGGGCCCCAAGGGGAAGGAGGCAGGATGGTGTCATGAAAGGCAACGGGAACCCTTTTGGGGGGCGTTTTCGAGATAGTTTTCGGGGTTCGTCAGTCGAAACTGTATTACAGCGCCGCACCACGCCAGTCTCGACCTGCATCAGTGGCGGCATTGGTTCAAGACAAGTCACAGGCTGATTAGCATCATGTATATCTGGTCGCTTATTATGACACCACCAATGGTCATGTGTCCATGGGGTAGCTTGCTCGACTTTTTCTGCCAGCAAACGTGGTCACTCTCACAGCAGGTCCGTAGAGCTCTTCAGGCTTGCCTCGGAGTTGCCTATTTAGTGCAGAGACTTTTACCTGCAAGTTGATTAGAATTGCGTTGGCACGCAGGCGCGGGCATGTTTGGGCAAGACAGGCGGCTTTCACGCACGCAAATGGCGTTTTTGTTGGCCAATGTCAGACCCACGTGTAAGGCAGGCAAAGAGCCGACTCGCTGGGTAATTTTGGGGAGTAATAATACAAGAGCGCTTTTTGATGAGAAGTGTCTTTGGTCAAAGGGGTGGTTGATGATTGAATAGTGACGTTTTTCTGTGGTACGTGGAACAGACCGCTCAACAAGGTTGGCATTTTGATTGTCGCGAAAGAGTTTTTCGTCTAGACAAAGAAAAAAAAACCTCTATTCAACTCCCCAACGTGAGCTATCGTGCATGGCTAGCGCCTGTGTTATCGCATACTGCTAGTCTTGGCAGATGCCCATTATCAGGCACGGATCTTGAAGGAGCGTTTTCAAGAGCTGCTGTGGTGGGCTCGACGAGTGGCTGCAAATGGTTGGGACGACTGGCAGACGAGGGATCTACGCGCCGTACAAGGAAAATCGGGATGAATTTGAAAATGATTGGAATCAAGATTGGTACTTGGTGGCTGGATAGAGATGGTGAAGCAAGTGCTGAGCATGTCCAGCTGAATACCCTGGTAAATTTTCGTAGAGGCTGGACCTAGACGACGACAAACCAGTCTATCTTGCCGCAGGAGAAGCCTGAGAATGATTAGGTTGGAAAGAGTTTTCTAGATGGCGGCCAAAGGCAAAGCTGATAATCTAAATTGGTTAGCATGAACGGCCATCGACAGGCTACAGCGCATCTAGCGCCGGCCTACTCCGCTACTGCAGCGGGGAGAACAATGCGCTGTTTTCTTCCAAAACTGAAATGGCTTAATTGTTTTGCAAGGCTAACCATGCCGTCAGGTAGTTATTAGATATCACTTTGACGAAAGAATTTTTCGTGCCTTGATTCTGCAAAGCTTGCTGCAAGCCACCCATTCATTGTCTTTAGCTTGTGCTCAACGTTGCGCCCCAAGGTTGGCAAAGGGCAACAATTCTTCTGTTGGGGATGACGAGGCAATTGAAGCCGATATTGCCCATCTTCGAGATGCAAACCCCTTCTTACTATCATGCCTAATCAAATAGGCCAGCCGGGCAGTGCAGACATGGCATGTAACTGTAATTAGAAGTCGGGTTATTATTGGAAAATTTGACAAGGTATCCTGTGGCAGGGGGTGATATTGGCTGCTGATTGATATTCGTTGTAGCCAGCTCTCAGCCTCTCAATGATGAAGCAGCTCGCAATGGTAAATGGTGTAACGCCGTTACTAGTAAACGCATATCGCCACCACCAAAGTCCAATTCAGCCCTCGTTTTCCCCGCCCTGCACACGCAACATCCCCTCTCTTCAAATACTCGCATTTAAATATTTAACTGCAACATCTTCCCCCTTTATATCCTCTACCCGCGCCTCGTAAATCAAAACAAAAAAACCAGGGCTACGCTGCCGCTTCATTTGCTGCTAACAGGGGAAGCTCCAACCACCCCGCTGCCCTCATCGAACTAGCCCCGCCTCTGGTCGCCCCTTTCGTTGCTCTTGTTTCTTTGCCATTACAACCTCGTTCATCTTTGTTTCTTATTTCAACCAACCTTGCTGCCGCCTGCGCTCGACTCTCCCTCCTCCTCTCTTTTGCTTTCTCCTCCATCGATTTGCACCGGACCTCGCTCCTCGACCGAATCGATCCCGTTTACACACTGTCGTACTATCAACGCTTCTCCATCATGGCGGAAGCTATCAAGAGTGCTCTCCCCTCCCACCTCCGTCCCACCACCGGCAAGGATGAGGAGAACAATGGCTTCGAGAAGCGCCACCACGGCAAGACTCGCAGCCACATGGTAAGTTGTCCTCCTCCGTGATTCACAACCCCCCGAGTCTCCTTGTCACTGCACCCGCCGCTCTGGCGCCGTCGCTAGCTTGCCGACCGCTGCCCTAGCCGCCGGTAGCCTCACTGGCCAAATGACGGCACTCTTTTTGATGTCGCACCTCGATGTCACTGGAGGGCAGTCCTTGGCTCACACGAGAGCAAGCTGCGCCACCTCTGTCGTATCCCTTTTATCTATGCCTCTTCGCTCGCTCGCTCGTCTCCATATCACTCGCAGTAATCTTGAATCATGGAACAACAAGTAACCAAGCTTTCTCAGGCCTTCGAGAACACCTCTACCAACGTTGCCGCTGCCCAGATGCGCAATGCCCTCACAAACCTCGCCGAGACGGTCGAGGACCCCAAACAAAAGAAGGTAGTGTTCAATTTGTTCCTGCATCCTCGAGTAATCGCCCTGTGCTGATCAGCCTCAGCTCTTCGAGACTGAGATGGACAATTTCTTTGCCCTCTTTCGCCGCTACCTAAACGACAAGGCCAAGGGTAACGCTGTGTAAGTAACACCTTGGCGTTTTCCAACCCCCCATCTCGAATCTAACAATGTCTAGTGATTGGGAACGCATCCGCCCCCCTGCCGCTGGCCAGGTTGTCGACTATGAGGACCTCGCCAACTCCGAGTCGGTCCAATTCCTCAATAAGCTTGCTGTCCTCAAGCTCAATGGTGGTCTCGGTACCTCGATGGGCTGTGTAGGTCCCAAGTCCGTCATCGAGGTTCGTGATGGCATGTCCTTCCTTGACCTGTCCGTCCGTCAGATCGAGTACCTTAACCGCACATACGATGTCAACGTTCCCTTTCTCCTCATGAACTCATTCAACACCAACGACGATACCGCGGCCATTATCAAAAAGTACGAGGGCCACAATGTCGATATCCTCACATTCAACCAGTCTCGCTACCCCAGAATTTTCAAGGACTCTCAGCTCCCTGTCCCTAGCAACTACAACTCGTCCATTAGCGAGTGGTACCCACCGGGCCACGGTGACGTCTTTGAATCTCTGTACAACTCTGGAATTCTCGACCAGCTTCTCGAGCGCGGTATCGAAATCATCTTCCTCTCCAATGTTGACAATCTGGGTGCTGTTGTTGACCTGCGCATCCTCCAGCACATGATGGAGACCAAGGCTGAGTACATTATGGAACTCACCAACAAGACAAAGGCCGACGTCAAGGGTGGTACCATTATCGACTATGAGGGCTCCGTCCGTCTGCTTGAAATCGCCCAGGTCCCCAAGGAGCACGTAAACGACTTCAAGTCCATCAAGAAGTTCAAGTACTTCAACACCAACAACATCTGGCTCAACCTCCGTGCCATCAAGCGCGTTGTCGAAAACGACGAGCTCGAGATGGAGATTATCCCCAACGCCAAGACCATTCCCGGCGACAAGAAGGGCGAGTCTGATATCTCCATTATGCAGCTCGAGACTGCTGTCGGTGCCGCCATTCGCCACTTCAACAATGCTCACGGTGTCAATGTCCCCCGTCGCCGCTTCCTTCCTGTCAAGACGTGCTCCGACCTTATGCTGGTCAAGTCGGATCTTTACACTCTCAAGCACGGCCAGCTTCAGATGAGCGCCAACCGCTTTGGCGACGCTCCTCTTATCAAGCTAGGCAGTGACTTCAAGAAGGTGTCAGATTTCCAAAAGCATATTCCTTCCATCCCCAAGGTCCTCGAGCTGGATCACCTCACAATTACTGGTGCTGTGAACCTGGGCCGTGGTGTCACCCTCAAGGGCACCGTCATCATTGTCGCCACCGAGGGCAGCACCATTGATATCCCTCCTGGCTCCATTCTCGAGAACGTTGTCGTCCAGGGTTCGCTCCGCTTACTCGAGCATTAAGCGTTTGCTGATTGTTTTGGCTTCACAAAGGAAAAAAAAATAAGGAAGCATGTCTTGATAGTATTAGGCGGGAGCTTGCCTGCTCAACGCGCGATGCCGAGACTGTAACTCATTTACAAATTCAATGTTAGCTTATGTCAGCGTTGGCAGATGGATTGAACTAGGTGAAGGCATGCCATCATTTAGTGATGCTGAGGAGATGATTCTATTTCTCATAAGCCGGGTGATTTGCGAGACGAGACTCGAGCACAGTACTGTATTTAATATGTCCATGATACGAATGGTACGCTATTTGTTGTATCCAATGAAGGTCTCTGTCGCGCCAAGTTGTCGATGAAGCAAGCTATTTCGAGCCGGCATGTGCAGCGGCAGTTGAGCTCTGAATAAAAGCTCTTACCACGGCCGTTGTCAAAGCGTGCGTCCGCACTGATTGCCGTCTGAATAATGTGCTACGGACACAGCGTCGCAGACTTCCCCTGCCTGCTTTGAAACGTTTATTGCACATCTCTTGCAACAAGGGAAATTCGACACTGTTCCAGAGCAGCCAGAGCAGTAGGAAAAGTACCTATTGATAGGCGCCGACTCGTGGGCGCTCTACTCTGTAGGTACAGCCCCCTTTAGTTGCGTTTTAGTGGCCTCCCACCTCCCTCTGCAGATGCAGCATGCGGGTGGCCAAGACAATTGGAGTCATGTTCATCATATCTCTGATTAGCTGACCACCGCTTGCTGCCTCACCTTTGACCTTTATTATCCCCTTCTTCTTCTTTCTCTTCTTCGCTTTAATCATCGCCCTTCTTCATTACCCGTCTTTCGGATTATTTAGCTGCTTTCTTACGCCAAACGTCCAAGCGGGCACAACGCAACAAGCAAGGATCAGAGGGATCTGCAGCCCGCCAAGAGACGTCAACCCGCGCATCCCCCTTAGATAACCGCACGAAAAGTGAACAATCACCATGATGCACCAGTTGCTTGTCCGGCGGCCGCTGTGGACCATTGTGGCAATTTTTCTCGCACTCGTCTTCTTCTTCACATGGACCAGCAACGCGCGTCTGGGCAGCCCCAGCCTTGCGCGCCGCGGTACCGACGCGGGGCTCGACAGCATCAATAATGCGACACTAGGGGTAGGGACACACTTTGCGCATTGAAGCAGCCTGATCTTCATATTGATACATAGACTACGCACAGTTTGAAAAGATTTTCGTCGTGGGCTTGCCTGAAAGAACCGATCGTCGCGACGGTTTCAGGCTTCAGGCGGACCTGAGCAATCTCAGAATCGAATTCATCGACGGCGTCAAGGGCGATCAGATTGCGAACAAGGCAATTCCTGTGGACGAACAAGGCATCAAAATCAAGCCGGCTGAATTGGGCTGCTGGCGAGGCCACATGAACGCCATTGGCGAGTAAGTAACGAACTTTGGCCGCTCAAGCGGCTGTCTGCCCGGGACAGATTGCTGACCAGGCGCAAAGGATGATTCGCCAGAACCTGTCTTCTGTACTCATCCTCGAGGATGACGCCGATTGGGACGTCCGCATCCACCAACAGCTCCGCGATTTTGCGCTGTCGACGCGCGCTCTTATCCAGCCACTTGCGGGCTCGTCGCCCAGCTCGCCGTCCTACGCCGATCCCACATTCCTTGACCCTACCCAGCCCGATCCCCGCGAGATTTCCTTTGATAGCCTTCCAAATACCGCTCTCCCACACAAATCACCCTACGGCGACGACTGGGACCTCCTCTGGGTCGGCAATTGCGGTCTGCACTTTCCTTTTCCAAAGTCCACGACCATTCCCAAGGGACGCGTCATACACCGTGGCGATGAGACGGTGGCGCCAAAGAAAAACCTATGGTCCATTAACAGACCGTTTACGTTGCTGGAAGAATACCCAGCGCACACGCGCGCCGTCTCGCACGCGCAAGAGGGCGTCTGTACGCTGGGATATGCGCTAAGCCACCGCGGCGCGCGGCGCATCATGCAGGAAATTGCGCTCAAGCCTGTGACGGATGCCTACGACATTCTGCTGCGCTTCTTCTGCGAGGGCACGCGCGGCAGGAAGAAGGGACTGTGCCTTGCGCCGCAACCACCTTACTTCCACCATCATAGGCCTGCTGGGCCAATGTCTGCCATGAGCGACATTGGCGATCATGAGGGCGACTTTAGAAAGGACCCCATGACCGACATGGTCCGCTGGAGTGTGCGATTGAACTCTGATCGAATCATTGATGGGCGCACGGATTTTGTCGAGCAGTATCCCGATGAACTGTGATGGGCGAGCGCTGCGCATTCTCGAGATACTTTTTCTTGAAGTTATTTTTCTTAAAACTAATCTTTGTTCTCAAGTCATTGTATAATTCGGGTGGCTTGGGTTGTACATAGTATATCAGCATGATTTTGGCGTGTTGCTGCTGTCAATGTCGAAATCGTTTGCATATGGTTTCTCGATAGGCCTTGGCTGCATTCAGTCGTGGTTGGGACAGAAATCGAATATGTCTTTTTTCTTTGACGAAGCACTCTTGGCTTATCACCTTCAACCAATGGTCCAACTCGGAGAACTGAGTTCAGGAACTGGCTTCAGCTGCGTTGCTTGCCCAGGCGGCGAATGGGGCAGAGCATCGAAAGAGGAAACCGAGCCAATCTCTTGATCAGCGGTGAAGCAACATTGCGCTTGTCTGCAGCACATCTGGCTCTGCGCCTCGTGGCTGTTTGACTCATGTGACGGGAATTGTCAGCATTTTGATCATCGTTGGCGCATGGTGGGCTGGGACTGGGAAATCTCAAAAGTGCACAAGCAAGATTTCATTCGAGGCAGCCATGGGTGGACAGGAGCAGTACAAGTCGTGGGTGGTCGCGGGCACTCGATAGGTAGTGCTTACTTTTGTTTGCAGAGAAGAAAAGCCGCATCGCGAGCGTTGCAGGGTGGACAGGTGCAAGTTGTGGCCACGATCTGGACTACAGCTTCCCTGACACCGACATTTTGCCTTTCTCCGTTTATAGCTGCCTGGCCAAGACGTTGTACCCATCAAGTTTCGGCATACGCTGCTTTTCCGTTCTTGATTCTCGAGGAACGTCGAGGAACTGACTACCTAGTCAAATAGAATGGCACTTACGCCCCCCAGGCCACTTGCCTTCTTTTTCAAAGGTCTACTCCTAGCATTGCCCTCTTTTCCAAAGGTCTGTCAGTAGCTATGTATGCATACCTTTCTCCATCATCTGTCTTCATGTCTACTTGACTTGATTTTTATCTTCACCCAACACCTTCGCATTTTCAGTACTGCTATCCATATACACAAACTGTAAGTCTCCTACATCGCACCGCGACGCATCGTGACATCGTGTCGCCGGATGGTGTTTTGTCCGCCGCCACGCAAACACTCCGATACAAACAAGTCGCCGCCTCGAGCCAACTCATTCCAAACAAGTTCGCTACTTACCATATAATAATACTCTTCCCAGTTGCTCGACAGCTTACCACATATTTGACTCGTCAACATGAAGTTCACTGCTGCTACCATTACTGCCGTCGTGGCCACTGGTGCCTTTGCCCAGCCCGAGTTTACCAACAGCGAAATCAACCCTCAGGAGGGCCAGCCCTTTACCCTCAGGTTCAATGGCTGCGATAATGGCTGCACCATCAGTCTTCAGACCGGCCCCAGCCCCATGTCTCTCTCGGACATTCACACTTTGACCAGTATGTTGTTCGGCGAAGCAGCTATGCAAACGGCAACATGGGCCTTTGCATCCTTGTGCTAATGCTTGATTGCAGCTGATGCTACTGTTGGCTCTTTTGATGTCACCCTTAGCGGCCTCGACACAGGCATCTACAACTTCAAGATTGCCGACAACAGCGACGGCTCGTGCAATTACAGCATTCCGTTCTTCTACGTCGGCGCCAAAGTCACCTCATCCGACTCCTCTGGCGGTCCCTCGACTACTCATGTATATGACGCTTCGTCCACCTGTTGCTCCAATCCCGACTCGACCGCTGCCACACACATCTCTCCTACTGCCTTCGTCAGCTCCACCCGCTCTTCTCGTGAGTCTTTCTGGAAATCATTTACGCTGCTTCAGCTACTAACCAGCCCTACAGAACCAAGCAGCACCGCCTATGCTGAAGCTAGCAGCGCTGTACCTCACAAAGCTGGTGCCGCCGCTGGCTTTTCTCCCTTTGGCGCCATAGGTGCTGGTGTTGCTGGTCTACTCCTTGTACGATAAAACGGATACGAATCGGCGCGTTGGAAATGCCTGCTGGGCTGCAATTCGGATCTGTTTGGTCTTGGTGTGGATTTCTCACGCAATGATCGGTTTGAGATCCGCAAGTCATATGAAGGGTTGACTGTGGTGCACCATGGACCACAGCTATCGCGTCCTAAGTGAAATTCTAGAGTTTCTTCAAGGCCCTTCTGATTACAACTTTCCTAGAGCGACAATAAAATTATATTGGCATTTTGCACCTGCAAATGAGATGATGGCGTATGAAAAATGTGTAGCCACAAACAACCCTAATAGTCCTGCTTGTTGTACATGCAGGTGGGCAACTGGGCTAGAAGGTTGCAACAAAAGCTACTGGTATGCGGGAAGCACCAATTATTGAAGGCAAGAGGGTATGATACAACCAACGACCGATTAAATATAGCACAGCGGGAACTGGAAAATCAAATGATTCTATAGAAGAATATATTAAAGGAAAATGATGATTATCATTGGCTATTTTACGTCGGCCATGCTGTGTGTATGGAATCAACTGTGGCTGACAAACCATGTGGCGCAACTCTCAACTCAAATGTGGCGCTCCACGAAGCTCCAAGCTTCCTTTAACTTCTCCTCCATACAACAGCTGCGCATCAAACACAGCAGAACCCGCGTCTGGCGAACAATTCACCAATTCTACCCAAATAACCAAGAGACTTTCCCGCCATAGCTTTTTTTCTTCTTTCTCAACACAGCGACACACACACACCCCCTCGCGCCGCCGCGCCGAAACACACACGACAATGGCGACGACGGAAACGACCACGGCCGCGACCGTCTCCGGGGGCCCTGCCGCCACGGTGCTCAACCACACAGTCAAGCCCTACAGCTTTACCTTTTCGCCCTTTCTGCGCGAGGCGTACCAGGTCGGCCTGCCGGCCGACCGACCCATCTGCAAGGCGTACCAGACGGGCAGCTGCCCCAACGGGACGCGCTGCACGGAGCGGCACGTCACCGACGGGCGGACGCCGTCGTCGTCGTCGCACCCGACGGGCGGGCTCAACTCGCTCGTCTGCAAGCACTGGCTGCGGGGCCTGTGCAAAAAGGGCATCCCCTGCGAGTTTCTGCACGAGTACAACCTGCGCCGCATGCCCGAGTGCAACTTTTTCATGCGCAACGGCTACTGCTCCAACGGCGAGGAGTGCCTGTACCTGCACGTCGACCCGCTGTCCAAGCTGCCGCCGTGTCCGCACTACGACATGGGCTTTTGCCCGCTGGGCCCCGTCTGCGCGAAAAAACACGTCCGTCGCAGGCTCTGCCCGCTGTACCTCGCCGGGTTCTGTCCAGAGGGGCCCGAGTGCCGCCGCGGGTCGCACCCCAAGTGGTCGACGACGCTGGAGCGGCCGACGGTGAAGCCGGAGCCCAAGACGGAGGAGGAGCTGCGCGCGGAGATGGAGCTGCTGCAGCAGCAGCACCAGGCGCAGTTTGGGCACGACGACGGCGATAGGCAGAGGGACAACAAGGATGACCGCTTTGGTGGTCGTCATGGTGGAAGAGGTGGTGGGAGGGGTGGCTGGAGAGGACGAGGCGGCGGTCGTGGTCACTTTAGAGGTAGAGGCGGGTATTGAATGTTTTGATGATATTGTACGAGTATGGAAACATTTGCATTTGGGGGGGGGTCGGAACAATACGAGGATTATGATACCCGCAGGCGGACAAAAAGCAGACCTGCCAGGTCGTGACAAGACGTTCGAGCTATTTTCTGAGAAAAGTGTTGTTGATAGTAATATCATGATTGGAATTTCGAATTCTTCAAATATGCACAACAGAGTCGTGAAGTCGTCTATGTAACAATTAATTTGCGCAGGTTTATCCTACTGATACACGGCAACATGTGTGCCTAGCTTTGGCGCAGCTTCTTCAACTGTTCACGCACCAGCTTCTTTGGTGGGCGTCCAGAGATTGCTGTCTCTTTCCGACGTCCAGGCGTTAATCTCTGACGGTACCGCAATGAATTCATTGCTGCCCGTGTCACCGTCTTCGCTGGGCGTACGAGAGGACCCTTCCTCGCTAGCCTTCCACGTAGATAGTTCATCGACGCGGCGAATGCCCATCAGCCACGAAACAAGCCCGCGTGGAGCCCAACGGCCGACAAAGCCGTAAACGCTGGATCCAAGACCTATACGCACCGTGTCGCTCGTAATGGAGCCATCAATGACGTCAAACACAGAGTTGTGCAAGCGGCGCAGCGAGCTTCCCTTGAAACCACGAATGCGCGCGCCGGAAATGGCTGAGCTCGTCTGTGCAACAAAGTTGCGCGCGTAGACATGTCTGGCACCGTCAGGCCAGACGAGCGTCTCCTGGGGCTGGCCGGTCGTGTGTTGGCCCTGGCCAATGGCCAGATTTCGGGCAGGGACAAAGCCGGCAAAGTCAAAGGTTCCCAACTGCATGTGCGTCACGGGAATGTCAAGAGGTCGCAGCTCGGCCGTCAGAACCTCCGTAAAGGCTGAAAGCGCAGAACAGACGGTGGCTTCGGGGGCGTGAAACGGAGGGTTGATGGACGAGATGATGGAGGGCGTCAAGACCATGACCTTGGGCGGCACCCATTTTTCGCCAATGGGCTGAAGTCGGGAAGTAAGTAGCGGGAGAAAAGCCTGAATGGTGAGGATTGGGTGAAGGAGATGGGTGTTGAATAGGTCAGCGAAGCTCGAGGGCGGTATCGTCGCAATCGGCGAGGTCTGGTAATGGAGGCTCGGGATGAGAATGACGGATCGCAGAGTTAGCTGGTTTGGCTTAATTTGAGGACCTGGGGCATGCGGCGACCGGAGGTACGCCGCAAATTTCTCGATGGCAGATCCGGCACTAGGAGGCTGCAGTTCAAGTTAGCATCGACCTCGGAGCCAATCGCGCGCGGTACATGGCCTATACTCACATTCGTTGTATCAATCTTCAAGGGGCTGATGTCTTGACGCGCGTAGGACTGCACCATTCTCTCATCCTCGGGCGCATCGCAGACGACGTATACGATGAAACCCCGTCTCTCCATGTCCAGTGAAAGGGACTTGGTCAGGGGCAGCGTGGGCGAACCGGCAATGACAACGACTTCGGTCCGCCCGCCATTCCTAGCACGCTTGGCGCGGCGCGTTTTGCGCATGGACCTGGATTTCTGGAAGCCCTTGAAGACGACAGTACCGCAGATAACGACAATGACACCCGTGAGGATCTTGTGTTTTGAGACCCAATCTTGAGCCTGCTCCCATGTTGACACGGACACCACGGCGGCGGGCACCTTTACTGGTGGCGCGGGCCTCACCGAGTCAGGAATCCACGTCTGGGAGCTCAAGGCATCACGAACGGCGTCGGCGGCGCGGTCGACGCCTTTGTCTATAATCTCGGCCGCATTGTTGGTATATTGCCGGAACTGCACAGGAATCTTTCCCAGCTGCAAGGTCATATGCGTCAGTGAAAAGCGGTTGCGGACGTCGACTTGAAGCATGAAGACGACTTACCAGGTCTATAAATTGCTGCTCGTCCACCGGCATGATGATCAAGATGGCCGTTGCATGTGCGATGGGATGAAAGAGGAGTCGAGTGACGTTATTCTACTTTTTTTCGGCCCAAAACGGTGCCTTGTTTGGCTCCTGGCGTTGGTGGGGCATTCCACTGCACCTAGCGCCACAGCATGTCAACGGCCATGTGCCACACGGCTCGCGGCCCATGAGGCATGCTCACGTATTCTGAAAAGCCGTCCGTCTAAAACGTTGAAACGCGTTGTATTTCAGAGTCGAAGGAATGCTTCCTATTGGTAAGTAGTTATCAAAGTCGTTTTCTCGGCTCACGGGTGTTGCTTTCATACCCGGTATTCATGGTCAGTTCTACGGAATAATACGGACTCCGTAACTTGGCGATGATGAACTAATCAAGCAATTGCCACGACGTTGTGTAGAAGGGCTGTACTAGGGAACTACCACTCTTATAGCAATCGAGCCGGCTGAAGTAGACGACACGACCGCACAAGATGCATGACCAACAGATCTCCAGAGTTGCGCAAAATTAAAAGGCATTGATACAGTCTGTTGCAGGGTAGTACAAGGGACCTCGGAGACAGCATCGAAACCAGGGCTGCATAAACATTTGAAGCTCCAGCGTAAAGCTCGGCGTAGCTGTCCAATACAATCCGAACCTGGCGTGCGCAACCAGACAAATCAGAAATCAAGGCACTGCCGAATGACTGCATGAACAGGATCGATCACGGAAAAATAGTGGCGTTCAAAGGAATTCGTCCTGCCGTCTCGGCTAGGTTAGCACGCAGTTTACTAAATACGCTGATTGGCCTGCCATCGGCCTTGAAACAAAACCCCCAAAGCCCCAGAATCACCCCGCCGTGCCCGCCACCTTCAGCGCCCCGTTTCCCCAACTGGTCCCTAAAATCTTCCACTCACAGCGCGGTGGCGCTTGCGGGGTAGCAGCTGACAGGTGCCGGTTCGGTGGTTATTAGTGACGGCTTCACAGGCTCGGAGCACCCCGCCAAACCCGCGCGTCCCAGAGCGAGACCAACTTTCTTAGCAGCATCCTCCATGAGGCAAGTTGTCGGGTCGGCAGAATACCTTATCTGGATCACCCAAAATCTCGTGACCCAAGCCGGACATATTTTATGACCATCTAAACTGACTTAAAATCTCCTTCGGTCTATGTTTGAAATACCTTCTTCTTATCTCTTCTTCCAAGGTTGACAGCAGTCCATTGCGCTAGAGATAGCCCCTCTTATGATGACCTTGATGGACTACCTCCAGCACAGGCGTGACTGGTATGTCTGCCGCTTCACGAACTCTGTTTTCTCCCGCTCTAACGTTTGGTAAACCCATAGCCGCACCAAGCAAGAAGAACGGGCCACCCGGATCCGCGCCCTCCAGTCCTATCATGGCCCTTTCAGCGTCCTAGACAAGGACATTGTCAACAAGCCAATCCAGGCACTGGTCAAAGAGGTTCACCAAGATCCCAGCAAAGCCACGCAGATCCTCAAAACCTATGGCAAGGTCGCCCTCAAGGCTCAAGAAAAGACCAACTGTGTTACAGAAATTCTCCTCGACTCGGCTGAGAAGTGGGTGACGGATTGCTCAATCAACCTCAAGGGTCCCTTGGCTGGGATCCCCGTCAGCTTAAAGGACACGGTAGACGTCACTGGCTATGACAGCACCGTCGGATACAGCCGTTTTGTCGGCATGAAGAGCGCCGACGGCCCTACCGCGCGCATACTAAAGGACGCCGGCGCCGTGCCCTACGTCAAGACCAACGTTCCCATCACTCTCCTCAGCTTCGAGTCCGCCAACGATGTCTGGGGCACATCCACGAACCCTTACAACAAAAACTATACACCCGGCGGTTCCACTGGTGGTGAAGGCGCGCTGCTGGCGCTCGGCGGCAGGATCGGTGTCGGCAGTGATGTTGCCGGCAGTGTCCGCTGCCCCGCGCACTTTTCTGGCATCTACTCTCTCAAGTGCTCGACCGGCCGCTGGATGAAGCTGGGCACGCGCACCAGCATGCCCGGCCAGGATGGCATACCTGCCGTGTACAGCCCCATGGCCCGCACTCTCAACGATCTCACGTACTTTACGCGCTCCGTTATCCAGATGAAGCCTTGGGAATATGACTACTCTGTCCACCCCATTCCGTGGAGATCTGACGTTGAAGAAGCCTACTCGGAAAAGAAGCAGCTCCGTGTGGGGGTCATGCGCACTGATGGTGTCGTTGACCCTAGCCCTGCTTGCGCTCGCGCTCTCGAGATGACAGTTAGAGCTCTCCGTGTCGAGGGCCATGAAATCATAGACAACATTACGCCTCCCGAGCCCTACGAGGCTCTGCAGATTGCTTCACAGTTGCTCGACGCCGATGGTGTCCAGACGGCCATGTCATTTTTTCGCACCGGCGAGGGCAACGATCGCGGCGTAGCTCAGATGCGATTCTACTTTAACCTCCCCCGCGTCTTTAAATATGTGCACTATCTCTGGGTCCGACATGTCCGCCGTGATCCTGTCTGGGCCGGTATCCTCCGCAACTGGCACCCCAAAACAACCTACCAGTACTGGCAGCTGATTGCCAAGCGCGAGGCATACAAGCGCAGATGGTTTGACTTTTGGGAGGAAAAGGGCTTTGACTTTATCGTCGCTCCTCCGAATGCCACCCCTGCTGTTCCTCACGGCGGCATGCACGACGCTTGCAGCAGTTGCGGCTACACATTCCTCTTCAACCTGGTTCGTTTCTCCATGATGCAAAGCATAATCGAAAGTGCAATTTTTTGCTAATAATCATCAGCTTGATTACACTGCTGGTGTACTTCCTGTAACGCACGTTGACAAGGAAAAGGACCAGTTGCCCAAGGGCTTCAACGTCTGCAGCCTCAACGGCGTGGCCCGCGGCGCATACAGACACTACAACGCCGATGACATGCACGGTCTTCCCGTCGGCGTTCAGGTGATTGGAAGCAGACTGGAGGAAGAAAAAGTGCTTACCTTGATGAAGAGAGTAGAGGATGCGCTTGGCGACGACAAGTTCAAGCTGCTGGAGCTAGACTAAGACAGCAGCGTTGAGCACCCAATTTGACCACTGAACGATATCGTGGCCAATACAGCCACAACTATAACCTCTTTGCATCGTAGCAGAATCCTTGACACATTCAATTTGTGGACTCCGGACTCTGTGACGTAAATCGACAAGTCGGTAGAAAATTCGCGCCTGGGAATCCTGGACCTATGGCTAGAGAGGCTCCGATCTCGGCGACTGGCAAGTTCGATGGCGCATTATATAGTAAGCTATAACAGCGCTTTCCTCCTGTGCATCTGCGCGAAACCAGTGCCAGACGTTGTTTCATTAAGATATCCCAAAGGTCCCATTTCAATATACCAGTTTATTCTCACTATTTGATTGAATTTTGTTGACAGAAATGGCTGAGCAAGGCAAGGATCATTGGCATTCTGGTGTAAGTGACACGCCGAGGGCTTTCAACCCCGCAAATACCAACCAACCAACCTCTTTTCTAACTTTGACGGTCATGCCAGGACTACCAGCACTCGGCATCATTCGTACCCAAGTTGGCGGGCAAGGTGACTCAATGGCTTGATTTACAAAAAGACGATGTTGTACTAGATATTGGCTGCGGCGGTAAGTTTCAATAGCGGGCGACTCTACGAGCGGATATGAGGGAGCTAATTTACGTCCTTTCTCATAACCATACGACCAGATGGCATCTTGAACCTAGAGTTTGCCAAGGTGCTGTCCCAAGGCAAAGGAACCATTCACGGCATCGACAGCTCAGTAGCCATGATCGACGCCGCCAAAGATTTGTGCAAAGAGCACCGCAACGCGACCTTTGAAGGCATGCATCATCACAACCCCCCCCCCCGGAGCCATCACTCAAGGCGAGTAGCTGACAAAATCACCGCCAGTCCTCGACGCAACCAAGATGCAGAGCAAGCCCGAGCTGCAAAGAGCAACATTCACCAAGGACTTTTCCAACGCCGCCATGCATTGGATCCTGCGCCCCGCCGCCGCGCGCCAGCCCTTTTTCGCCGCCGTCCACGCCGCGCTGGCGCCCGGCGGCGTCTTCGCCTTTGAGATGGGCGGCCTCGGCAACGTCAAGGAGATGGCGGCCGCGCTGCTGGTGGCGTGCGCGCGGCGCGCGCCGGGCGGGCTCTCGGCCGTCGTCGACCAGCACTACCCGTGGTTCTTCCCCGACGAGGCGTGGGCGACGGCGGCGCTCGAGGGGGCCGGGTTCCGCGTAGACCGCGTGGAGCGCGAGTGGCGCCCGACGAAGGCGGATAAGGGGGGCGTGGAGGGATGGATCAGGCTGTTTGGGAGCATGATTCTGGAGAGCGTGCCAGAGGGCGAGCAGCGGGAGGATGCGGTGAGGGAGGCGGCGGAGGCGCTGCGGGTGGTGTGTGATGATGGGGACGGAGGGGAGATGATTTCGTATGTTCGTCTGAGAGCGCTGGCGACCAAGGTATGATGGTATTGCAAAACCGTCGCAGTTAGACGTGTATGAGCTTTCTTGGCATTCACCTCATGTTCTTGTCTGGTGCGAATTCGTGATGCTAGGTCGGCGGCATCTTGTTCAGCCTTGCGATGCGTCGTTTTTTCGAGCTTGTGAACGACATTAGCATGATGAAAGTTGATAGAAGAATCATCTGATAGACATGTTGATTTGTCAACCATTTCTTGGTAGGCAACGGGACTGATGTGTCGTGTTAGCCGCCCGGTGTATCAATGCTGAGCCACCTTCTTGTCCTTCCATCGTGCCGTAGAGGTGGTGGTTAAAGGACGCACAACTGCAAAAACACCTGACAATACAAAAGCCGACGCAGCATGTCATGACATTGGCTCTCCGCTGCTTCTTTCCTCATCACATCATCCTATTACATTCATGAGAGGCCCAGACGAGAATCATGCCGCCGCGAGAGAAACTGATTGGATCGGTTGTGCACCTGACGCGCCTGCCGCGCGCCGACGAGGCGCTGCGAATGCTCCAACACATCATTTCGGCCGTGCTGCCGATTATGCGTAACCACCGGTGGCGGGTAGGCAAGCTGGCCGAGTTTTACCCAGACGAAGATGATCTGTTAGGTACGTTTACAGTCTCCATCTTGTTAACTGTTGCCCCTTTTGAGCGTCATGTCACTGACACGTTTCTGCGGGAGTAATTCAGGCCTGAATGTCAGCGCCGGGCGGGAGATTTTCCTGCGGCTGCGCTATCACAACGACAAGGCCAGGTTAGCAAGGTTCGACCAGGTGCTTGACACGATGCTGCATGAGCTATGCCATAACGATATCGGCCCCCACAACGCCGCCTTTCACGCGCTGTGGGATAAGCTGCGTGATGAGCACATGACACTGTCGCTGGGCGACTCCATCAGCGTGTCGCTCGGCGGTAGTGGGTTTTCGTCAGAGGCTGCGGCGGCAGAGCGCGAACGAGACCTGGTCTTGCCCGGCAGAAGAGGCGCCGTCGGTGGTCATGGTGGTGGTCATCTGCACGGAGGGCGCAGGACGGTGACGCTGGGAGGGCGACGCGGGGAGACTGAGTGGGCGGGGCGCAGGAGGAGAGTGCTCGAGGGCTGCGGCGCCATCGGGCTCAACGAGGCGCAACTCAGGAACATCTGGGAAGGGGTGAGGCGCAACGGGTTCCGGACGACGGCGGTGGAGGCGATTGCGCTGGCGCTCGAGGATCTCAGGGACGAGGGGCGTAGGCCGACACGCATACGCAGGCTTCTAATCGAGGATACTGCGCCGACTAGAAATGGGAGTGGGAGTGGGAGTGGGCGTGGACGCCGCGACGTGGAATGGGCGTGTCCAGTGTGCACGCTGCTTAACCCGACAAGCCAGTTGTATTGCGATGTGTGCGGTACTCACGTGTAGCGGTGAGGTATTGGTGATGTGACCAAGGAAAGAGGACGACTGTTGAGAATCTCACTAACATGTATAATAGAGGGCCATTATAGAGAAAGGATAACCTGCATAGCGGCGATTTGTGTACCTTGCCAATTTGTTTATGAATGTTGAAATTCGGGCACGGGAGATTGGGCTCGTATTTGAGTTGTGATAATTTTAAATGGGTGCAATAAGTCGGCAATAAAATCCCAAAGAGTGCTGAATCCTGATCGCTTGTGCAGGACGGATCGGCCAGTTTGAGTGGAGATGCTGTCGGTAGCGAGAATTAAGGCATATCTTTGACCTGTGCTCACAAATTCACAATAGACTGCGGTCAGCATCCTTGCCTGACAGGCAAGCAAGGGTGGCAGGCTTTTAGACATGCGTAGTCATTCAGATGGGGTTTGCCGCCCATGCATTTGTAAAACCTGCATTTTACTAGGCGGTGTTTCTCCCGCTCGAGACTCGAGTTGCCTGACGGACTAAATAAGGCTGGCGCGCATGGTTTGGTGCATTGTATAATATCTGTCGATGGTTGTGTGGGTGGCTATCGGGCAGCCAAGTCATGGCAATTCTTTCTTCAACGGGTCAGCCATTAAATATTTATTTGGTTGGATAGAATGGTATGACTGCTCATTTTGCTTGAAAGTTTGTGAGTTTGATGCTTCTTTGCTGGCTCGGCTGCGTACGCAGCGTATCGTCAGAGGCCTAGGGTGTGAATAGCAGGCGGGCACGGAATTCGGAAAAAAAAAGGCGGAAATTAGGTTTGAACGGGAAATCTGGCCGCGACGTCGGTAGGGAGGGTTTTGAGGCAAGGGGCCCGTCTCGAGGGCTAGGCTTTGGAGGGGAAGCAGAAAGGTTCCGAGATGCGGATGTGAGGCGAGGTCGCGATATTTGCATGGCGCAAATGGGAGACCATCGGGAGGCCAATGACGGCAAAGGGGAACAAAATCAAGGTTGCCGTTTCAGGACGGGTGCATGGCTGCTGCAGTGGTGGCGATGTGGTGGCGACGATGTGGTGTTGAAGCACCATGAGGTAGGTGGTAAATAGTCGCAAGCAAGGTAGCAGGTACCTAAGGTACCTACCTTAGGTATCGAGAAAGTTGATTAGTAACAAGGGCTCGGAGACAAAGGATGTCCCATCTGACATGTTTGAAACCCGTCTCTTTGATTCGCTGGTTCCGCGTCTTGAAAGCTCGCCATGCTACTCATTGTTTGTGATTCATCTTAAAATTCCCTTCTTCTTTAATAGTTCTTTTGATCTCTCTTTGACGGCAACCGGGTGCGACGCTACCAGGACCGGAGCCCACAACATGTTCTGGACCAGGCCGGACCCAGTTGGACAAGGGGCGCAAAAAACAAGGAAGGGGCCCGAGAAAAAGCTTGGAACGGCGGTCGGGAGGGCACGCGGCGGTCGGGAGGGCACGCAGCTGTCGGGGCCTGGTGCGTGTCACTGTGTTGCAACCCGCTTGGATGGTGTCTCACATGAGGGTTGTTGATCCCGGTCGAGGTCAAGTCGAGTAATTCGTAGTCGACAAGTTGTTGATGTTCATCAAGTGGCAGAAAGATGAGCATCAGTGTCGCATGTATAATTAGACTCATACGTATAAATAGATGAATAAGATGAGGCAGGCAGAAAGAGGCGCATCTAATTGTGCTTGAGGGGCGTTATTAATAGTATAATAGGGGTCCATTATAGGCACTCGGCCATTTGAATGGCACGAATGGGCAGTGAACACTGAAGGCTACCTATATGCCGTGCGGCGACCCGCTGACGAATCGCTGTGGGCATGGACTGGGCGGTGGTGGCTTGCTTCTGTAACTGCGCATCAGACCATTCTCGCAGCACCTGCAAACAAGGCAACGAGGTTGAAGAAAATGAAGAAAAATTAGAGAAAAAAAAAAGAAACAAAGAAAAAAGCAGGGGACCAAAAGAACAAATTTCCAGACAAGCGAGGTATCTGCAGCACCTCGCCCTGGTAGCCAAATGGTACAAGAGTGTTCAGCTCCAAAGAGGGTCCTGCAGAGGCGACGTCGATCACCGGAGTAGGAGCCGCTGGGGCTCGGGAGAGGAGGGCCCAGAACGAACCAGGTCCCCTGCCTGCCTGTAGGTGGGCACTCGACACCAAAGAGTCAACAATGACAAGTTTTGATAGTCAAGAGTCAAGACTCGACAGTGACAGTCAACAGACAGATTCGAGAACTCACACATTCCCACACTGCTCCGCTTCACTGGAAATAGCGCGATGTGGCAGTGTGGCACGCTGGGTGGACTGCTGTCAGGCGGCTTGGGCTTCCGCTAACGCGCTGAATTTGTACAAGTTGCAGGCTGTGTCTAAACGGGTACGGAGTACCGAGTACCTAGCAATATATTCGTAGGCAGACGGTGTACGGTAAATCTGGGTAGCCGACTGGAAAGCTGTTCTGCATTAAGCGGCAGCAATTAAAGTGCATATGCCAATAAATCCTTTGTTGAAACGAATAATAGAACAGAAATAATAATTAAAAGCCAACGGCCAGGAGGAATACCGGTATCTGTACCTAACTACCTAGGTACCTACGGTATTTAGATAGGTACCTAGGTAGGTAGAAACAGCCCATCACTGTTCGCTTAGTGACCCAGTTTACCAGTCGAGGCCCCGCCACCCATGCAGTTTCCAGTTTCCAGTTTCCACTCAAAATTCCCTGTTTTATACACCCAAAACGCACCTATTTTGTACTTGCCTACCACCTAACTAACTATTGCTACCTTGCTACATCAGTATTAAACTTAAGGTAGTACTGTCGACTGATTCTATTATTCCCTGACCCTGCTTTGCCGCCTGCCTACCTCAAGCCTCTTGATCATAGTTCCAGCCAAAATATCCACCCTCCTGCCGCCGCTTCGTTCTTGTGATTCCAGTTACTGCACCCGTCTATCCGTAACCGTAATCCATACCGCTTTCATAATATCTACATCCAGAATCCAGCCTTGCACCCGTCCAGGATCCAGACCAAAGCCTAGCCTCTTGCTGTCAAACTAGCCAACTCTTGCACGCACCTCTCCCCATCGCCTTTTCACACCTTCTCTCCTTCATGACTGTAACTCTGGTCTAATGCTTATTCCAAACAAGCTCGATTTCAACATCCCCACCCCCCACCTCTTCATCGCCCATACTCACCCTCGCCCTCTCCTTCTCTTCTTTCCCGTTTGTCCGCCATCCCGCCCCCAACGTCTATCCCGCTACTTCACCTTGTCCGACCGTGACTGTGACTCTCCAATAACCAAGTAATCCAATTATTGCTTGTCTCGTCTCGACTCGTCTTCGCATCACCGGCATTTATTGCAACCGACCTCGACCACCACCACTCGTCGTCGCTTTCATCGCACTATCCATCACGGAAGCACGCCGCACGCCGCACACGATCCGATCCCACCCACATCGGTAGTTGCCTGTACCTTAGACCTGTTCGCGACGTTGCGCAACCCTCCCAGAAACTCTCTCCTGCCGACCAAGACCAACAGACATGTTTCGACTGCTGCCTCCAACTTGCTAGCTTGGATCTCTGCTGGCCTGGCGCATGCCATTTTTACATTGCACCGGCCCGGCACCCCTACCCTCCAATCTTGGGTGACCCCAGCGTACTTGCATCACCAGCTTTCTCAACACCACGGGCCATGGGCGCGTCCGCGCAGCCTGAACCCGCCGACATGGCCGCTTCCGACTCTCTCCATCTCACCGACATTCTCACAAATACCGCCTCGGCAATCGCTGCCACCGATGCTGCCTCGCTGGCACCCGCACATGTCGTCCCCGAAACTGAAACCGACCATGTCGCCGTCGACTCCAACCTTAAATCGAATACCACCGCCATTCATGCCCACGCCGTCAGCAATGGCCGTGCTGGTAGTCCTCAATCGCTTGGAGGCGGACGCTTCTTTCGTGATCCCCTCGGTATGCCTGTCCAACATAGTCGCTCTCAGTCCCAGAGCCCGTTTCGTCTCGCCATGCCCACCATCTCCCCAGCCCAGCTGTCCTTTTCCGCCATGCAGTACTTGCCCGTCCCCGTCATCGTTCTCAACAGTCTCAAGACCGTCGTCCTCGCCAACGAGGCCATGGGCAGAATGATGGGCATTATAACCAACGACACGGACGATGACGACACTTCCCTCACCATCGATCGCCTCCGCGGCCAGACCCTCTCCCAGGTCGGTATCGACATGCTGCAGGATGGCAAGCCCGTTTGGATCACCTGGGAGACCTTCTTCGACACCTTGGTTCACGAAATCGGCGCCCATCCGCCTGCTTCTGGCCAAGACCAGCTGTCCGCTACCGCTACTGCCGGTGACGCTACTCCCACCATCAACGGTCCCGTGAGCCCTTGTAAACAACGCCGTGGCTCTCCCACCAAGCCCGCCCAGGACGCTATAGTCGAAGTCATCATTTCTAGAAAGGGCTTGCATAAGACTACCTTTGACAGTCGCTACAAGTCCAAGGAGTCGGAATTCCATGCCTTTGCCAAAATGATTGTCACCGTTTGGGAAGTCGAGAACAAACAAGTTTACTTTACTCTTACCTTTACCAACACCCAGTCCACACCCTCGACCCCCGTCAACAACAAAAAGAGCGTTGCCAAGTCAAGCGTTCTCGAAGCCGCCGAGCGAAAATCCATCAACAACTCCAACCCCTCCTCCGTCGCCTCCAGTCGGGACCCGAGCTCCCCAGCTCTCAACACACCTAGCGTCCTCACCATGTCTACCAGTCCTTTCCCCCCCATGGGCCCGCCCTCCATTGCAGCACACTCACCATCTAGTACACCCTCTGTTCTGCAAAAGATCATTCGCATGAAGGATGCGCTCCTGGACAATACTCATATACCTATACTAGCCATGTGGAAGGATGGTAGTGTTACATTTCCCAACAAGGCTGCTCGTCTATTGCTTCCACACGACGCTGATCTCGACTCGTCATCTGACGGCTTCGATTTGCTCAAAAACTGGGAAGTCTGGACTGAGGACTTTGCAAGAAGGCTAGAGCTCGACGAACACCCCCTTTCAATTCTTCTCAAGACAGGCACGCCCTTTGACAGCTTTCGTGTTGGTGTCTTTGACTCGCAAGGCAAGCGCATAGTATATGACCTACTCGGCGAAGCCATCACCGACGAAAAGTCGGGTGAATGCGTTGCCGGCGTCATCACTTTCCGAGACGTTACCGTAATGGCGGAAGAAATCTCACTCATCAAGGAGCGCGATGAGGAGCGCTTCAAGATTATTTGCGACACCATGCCTCAGCTGGTTTGGACTGCTACCGCCCAGGGACTGCACGATTTCTTCAACACTCGGTGGTACACGTATACTGGGCTGGCCCCTGAGCAGTGTCTTGGCCCGGCATGGGAGACTTGTTTTCACCCAGACGACAAGGTCGAGGCTCTATCAAGGTGGCGCAGATCTCTCGAAACGGGAGACCCCTACGTCATGGAATCCCGTTGCCGCAACAAAGAAGGTGAGTGGCGATGGTTCCTGGGGCGGGCACTCGCCGTGCGAAATCCAGAGACGGGAGAAATTGAAAAATGGTTTGGCACCTATACCGATGTCCACGAAAGTATCGAGACGAAGCTGGCAGCCAAACAAACACGCCAGCAGCTCCTCAGCGTCCTTGCACACTCTCGTGTCACCATTTTCACCGTTGATCCCAGTCGCCGCGTGACAATGCTCGAGGGAGCTTTGATCTGGTACACCACGTACGAGGACACGGAGAAGGGCCGTTGGTTCATTGGTGAGGACATGTACACCGTCTTTAATAGGCTTACCGAGCAAATGCCTGAGGGGGAACGACCGGACTGGCTCAATTCCATTGAAGAAATCCTTGAGGGGAACCGTTCAGAAGATATCAAAGAGCATGGCCTTGATGACCGCTGGTATCGCACGCGCTTTCTTCCCATGTACGGCAAGAGGCCGCAGAATGGGAAGCGAGCCAACGTCGAAGGTGTCATTGGCGTCGTCATGGATGTTACCGAGCTAAAGGATAGCGAGGAAGCCCTTCGCGAACAATCGCGCGCCAAGCATAGGGCCATTGCAAATGAAGCCGCGGCCAACGAAGCCAATCGGCTCAAGAGCCAGTTCTTGGCAAACATGTCGCACGAAATCCGAACTCCCATCACCGGCGTCCTTGGTATGGCCGAGCTTCTTGGCGACATGTGTCTGGACGAAGAGCAGCGCGACTATGTTGACAATATTCAAAGCTCCGCGACATCTCTGCTGACAGTCATCAACGATATTCTCGACTTTTCCAAGGTGGAATCCGGACGACTCGATATCGAGGAAGTTCAATTTTCGCTATCCATCATTCTAAAAGAAGTTGTGCGCATGCTAAAATTTGCAGTCGAACGCAAGAACCTCGATTTCCAGTCCAACATTGGCGACGACATTGAAAACGACCTAGCCGTCATTGGAGATCCTGGTCGCGTGCGCCAAATCATCACCAACCTGCTTACAAACAGTATCAAGTTTACAAGCCAGGGCTATGTCCGATTCTCAGTGGTAAAAGAAAAGGAGACGGCAGACTCCATCATCGTAAAGTTCGTCATTGAAGACACTGGGATCGGTATCCAGGAAGACGTCCGTCGAAAACTTTTTCAGCCCTTTAGCCAAGGAGATGCTTCGACTGCCCGCAGATTCGGTGGAACCGGTCTTGGCCTCACCATCTGCAAAAACCTCCTCGACTTGATGCGTGGCGAGATCACGCTCGAGTCGACAGTGGGAAGTGGTACGACGGCAACCTTTTGGATTCCTTTCCATAAGCCTCAGCGGCGCAACGCACAGAATGTCGCCGCCGGTTCTATTCCCGACCGCCTGCAGTCGGACCTAAGCATATCTTGCAACAGCTCAGAATTTGAAAACGCCATGGCTGCTACGCCTGCAGCCTCTGATGGTTCTGGACTCTCTGAACTTCGTCGTCGCTACTCTGTGCGGTCATCTCAGAGTGTCGAGCAGGATCTTCCCCGATCTGAACGAGCTGCGTTTCACATTCTTGTCGTCGAAGATAATGCAGTAAACCAAAAGATCGCAACGCGCACGATACGAAAACTCGGCTTTCAAGTAACTGCGGCATGGAACGGCAGAGAGGCTCTGGAGTATGTGCTCGGAGCGAGTGAGGGCCGAAACGTCAAGCCCGACATCATTCTCATGGATGTTCAGATGCCAATCATTGATGGCTACAAGTGCACGCATTTAATGCGGCATCACCGTCCGTACAAGGGTCTCATCCACAATGTTCCCATTGTTGCCATGACTGCCTCTGCCATCCAAGGCGACCGGGAAAAGTGCAAGAGAGCTGGCATGGATGACTATCTGGCCAAGCCGGTGACAATGTCCATACTGGAGCGCATGCTGATTCGCTGGTGCGTATCGCGACGCCGAGAGAGCAGTGTCGCTGACCGCGCGGTGTCTGACTGTTCTGAGCTGAGCGAACATTGCGATGCGTCTAGCATCCCCCACATCGCTGTCGGGAATAACGCCACCGTTTCACAAAATAGCCTCGATTATGGCAATGAAACGCAAGATGACTCGACAGGTGGTCCGGTCACACCGACACCGGCCACCGCCAATGGCCGTGACGAACTGTCGCCCTTTGACTCGCCGTCCTTGGTGAACATGCCACCACGGGTCCCGCGTCCCGAACGAGACGCCGAGTTCTCCAGCATGCTGCAGGAGACGAAGCTCATTGATGCCGCAGGTGGACCGGCATCCAACTTGCGCAGCAATAGCTATCAAGAACAGGGCTCTGGCGAGGCGCTGACGGAAGCCAACGTCACCAAGCTTGATATAGAAAACAAGCAACCTCACAGCTAGCGGCCAACATCAAAGGACACCACATCCCCAAAAAGTGTTGATGACTTTTACCCTCCTGTAAAAGTATACGAAAGCGACGATGAGCGGTTTAGTTTTTTTTTTCATTTCTGGCTACGTTTTTTTTTTCATTGGAAAAGTGGTTGTTTGGGTGATTCCTTTTCTAACAGGCGCAATACCACTTTGCTCCCGAGTATCTGGGTACAGATATACAGACACATGGGTCTTATTGGGCGATATAATATTCGTTGGATAATCGCCGGGAATGGCCGAGATAAATCCTTCTTCAAGTCCCTTGGCATTGTTTCCTCTTTCCATGACACTTTACTTGTGGGCGAGAACTTCTGGCACAGATGTTGTTTCACTTTTGTCCTTTCTGCCTGCACAGCAGCCCTCTCGTGTGATAGGGCCCACTACTAACTTTGCCGTTGCGGGGAATCGGATTACTATGCTCCTTTTATTCTCAAAGTCTGCCATTTTGCAGTTATTGTTACAAAGGGAGATTTTTTCTTCGGAGAGGAAAACATCTTTATTTAGAATGTGGGATTATTGGGCATAGGTAGGGAAAAACTTGGACATAACATGGTGGTGATGGGCTTTTGATAGTTACACACAGGCTACTTATTACAGAGACGAGCAAGGATTGGAATGATTCGAGATGGTCGGCGTGCTGTCTACAATGTACCTGACTCATTGTAATGCGAATACAACGAAAGAAATAGAAGAACATGATTCATTCAAGAAAATAGTGAAACTTGATTATTTTTAATCCAATCCAAAGTACTCGGAAAGGCGGAAATGTACCAGTTCTTGACTGGTTGCGACCTGACTCGGGATGTATAATGCGAGGACGATGCTGACACACCGTTACGTTTACTTTTGAATGAAACAATTTCAAGCAGGCCTCGGGCCAATAAATGCACACGTATCAAGAACAGTAAAAAATTAAAAAGAAAAATGGCGATAACCCATCAAACCCCGTTTCCATACAATAAACCCAAATACTCCCGTCTATCTGACTTGTACAAGTGTAGTTGTTTAGAAGTGTTCCTTCCAGAAACGGAACTGGACCTCGCGAGCCGTAGCGCTCTTGCAAGCAGATTTGATGTCGCGAGCTAAAGACGTCGTATTAGTACAACAAAAGATTTGATGTGTTGCGTCAAGAGCGTCAAAAACTTACCAGCTGCCGAGGGACCGCAAAAGTAGACACCGACGGTAGAGCGCATGCTGCCCTCCAGGCCGTTAATGTAGGAGCGGTCGAGGATGCCGTCGCGCATCGTGGTGAAGAGGCGGCGAAAGTCCGGACGGCCAAACTGAGTGCGGGCCTTGAGCTCGGTGAGGGGATCGGCGTTGGCGCCCACGCTGTTGAGAACAATATTCTGCGTCGTGTCCATGTCGAGCTTCTGTGTCAGGTATGTGTGGATCTTGAGGAACTCGACGCCGTTGCTGCCGGGCAGGCGCGCGGCCTCGTTGGACTGCTCCTCGAGCGAGGACAGCAGCGTCTGGAACCACTCAAAGGAGCCCGTGTCCTTGCAGACCCAGATGAACTCGACACGACGAAGACGCGTAGGCGGGTTGGGAGAGTTGCGTAGGTGCCAGATGTTCTTGAGGATCGAGGCCCACGGCGTGACACCGATACCGGTGCCTATGAGAACGGCAATTTCATTCTCAAACACGTCCTCGGCAGGCGCTCCATATGGGCCGTCGATGCGGAGCCCAGGCATCTGCTGGCCGTTTTGCAGGGCGACTTCGTACATGCCCATGGGGTCCACGCCGTCATACAGCTTCGCTTGGGCGTTACCGGCACCGAGAGCATCACCGAGAGCCTGGGTAAAGTCACCGACTTGGCGGACGTGGATGGATACGTACGGATCGAATGGGCACGAGGTAATGGTAAAGGGATGCCACTGGTACTTGGAGATGGAAGGGATCTGGAGGAAGAGCCACTGCCCAGCCTTGTATCGGAAGGAAGGCTTGTTGAACTGAATCTCAACGACATCGTACGGGTGGCGAACAACTCGAGCGATCTTGGTCTCGCGACGTGCGCGAATCTCGCGGTACAGACGCTCCATAAGGTAGAAACCGCCAGTCCAGAGCTCCCATCGCCAGCCGAGATAACCGATGCAATGTGTCCAGTATTGCTCCCCCGCAAATGGCGAAAAGGCGTCGACAGAGTCGCGAACAAAGCAGCCGGTGGTGTGAGTGTAAAGTGCCAAGAAGAAAGGAATAAACAGATGGTGCGTGTACCAAAACGTCTCAAAGGACTGTTGACGAATACGCGAGTGGGCTGTGGTGTACATGAACAGCATGCAAAGCAGCATGACGTGTCCAGTGATGCCACCAGGTTGAGCGTAATGGATCTGGACAGCAGAGACGGGTCGGATCTGGGTCTTCTCGACATTGTAAAAGTTGACGTAGTGAGCGGCGACATGCGCAATGGTGAATATTAAGAGGGAGTAGGCGAGTTGTCGGTGAAGCCATATATTTTCGTCAAGTGGCAGGAATCGAAGTTTGGGACGGACCCATCGCATGATTGTGCGACAAACAGGGAGCAGAATGAGCATTCCGTCGACACTCAGGACGAGACCAGCACCGCGAGAGATCCAAACCGAGAATTTTAGAGAGTTGAGACCGGCGAGTCGCTCATCTGCGGCTTGCTTCCACCTAGTCGTTGTGTGAACATCAGTTATGAATACGTTGGTTAACGAGACTTACCATCCGTAGGCGAAGATGGCCCAGTGAAATGTCCAGAAAAGAACATGAAATGTGAGTTTTCGAGCAGTAAATTGCTTTAGAAAGAGCTCGCGATAACCTAATTGACCAGCCATGTTGAGGTAGAGAATTAGTTGATCATAAGGATGATGAGAGGTGTTGTGTCGACCGGCGACAATACTGCTGGGACGACGACTTGATCGAGGGTATTGGCTCGGCACGTATAAAACCGAGTCTTGATGCAAAAGAATGAAAATGCTGTCGCTCAAAGGCCCAAACTACAAGGAAACCGGAAACGAAAGGCAGAATTAGATGTAGTGGGAAGAAGACAAGTCAATCTGAGCCAGCAGGAGGATGAATGAAAGGAAGAGACACTGTCGGCCCCAGGTCAGAAGTTGAGACGGAAGAAAGAAAAAGAAATGGGACGAGAAGAGAGGAAGCGATATGGGCCGAGTTAAGGTGATAAATGCTGGGGGTAGCAGAGCAAGGTAGGGAACTTGTGCTCAACAACGGGGCGAGGCTATCCAGGATGTGTCGCAGAGTCAAGGAAAACCAGATCCGGTCTTGTTGATGCAGGACCAGTGCTTCAATTCATTCGGATAAGTGAGCTCCCAAAGCCTTTGAAACCAAGGCCTCGGTGAAGGCTTGAACTGTCAGCGGCGGCGATGTCCTGGCGTAAAGAAGGTGCAAAATGATGGCGGACAATTTTCGTCTCAGGATTTAGGATGAGAACAAGGTAAAGTTTGAGCCCACGGAATCAGACTACAGAGGTTGCGACGAAGGGGGCCGCAAATATGCGACGCAGAGCGTGAGAGAAGCAGTTGGAGAATGCGGGTGTTTCGAATATGCCTAGGGTGTATTGGGATAGCAACGTCGCTATGCAGAGTGAAGGCTGCAAAAATCGGAAATCGGGGAGGAATCGAGTCGAGAAAGATTGCAAGAGGTCTGCGCGTGAGCAAAAAGCGTCTATTGTGTAAGAAGCAAAAGAGACAAGACACGGTCGTGCGGCTGGGCAACGACTTGTACTATCGAGTTGACGAACTCCAACGGCAGTGGGAGGAACAATCCCCGCTAGAGGGTCCATTTCAACCCTGGGGCAGGAACAAAGCCAATGCTAAATGGGGGGACAATCGAGACTGCTCGTGCTCTCAGTGGCTGCATAAATTTGGCATTGAGCGGGCCCGGCGCTTAGAGATTCGAATGTGGCCAAAGAGCGACGGCTGTGGCTGCAGTGTGACGGAACTAATGTCTGGGTTGAGGACGGGGTGGACGTGTGTGGGTTCGGCAGACCAGAAATCACAAAGCATGACCCGCGACAGGCAGAAGAAAGGTGGACGGGTCATGGTGATGATGGTGCAAAATGGTGTGACCAAGAAAAAATGATGCTATCGAGAGAGTCTTGGTCTTAGTATTGCACATTCTAGCATAAACCGCCAAGCGTTTGCAGCAGGACTGGTGGCTGGCAGCTGGCAGTTAGCTGAGCGGTGAGGTGGGATTACGGCAGAAATTACCTTTGCCCGTTTGCATCGTCGACCACCATAGCTCAAGCTAATTTTCTTTCCAATCTTGACCAGCCGTTGTCCAGCTAGCCTCTTTCCATTCATCACATTATGATTCGACGCCGGCTCACATTCCTTCATCCCTTGACAGCGCCATTGACCCTCGCGCGTTCAACCCCGCCAAAGTGCTCGACGCAGCGTGTTTCAGCCGCATCGGAGACGGCAATGAACATGCTCCTGCACGGAATACATCTCATTCACCCTTGCTACGTCTGATCATCCGTTCCTCAGCTGCCTTCATCACCCTCTGGAAGCGGCCGCAATATATCCGATGCCAGATCGTCTAATGTATAGAGGCGCAGCTGTTTGCTGGGCAAGAAGTCCCATCATGTTGTCATACCTGGCTTACCTCTGTGAGCTGATGCAGACTCGCACGACAGAGTCCGCGTGGCTCCCAGCCAAGAGACTGGTGGCGGCCGCTGAGCGCTTAAATTGAGGTTGTCGGCCACCAATCTTTCTCCAACTACAGCATGCATGCGCAGTGATGGGTCACCGCTGACAAGCCTCGTAAGAATACAAAAAAATAGAACACGCCGTTTGAGGCCGAAGTGCATCGCATCTACGGCCGGTCGCATACAGACAAACAGGCACTTCATGCAGGTCCTGACAGCCGTAGCCGTCCAAAGGAGCGGCATATGGATGTTTTGGAATCCTGCTGATGCACAGTACCCGAACGAGGTCACCAAACGAGTTGCAACGTCAGTGCAAGGACCATATTTGTTTGCAAAATCTATCCGCAGCGGGCGGCGTCCGAAATTTTTGGGGTCATCCGGTCATCTCGCAAGCTCCATCAGTGCTATTATGACAAGTTGTGATAGAAGCATGGCCATTGAGCGCCAAATCTCAATTAATCTGCCACAATAGATCGTCATCCGACAATGTTCCGGTAGGGTCACACTGCGCCGGCACTTTCAGCCATGTGCGCTGCGCCTCTTGCAATCTGACACAGAGTCTACATACGGAGTACTGGTAGGGACAACAACATACTGACAGGCTAGGCAAATATTACTAATAAGTACCTAGGCACGGGAGAGCCGAGCTGGCCGGTGGCTGGCTGTCGGCGAAGAGAGGCCTGACCCGTTCGCGGCCCCGCTGATCTAGGAAACGTTGGCCGACAATGGAAGGATCGGAAACGTGAATATCTCGCTGCCAAGGAAACAATACCAAAAAGTCGAACCATGGTAAAACCAGAGAATAAGGGCAATTGCCGGAACATGTCGTAGATGATTAGTCTGTTATTAAAGACAGTTGCGCATAGTCTGCGAGACATTCGCTCACCTTTCGCTGCCTGGTGTGGCTGTGCCAAGGCGACGCCATCTTGGTGACGTACCAATGGGCAGCGGCTGCACAGCCAGCTTTTCTTCATCGGCAAATTAAACTTGTGCTCAAGCTTCATGACCTGAACTGCTACTTCGTTGCTGTCCAGAACTATTCGCATGTCGCAGTTTTGGTGCCACGGTTCAGCTCTCAACAACCTCGCTGTGGCCCATGAGATCCATTAAGCTTCCCCCACGTCCCCCCAGCACTTTGACCTCGCAACATGTCCGGCACCAATTCCGCCGACGATGTGCGCCGCTACCAAGAACCCTACAGCGGCCACAGACCCGTTCCGACCATCTCCAGATATCGCGAGGAGCTGGCATTGCGGCAGCAGGAAGCCATGGAGCATCATGAGACGCCAGCGCCAGCTGCCGACGAAGGCCTCGCCGAGCTGCGTCCCAGCCGGTCGGCGCTGCCTACAGGCCCACGACCTTCTTCAGGCTTGAGCATACGAAGCGCGCTCAGCGACAGGGCCAGCCGCAAGAGCAGATCCCGCAGCCGCGACAAAGACGAACACCCACAGGAGCTCCCCATGATCGACACGTCCCAGACAGACCCAGCCCTGACCGATCCACGCCAACGTCGCAAAGAGCTAGGGACCAAGGGCAAGGAAAAACGAAGGCAGCGAGCCGAACGCGAAGTCACGGACCCTGTTACGCATCAGACCATTATAATTCAAGATTTTGACGACGACGCTCTCGAAAACGTGACATTTAACGATGCTGCCACGCTTGCCCCGAGAAAATCCATGTCCTCTTCACGCGACGAGCCGAACAGCCCCAAGAAACCCACCGACGTGGCTGCCCTGCATCAGGAGTTTCCCGTTCCCGACTTTGGAGGCTTGCGAGATGAGATTGAGCACATCAGCCGTCAAGGCGCCACGGTCGGCGTTTTTGGCGCCGCCATTATTCTGGTCGCCTCATACGAGATATACAAGCTGCTTCCTGCCTCGACGAAACAGGGCAGCATTCCTTGGCTTCTGTTTTATGGCGGCTTCTTTTTAATGGCATATCTTGCCATTTTCGTTCGAGACTATAGCTCCAGACAAACCCGACAGCTTTTCGAGGACGAGATCTGGCATGCGCATCGCGAAAAGATGAAGACCGACGCGGACAAGAGCACGCACGAGCGAACCGTTTGGCTAAACTCTGTGCTGCGTACATTATGGCCCATTATTAATCCAGATCTCTTTGCGAGCTTCACCGATATTCTCGAAGATGTCATGCAGGCCTCTATTCCCAAAATCGTCCGCATGGTCAGCATCGAAGATATTGGCCAGGGCAGCGAGCCTCTGCGTATTCTCGGCATCCGATGGCTGCCGAGTGGTGCCACCTCGGAGACGCTCCGCCCCAAAGACGGCTCCGTCAAGGATGAAAGTATCAAAGCCAAAGAGAAGGATGCTGCAGCCAGTAATCCTTTCGGCCCTCACGTCATGGATGACGAAGAAGGGTCTTTTGTCAACTTGGAGATTTCATTCGCTTACCGAACTCGGGCAAGCTCGAGAATGGCAAAGCATAGTAATAACGACCTTCATCTTTTCGTGGCATTCTATCTGCCAGGAAATATCAAGATTCCTGTCTGGGTCAACCTACACGGCATTATCGGCACCATCAGAGCCCGACTCCAGCTTATTGCCGACCCGCCGTTTATCTCTCTTTGTACCGTGACGCTTATGGGCCAGCCAAAGGTGGCCATGAGCTGTGTACCTTTGGTTCAGCGGGGACTGAACATCATGGATGTCCCGCTGATTAGCAATTTTGTGCAGGCGGCAGTCGACGCTGCCGTGGCACAGTATGTTGCACCCAAGAGCTTAACTATTGATCTGCAAAAGATTCTGGTTGGCGAAGACTTCAAGAAGAACACCTTGGCCAAAGGCATTTTGATGGTGACCATCAAGCGAGGCTACGATTTCAAGATGGGCGACGCAGCCATTCCCTTTTTCAGAGAAGGTGGCTCGGATCCTTACGTCTCTGTCGGCTGGGCAAAGTTTGGCAAGGTGGTGTGGAGCAGCCGCATCATGTACAAAGAAATGTCTCCTTGTTGGGACGAGACGTGCTTTGTTCTGGTGACACCAGAAGAGTTGAACATTGACGAGCGTCTTCGCGTCCAGCTGTGGGACTCGGACCGATTTACTGCGGACGATGACCTAGGCCGCATTGAAGTCAGCTTGAAAGAGATTATGGAGAACCCAGAGTCCAACGGCAAGATGTCTGATCGTGCCGACGGATTCAGAGCGCTCAAGTCTGGCGACAATATGCCAGGCAAATTAGAATGGAGTGTCGGGTACTTTCCCAAGACTAAGATTCTCGACAGCCAGTTTCAGCTACAAACGCGAGATCCACGCGTCCGAAATATGGAACAGCTCAATAAAAAGGTTCAGCGCACATGTGAGCGCAAGCTACGCGAAGCTATGCTCAAAGACACTACGCTGGAGCGCCATGAGGAAGATTTGGAGAAGAAGCGCGTGCTCGAATTCAAGACGGAACACGATGAAATGATCATTTCTGCACCGCCTCCGGAAGAATATCCCAGTGGTCTTCTGAGCATTCAGATCCATAACCTGACTGGTCTCGAAGTTAAGAAGCTTAGCAAAGAGCCCAAGGCCAAGTTTGGCAGTGCCAGCGACGACGAGGAGGAGACTGGCGAGGGCTTGCCTTCTTCTTACTGCACCATTCTCATTAATCATCGCAAGACTTTCAAGTCTCGTGTCAAGCCTCAAAACAGCAAACCGTTCTTCAATGCAGGCTGCGAACGCTTTATTAGAGATTGGCGCGACTGCGAGGTCTATGTGTCTGTTCGCGACGCTCGTCTTCATGAAGATGACCCCCTTCTGGGAATCGTGCACCTTCCTCTAGCGCAGGTCTTTAAACAACGCTCCCAGGTTATGGGATGGTGGCCCATCTCTGGCGGCATCGGCAATGGTCGCATCCGCATTTCTTTGGTGTGGCGCAGTGTGTCGCTCCAAGCACCTCGGAACCTGCTCGGCTGGCAGTATGGCACGCTGGATATTCGCCACAAGGCTATTGGCACGGGTGTGCCAGAGGAGTTGCGTAGTTGCAAACTTCGCCTACAGACTAACATCAGCACTGGAAAGATGTATTCCTCTGCCACAGAAGACGGGCACGCTGTCTGGGCAACAAAATCGAGCAAGCACGTAGCTCTGGCTCTGCATCAGCGATATAGCAGCTGTTTCTCTATTACGTTTGTAGATGGCCGACGTCTGCTGGGTGACCGCATTGCGGCGTTTTGCGTGCTGTGGCTCAAGGACATACCAGATGAGGAGGAGCAGGAGATTGACCTGCCAATCTGGAAAGGCGACTACAAGCGCGCCATTTCCAACTGCATGGAGACGTGCGGCGATAAGCTAGGGACGCTCAAGCTCCGTTTGACGCTGTGGGCTGGCATGGGCAGCGCGCACACGAGCTGGGCCAGCGGCAGCGAGCATCTGCGGCAAGTGGTGGAGGTGATTGACACGGCGCGCGACATTCTTCAGACGGATGACCTCGAAAAGGAAACGGGCATCGTGGACGCGGACAACAACGGCGACCAGGACGGGGACTCTTCCGACGACGAGGGCGCGGACAATGACGCAGAGACCGAGGACGCCAAGAGCCAGCACCATGGCCGGCGTGGGCGTAAAGGAAGTTCGCCGGGCAGGGACGCGGTGCTGCCTGACGGCAGCATTTCGGATAAGCAGAGTATGCTGGATCAGGTGCGCGACTACAAGAAAAAGGCCAAGACGCTGCACCGTCAGCATCGGGGCATCATGCAGTGGAAGATTCCGCGCACGGCGAAATGGGTCAAGAACAAGCTGGGCAGGGTGGAGGACGGGGTATCGGGCTTGTTTGAGCACGAGGTGAAGCAAAAGGCGGATATCGAGACGGAAGTTTAATGGTCTCGCGGTGATGTCGAGACTGTTTCATGACATGCACGACTTTTTGTTTGCTTCAAATTTTAAGGTGTCAATTGTATATATAAAGGGGGCAGATTAAGCCTAGTCACCGACGGTGTACCTATGGCAAATGGAAGAAGACGAGAAGCGTTTGAATGGAGGTTGGCAGGTAGAAGGCATATACGAACGCTTATTACATGAACGTTCTCATAGTGGCTGTGATGAGCATGTTGCTGTGATGAGCAATGGATATGGCATTTCGAATCTATATGCTTCTATTATTATAGTCTATTGTGTGTTCCCTTCCCCCCAAGTCTAAGGTCAAGACATGGAAAAAAATTATCTTCATCTAGGAGGTAAGTTATTTGCTATTGACCCAGCTCAGATAGCTGTTCCAGCCAATGGAAATGACGTTGGCAAAGAGCACGCGGTACTGGAGCGGGAGAAAGGCAAAGTTAATGGTCTGGACAAAGGGCCAGACCATCCAGTTGGTGCGGAGGGCGGGCCACCAGGTCTTCTCGAGGCGCTCCTTGGCCGAGTTGCCCTCCATGGTGGCCATGCTGCTGAGGAAGACGGCAATCATGGTGGGCGCAAAGACGGACTGATCGACAAAGACGCGGGCGAGGGTCTCGACGCGCTTGTTGGGAGAGGTGACGCGACGGGCGAGAAAGTTGAACCAGGTGGTAGCGGCAGGACCAAATACAACTTGGGTGTGATGTCAGCTTCCATTCCTTTTTTTTTTTGTTTCCTTGTCATGTTTTATGATTCTTGCCCTTCCTTTTCCGAGTGGTTTGTAAAAGCAAACGGAACGGCACATGATGAAACACAAACACAAAGGAGAAAAGCAAGACAAGAAAACTCACCACCGCCGTAGAGGGCCATGCGGCCGGTACGGGCAAAGTCGTGCTTTTCCAGACCGCGCTGGTCTACGAGCTGCTGGGCGGTTATATCGCCAGTGGCAAAGAGAACGGCGGTAGTGATGCTCTGAGTGAGGAGGGGGCGCGCGGCGAGGCGGCCGTTGTACCTGGCGGCGGCGGCGTTGTCAGCAAACGATTGTATCAAGGGGCGAGAGGGTTTTGAGAGGCCAACGTACCATCGGAGAAGTGAGACAACCATGATGAATGTGCGTATATGTGAATAGAGAGGAAAAGAGGCTGATATCAAAGAGAATCCGATGGGTGTGATGGCGATATCGGCGGTCAGAGAAGGTACGAGGACAAAAGAAGACAGAGTCGGTGGCAGAATGAATGCAACAGTTATGAGACGTGAGATATGCCGTGTAACAGGAACAAAAAAATGGTCTCGAATGAATGAAGGACGCAATGCCAGTGACGATGAAGGACGAGAGGGGAAAAAAAAGAGGTTCACAGTGTAGGTCACAAAGGGTGCCAACGATTTTGACCCTTTTTCGGCATCTTCCTTGTCACACTTGACACAACCAGCCAGCGCAGAGGCTTTTTCCCCATATTTAAAAAAAAATCACGAGTAATGGGGCCGCGCCGCCCGTCAAATAGGCGCTAAGGAAGAAGCGCAGTGGGAGACTGTTGGGCGTTGGTTGTACAAAAGTTGCCATGGTGACTGTTAATAAAAGAAAAAAAAAACCAAAAAAGAAGGAAGAAAGAAATAAAAGCGTTTCGAGATTATCTCATAAAATGCTCATATGTGATTTTTTTTTTTGCTCAATTTATTAAACGCAAGATTTGTCTAGAAGTGCCATTCTACTACTTATTAATCCGTACTAGCTCGCTCAATCTCGTAGCTCCGCCTCCGCTTCTGCTGGGCCCGCGTTGCCCGCCAATCTCGGAGCCAACAGCCTGCAATTGGCAGGATTGCCTAAAATGGATTCCCGAGAGCGGTTCCTGAATGGCGTCTAATTATTCACTCCCTCGTTTATTAAAAACTTATAGGCGCATCTCATCTCTTGGCGGAAATCGCATCGCATCTTTACTCCCTACCCCAGTTCTTGACCTAGCTCCTGGTAAAATGCAGCCACTGGCACTGGCACTTACCCCCCCTCCCCTGCTAATACACACCGCTCACGGGCAGGCAGGGGGAAGCAATGCGTGGCCCAAGCTCTTGCCTCTTCTTGCCGTCTCCCACGATCAAAACAGCGTTGAACGTAGCATGCCGTGATTTTGCCTTGCCATTGTAGAGTAGCATCGACGCTGACAAAAAAAAAACGAACCAGTCTCAACACTCTCCCTTCCATCACCCCGCACCCGTCATGACCCATCAGTGTCGGCTGCCATCATACTTACTCAGTATCAACAACCCACAGAATTTCAGCACCATACTCGCAGGCCGTAACCCGGACCTCTCCCAGAATGGCTACCACCTCCAGCTGGGCCTCCCTCGAGGCGCGCTACGGAAAACTCTTCCGGACGCTCACCTGGGTCGCCTTCATCCCTGCCCTCCCCATGCTCCTGGCTCACGGCCTCATGTCCAAGCGCGCCTTTCCCGTCACCGGCCTCCTTCCGCAGTCCCTCTCCACCGTCGCAGGCATATGGCTCCTCCGCCGCCAGAGCAAGAAGACGCGCCAAGGGTCCACCGGGCAAGACGACGGCGACATCATGAGCTCCGTCGAAGACGCCGTCGAGAGCGGCATGCACGAGCTTGATTCCGTCGGCGAGAAGCTCACGCATCCCTTTCTCGTATTCGCGTTTGACATTGCGATTGCCACCGGCATTATGGTTGTCTTGGTGTATACGTGGAGGTCATCGAGCAACTCGGCTGCGCTTAGCATGCTTGCTGCTTATGCAACGATTCCCCTGATTCTGAGCTTGTATGTGCAACAACTAGTCAGTGGTCATGTACACGGTCGTAGGCTAATTATAGCTGCACAGCATCTCGCATGTGGCCCTCGCTTTCGCCGCGCTCTGGGACGGTCTTGCCATCCACGGCCACATAAAATGGGCTGCATCGCGGGCCATTGACTCGGACTGCCCCAACTGCAGCCACGGCCTTTGGCCTGAGCGTCCTACGATGCCCTGGTCGCAATACATTAAAAAGCAGACGCCAGCCTCTTATGCCTCCGTCTTTGCAGATGGCGCAGAGTCATATCACTCGGAAGATGACGACGACCATGTAACTCCAAGTTATGCTATCGAGCCCGAGACTGTCGACATTCGACCCAAGAAGATAACAAACAAGGCTCTGACGCCTGTCAATGAGACTACGGCTCTTTTGGAGTGATGCTGCCACAGAATTGGTTGGTCTCGCATTCAAACCTTGGCGACCATGTTTGTTTGAGACGAAGTTCCTTGTCCACAATACCCTGTCGATGTTTCCTTTGCAGTTGAGTTTGGAGATACCCCTCATCTTCTTTATTTGAGCGTTGTACTGTTTCTCATTTCGATGTAAAGTCGACAGACCTAGGACCTACATTCGCTTGTATCCTACATGCCTAGAATCATGCGTTGAATTATGATAAAATGAAAATTGAAGAATAACCATGTCAGAAGCCGTGATTCTAAAATTGAACGCGCTCCACTTTGCAAGTGAGGGGTAATGACTCTGTGTAACATGGTCTTTCCGATGCCACCTGCCCAGATGGGCTCTGCCGTCTGCGCTGTACACAGACATGCTCGGTTTCCCTTTCGCAGATCGAAGCAAAGCTCGCACAGCCGCGTAATCTGTCTATATCCATCTTCAATCATCCAAGACTTCCACACTTTTCGCATGACATTCACTCCATAGATGAGGCCATGACTCGTATTTCAGCCGGATCCAGGCTGGAGCAACTGCCTCAGCATCTGCTGCTTAGCATCTGCGAGTACCTCGCCGAGTGTGAACCGACAACAAAGCGCAGCCTCTGCGCCTTCGCCTTGGCCAGCCAGACGTGCCGCAATGCCACAGACCCCCGGCGGTTCCGCCGGATGAACATTTTTATACGCGGACCGCAGAAGCTACAGCGTGACATGCAGCGTTGGCGACAGACTATCCAGACAGGGCGTCGGACGAGATTCGTGCGCGTTATCAAAATAGCAGGGGAGACTATATCAGCGGAAGAAGAGAAGCGAGAAGAGGCGGTAGGCTATGACCTTGAGCTAATGTGCAAGCGATTAAGGCCGGGCATGGTCAACAGAGTGGATGATGAACACCCCGAGCTGCTCAGCGGAATGGACTATCCACTTTGCTTTTACCCAGCTCCTTCGAGCCCGTCGACACAGTGGCCAGATGAGCAGCCATGGCAAGCTCTAGTCGAACTTTGCAAGGAGCTGCCGCTGCTCGAGGACGTCGTGTTTGCGTCCTCGGACCAGTTCCCGCGGGCACTTTTGTCCGAACTCCACCAAAACCACCCGCAGAGCCGTCTGCATATGCGTAATTTTGGCCTCCGCAGTCTCATCCACTCCGAGCTCGAGGAGAGACCAGCCATACACGCAGACGACATTGCGCTCGCCACTTCCCCCTGCCTTTATAGTGTCGTGGCTGTCACCTCGCAGCATCGCCGGGAACAGGTCGTCGACTATAACAAGGAGGCCATTATGGAAATGACTGCTGGTCTGGCACCGAGGCTCACGAATGTGTGCATCTTCGGGGATACCATGCAAAGCTCGCGGACTCCTATGAGCACTATTCCACGCCCACCATGGCAAGGTTTCCCGTCGTCCCTTGTCGAGGCGGATCGTAGGCAACAACCCACTTTAGGTCACCTTCAGGAATTGGTTCTAAACACTTGCCCATCGGCGGAAGAGCTCCTTGAATGGACTCGTCGGACAAACTTCAGCCAGCTACAGTTGCTCACACTGAGACGTGAAGTTCATAGTTCGACCATGCAACAGCTAGTACGGATAGCGCGTCAAAGTCCCATGACAGCACTATCGTCACTACAAATATCTGCTAGATCATGGTCTGGCCAGGAAGATATGGACATGAAGCATGCAGTGGCTCAACTCCTAGAGACTCTCCCTTCCCTCCGGAGCCTGACTTTTTACGGGCCATCAGAGGTGACTTCCTTGAGCACCATCTTGTCCAGTCAATTGGCCACACTTCGTAGGTTAGAGGTTTTGAGTACTGGTGAGGAGCGCCAAGGCCCAGGCTCATCGATGCTGTCACTCGTGTCCGCGGATCAACTCGCGCGACAGTGTCCTCAGCTTGAGGAGCTAGAAGTGCAGATGGCCAGAGCACAAGGCGATGCCCGCGAAACGGCCATCTATCACCGTCTAGGCAAATTGCCACGTCTCAAGAGCCTGACTCTGCATCTCAGAATCCAAAGAATTTCCCCGTCAGACATGCACAGCGGCTTCATCTTAATAGCATTCGGCGACCATTGGAACATGACGGTCCCGGAGGTCCAGCACCGGTACCGAGAAGCCGCCATCGATGCAAAGCTAGCTCTATCCATATTCAGCATGATTGGTAGGATAAACAACCTGCGCGCGCTACAGCTTCGCCCATATGGCGACTACCGGGGGCCGATGAACGGCCTTGGCCGGTGGATGTGCTGGCTCGCGAGGAGGTGGGTAGTTGAGAGAGACTCGGCAGGCAATGTCATGGCCAGAGAACTGGATGCACAAAAGCGAAAAGAGGCCCTGGAGGAACTGCAGTCGCAGAGGAATGATGAAGAATGGCAGACGTGCAAAAAGGCATGGGATACACTCTGGCCGCCGCGTTCTGCGCAGTGGTGGGATGAGTGGTCCAGTGTACCACTCAAGTCGGGCTCTGAAATGGAGACGATACGAGATGACATCGAGAAGCGGGCGAGCAGCGACGCTGCCCGAGAGGAAAGTCGGGTTGTCTGACGATAAGGCGCCACGGTGATGTGTTTACAGGTTGTCGGCTCAAGTGAGCGTAGCGGCTCGACGTGACATCGTAACGTAGGCCACGTCCCCATTTGTTTGACCGTGGCTAAAGTAGGGGTAGGTAGGTATGTACGAAGTTAGTTACCTAATGCTTCTCTTGTCTACATAGGTCTTGTCTTCTGAATTTGAATCACTAGAGTAACTATATACTCTTGAAATTATGAACCTGATTCCAATATTCCAATTCTAGTTATACTCCATCAATTGTCTAAAAAGATTTATCCGTTTAAATACCCTTGCTTATCTGTATTTAGAATGTCTGAACACCTGATTAGTCCGGATATCACCACACTCTGTCAGCACTTCAATATGTGGGGAAACGTGCACTGATTGGCGGTCGCTGCCTTAGGCCACCCCCTCACCCGACTTTTCGACCACCTGCCCATTTTACCGCCTTTGATGACTGATTGCCAATCTATCTGGTCCAGGTTTTCGACACAAGACTGCACCGCAGGCCAACACCCGTATCGTGCCGCGTCAGGATCCATCCGATGCCCTCTCGTTTATCTCGACTTTGTTCGTCTTCCTCTTCTCACCTATAGAGCGAACCCGATCGCCGCCTGCCATCAAGCCTACAACTCTTGGCATCCGTCGCCATGTTACCGTCCTCGGTGCGTCGCGTCGTCGCCTTAGCGCCTCCGGCCGCTGCTGCTTGCGTCTCGGCTCCTGTCGTCATGCGCGGTCACCAGCGCCGCTTTTCCTCATCTAAGCCCTCGCGCTCCGACAACGGCTCCAGCGAGTTCTCGGCTGGCCAATCCGTCCCTTCCTCATCGCGGCATCAGGGAAAGGCCGCCGGCGACAAGCGAAAACGAAAGAGCAAGGAGGCGTCAGCCCGGGATGCCTCATTCAAGAAGCTGCCCAGTGTCCCTGCTACGCACCACATGTCCCACGAAGGTATGTCACGAAACAAAACAGCGAATGACAATGGAAACCCGAGGCAGTTCTATCTGCTCTCCGACGCCGACAACCCCTCGTCTGTGTCACTTGCGGAATTTTCGACTGACCGTAGCATCACTAGCTCTTGGACTGTCGAGCTTCTTTTCGCTCCACCGCCCTATATCCATCACCCAGACGATGCCGCGAACGGTTTCCGATGAGCACTTTGCTTCCATCTTTGCGGCCCGCTCCAAGGCCAGCCGCATCTCCGAGACCATGTCTACCCTGTCCGACACCATCGACCAGCTCGAAGGCCCCATGGCCCAGATGACAATTGGCGGCCAGGACGAGCAGATGCAAAGCGGCATGCAGCGTCTCGAGGTCCGCAACGCCGACGGCAGCGAATCTAGCGTCTACCTGCAGGTCGACACCATGTCGGGCGACTTCTTGCCCTTTCGCCCACCGCCCTTGCCCATGGCTCAGGCTGCGGGAGAGGGCGAGACTGCAAGCATCACCGCCGCCACCACCGAGGCGGTCGAGGAGAATCCCCAGCACCGCGTCTACAAGGCCATGTTCACCATTGAGGAGTCAACCGAGGCCGACGGCCAGATCCGCATCGTCGCCCACAGCCCCCGCATCATCAACGAGGAACAGCCGCGCAGCTTCATCGAGCGCCTCGCCCAGCGCCAGCTGCGCTTTGACGAGGCCCGCGCGCGCCGTGCCAACGGAGACCACGCCGCCGGCGAGACGATGGAGGCCATCAGCGTCAAGCGCCAGCGCAAGCTGCGCATGAAGAAGAAGAAGTACAAGAAATTTATGAAGCGAACGAGGAATTTGCGCCGCAAGCTTGACCGTACATAGAGGCGGCCTTTGCTTGGACTAATTTCAGCGCGTGTATATTAATCCTACTTTTCCTTTGTTGATTTCCATGCTGGCACATTTCCATCAGGTCGGGGCTGATTTACGAGGTGGTCTGTCTGGGCGCTCGGCTCGGGCATTTCACCAAGGGCTGTTTTTCGACTTTTTCATTTTCGACACCATAACTGCATCATCCATAGACATTGCAACCGCAAGCTGCCAACATAGAAACAATTTTGAATCAGTCGCGTGGCCAAACTGTGCAGGCTCGTAGTATAGCTCAGGACCGAAATGATCAAAAATCCAGCTTTCTCCTACGAGAGCAGCCCATCGCGGTGGCCAGTCCATCAACTCGGTCAAATCAATGAGAGCCCATGCTGTTATAACAGTAAGTAGATAGTCGAGAGCACTCGTCTCAAATGCTCCACAAAACTTCGAGCCGGTGCGACACACCGCCTGGCAGAAAGCCAACAGCCCGCCAAAATTTTGGATTCTGCCTGATACCAAAATCTAGGCTGGCCATTTTTTTTTCTGCCATTACTGGGTTGCTTTGATCGACTTCAACCGCAAGATTGACCAAGCCGGCACCATGTCTGCTCGAAAGCAAGTGTAAGTAAAATTCGCAAACTTTAAAGAAATCGAAAATCAGACTTTTAGGACTCCCGAGAGCTGAAGCTGACTCTCACAGCGATCCCCGTATCGGCGCCTTAATACGAAATGGCCTACAAGAAAAGAAGAGAAGCTTCTTTGTCGTTGTCGGCGACCACAGCAAAGATGTAATTGTGCGCCTACACTACATTATGTCGCGCGTCGACATCAAGCAGAACAAGTCTGTCTTGTGGGCGTATAAAAATAAATTGTTGAACTTTACCAGGTATGCGAGTGGCCGTACCATTCAGCCCAAAGACTTTCGTTTTGGCTAATTCAACACCAAATTACAGTCACCGAAAGAAGCGCGAGGCCAAGATCAAAAATGAAATAAGGAGGGGCATCCGCGAAGTCAACGATGAAGACCCGTTTGAGCTGTTTATTTCGCTACACAACATTCGATACACCTACTACAAGGAGACGGACAAGATTCTCGGCAACACCTACGGCATGTGTATCCTGCAGGACTTTGAGGCCGTGACGCCCAATACCCTCGCGCGCACCATTGAAACGGTCGAAGGTGGCGGTCTCGTCATTCTGCTACTCAAGGGCATGAGCTCGCTGCGCCAGCTTTACAACCTCTCCATGGACGTGCACTCGCGGTACCGCACCGAAGCCCACGCCGACGTCGTCGCCCGCTTCAACGAGCGCTTCCTGCTCTCCCTCGGCAGCTGTGAGTCGTGCCTCGTCATCGACGACGAGCTCAACGTGCTCCCCATCTCGGGCGGCAAGGACGTCAAGGCCCTCCCGCCGCCCGAAAGGGACGAAAACACGACGCCTGCGCAGCGCGAGCTAGCAACCATCAAGGAGGACATGCAAGATCGCCAGCCTGTCGGTTCCCTCGTCAAGCTCGCCCGTACCGTCGACCAGGCCAAGGCACTCCTCACATTCACCGATGCCATCGCCGAGAAGACGCTGCGCAGCACGGTGGCCCTGACCGCCGCCAGAGGTCGCGGCAAGTCGGCCGCGCTCGGCGTTGCCGTCGCTGCCGCAGTAGCTTACGGATACAGCAACATCTTCATCACATCCCCATCGCCGGAAAACTTGAAGACGTTGTTTGAGTTTGTTTTCAAGGGTTTCGATGCTCTGGGCTACGCCGACCATGCCGATTACTCTATTATTCAAAGCACGAATCCCGACTTCAACAAGGCCATCGTCCGTGTCAATATTCACCGCCAGCACCGCCAAACTATCCAGTATATCCGCCCGCAAGACGCTCATGTTCTCGGACAGGCTGAGCTGGTTGTCATTGATGAGGCTGCTGCCATCCCTCTGCCTCTTATCCGCAGACTGATGGGCCCTTATCTGGTCTTCATGGCATCTACCATCAACGGTTATGAAGGTACTGGTCGCTCTCTGTCGCTGAAGCTCATCAAACAACTGCGAGAGCAGTCGCGCACCGCTTCTGCTGGTGGTGCTGATACCGAAATCGCTGACCGTGCCACTGGACGCGCGGCAAAGGGCGAAGAGTTTCAGGCCGGCCGCAAGCTACGAGAGATTACTCTCTCCGAGCCGATTCGTTATGCACAGGGGGATGGTGTTGAAAAGTGGCTAAACAAGCTGCTGTGTCTCGATGCTCAGCTACCCAAGGTCAAGGCCGGATCCCCTGATCCTTCCCAGTGCGAGCTTTGGAACATTAACCGCGATACCCTGTTCTCTTTCCATCACGTTTCAGAGGCCTTCCTTCAGCAGATGGTTGCGCTTTATGTGGCCAGCCATTACAAGAATACACCAGATGATCTGCAGCTGATGAGCGATGCGCCCGCTCACGAGCTTTTCGTTCTGACTGCTCCTCGATCTGACCAGACTGGCAGGCTCCCCGAGCCTCTGTGTGTGATTCAAGTCGCACTCGAGGGTAAGATTAGCAGAGAAAGTGTACTAAACAGCTTGAGCCGCGGCCAGAGACCTCACGGTGATTTGATTCCCTGGCTCGTCAGCCAGCAGTTTCAAGATGAGAATTTTGCCACGCTGTCCGGCGCTCGTATCGTACGAATAGCCACCAACCCCGAATACATGTCCCAGGGCTACGGCTCCAAGGCCCTCGAGCTCCTCATCAACTACTATGAGGGCAAGTTTGCTAACTTGTCCGAGGACGAGGACCAAATCATGGACGACCGGGTTAGCAGAGCTACGGATGCTGAGCTTTCGAAAACGTCGCTATTAGATGACAAGATTGCCGTCCGTGACGTCAGCAAGATGCCGCCTCTGTTTACCAGCCTGTCGCAGAAGCGTCCTGAGAAGCTGGACTACGTTGGTGTCAGCTACGGCCTGACCAAAGAACTGCAAAGGTTCTGGAAGCGGTCCTCCTTCGCCCCGGTTTACCTACGTCAAACGGCCAATGATTTAACGGGTGAGCATACTTGCGTTATGCTGCGGCCTCTAGGGACGGGCGAAGAGTCGAGCTGGCTCGGCGAATTCTCACGCGATTTCCAAAAGAGATTTGCCTCTCTCCTCTCTTATCATTTCCGCACATTCAACGTTCAAATGGCCCTCAGTATTGACGAGGCTGCCTCTGCTGGCGCCAGGCTCGACGGCACGGAAGTTGCGCCCCTGACCAAGGAGGAGCTGGATCGCTACATGTCGCCGTTTGATCTCAAGCGCCTGGAGTCGTATGCCAACAACATGCTAGACTACCATGTGATCCTCGATCTGCTCCCCACCATTGCCAGCCTCTACTTCAATGGCAAGCTCAAGCAGGGCGTGAACTTGACGGGCATTCAAAAGGGCATCGTCATGGCCATGGGTCTTCAACGCAAGGACTTTGACGCGACCTCGCAGGACCTCACTGTGCCCGCGCCGCAGCTCATGGCCATGTTTATCAAGATCCTGCGCAAGGTGACGACGCACTTTGCGACGCTCGTCTCGGCCGCCGTGGACGCAGAGATGCCCAAGGCGCAGCAGGTGGGCGTCAGCCGCGCCGATGCCAGCGGCGCGCACGACGACGAGGCGGTCGAGGACAAGTACGCGCCGTTGACGATGTCGCTCGACGACGAGCTGGAAGAGGGCGGCAATGAGGCGTTGCAGCAGCTGCGCAAAAAGCAGCGCGAAATGATTGACTCGCTTCCGCTGGACCAGTACGGCATTGATGGTGACGCCCCCGCGTGGGAGGAGGCCGAGAAGCAAATGAAGAATGCCATCAAAGACGGCAAAGCTGCGGGCGTCGTGAGCGTCAAGTCGGGCAAGACAAAACGCAAGGCGGCCGCAACAGCCAGCGAGGTGTATGAGGAGACATTTGGCGACAAATCATCAAGGAAAAAGGCCAAAAAGGGTAAGAAGGCCTAAGGGCTCAATTTGAACTCGCGATCGGAAGAAGTCCGATCCGCCTGCTTCATCGACACCATAGGCGTTGTTCTTTTATTTGTTGCATTCATGGGTCAACTAGGTGTTCTTCCCCGTCCATGTGGGCACTGTTGTACATACACACACACTATAAAAAGAAGCATGTTTGAGCACTCGAGTTGATCGAGCAAGTGCTAAAGGTGTCAGGGCGCCGTTCTCGACCCTTTTTCCCTGTGTGACTGTTTAAATTGCGAGAAGCCATTACCAATGGGATCTGAACCCTGGGGGTTGTCTTTGGTTTGTGCGACTCCGGACCTAAAGGCTGCGGCGCCCGCAAAGTTGCCTGGCACCTGGCTTCTGCGCTTTGTCCAATTCTGGCCAGATGTGCGGCAAAGAGGTAACACCGGCAACCTGCATCGCGAGAAGGCGAGCTTCTGGGCGGAATAGGGCGTTGGTTCTCACCTTGTGTTCACTCGTCGGCGTTCGAGACGAGGTCGAGCCTCTGGCAGCTGCCTGCCAGGCTGGAGGGGGTGACTTGGCTGTTGAGTGACAGTTAGTTGGTCGTGTTTGCACTGCTGCCTCCTCCATCCGTTTTACCACTTCACATCATCCTATTACACGACAATATCTCGACTTCTTTCCTCTCTCAAAACATCTCCTCTAAAGCATCTCTTTTCCGGTATCCTCTTTGACCTTTTTCTTTGTTTCGCGGAAATCGGTGCCGTGGAGTTGAGCAGCGTGATACATACCTAACTAGCAAACGGGCTACGACGATCACGATTAACTCGTACCATTTTGAGCCCCGAGCTTCGAAACAACGGGAGAAACCGTTCCTTTCTTTCCGGAAACCTACGTGTGTGTACAACCGCAGATTGCGCCTCCATGTGCAGGCCAGTCTATCTTTACTGCCCCTACTGCAAGGCCCGATACTTCTTCATGTGGGAAGAGTGCAGCTGCTTCTGGGCGCGGTACCAGTACATTGTCATTGACCAAGGCAACTTTGAATCGCGGCCGCGGTTGAGCCGCCGGACGGACGAGCCGCCCGCCTGCGGCGGCGTCATCCAGGAGGACAAGAACCGCCACTTTGAGCTGGGAGCGTGTCCCCGGCTGCAGCGGTGTCCGTCTCTGCAGGCACTACATCAACGAAATCGACAGCAGCAGCAGCAGCAGCAGACGTCGACACAGCACAGGATGCTACGTAAGCGCAATGCCATAATGCAGACAAACGATCATGGCGAAGAGGAGTCGATGGAGGAGCGGCGCAAGAGGGAGTTTGCAGAGAAATTCTTCCGGAAGCGGCCAGTAATGCCACTTACGCGGGTCAACGACACGGCGGATGCCGACCACGAAGACGACAATGAGAACGATGTGGTGCCCGGTCATGAAGATGCGACCACGGAGTTTGAAGATGAAGAGTCCGAGGTCCTGTCGGAGCAAGCGGCCGCATCGGGGGACCCAGTGCAGATAAGACGGCCAATTACTGGTGCGGAATTGTCTCAGAGCCTGGACAGTACCATCATCGAGTCTGGCTCCGAGGTGGAGAGCAGCGACTGGGAGGAGGAAGAGCGGAACTTGCCACTCCGGGGCCGCAAGTTCGGTCCGGCACATTCATCAATCTAGACAGTGCCTCGAGCGGTATCCAATACATTTCCGTGTTTGCGCTGAGCTGGGCGAAAAACAACAGCAACACTGTTGTAAGCTAGGCCCAGGTTTTCCATGATCAGGCACCGGGCTAACAGACACTGGGCTTACAGACCGCAATTTGTAGTGAGCCTACGCACCGTAACCAAGATGGAGCTTGCTGCGTTTCTCCATAGTCATTACGTTATTGCAAGAGAGAGATTGCGGCAAGCGGAGGAGATGCCGAGGCTGATGGCTTAGTTTGGTTTCGAGATGGAAGTTCATTGGACGGTTGGTACGGGGGCGCGGCTTTAGCCCGGTGAGCGATACGGAGAGAAATGCCGGTCAGCGGGGCCTCTACTTACCGCCAGGAACGGAGATGTCGATGACGCAGTAAATGTCCGCATTTGATTCAACCAGATAGCGCCAGAAATGTTACTAGATTAGCGAGCGCCCATGTGTCTACTCTTTTTATTTCGCTACCTGGCAGCAACATCACAGCTGCTGTCTTGGCTGTGACACCAAACACACTCTCAATTATGCGCCGACTTACACGCTGCCTCGCAGCCCTCGTCTGTCTCGTGCCGCTGGCCACCCTCGCCGAGCAGGTCGCCAACTTTGACGTCTCACAAGCGACCGCCGAGTCACACGACTGCGGCTCCGCATGCCGGGCTCGCCTCGCACTTACCATTCCCGCCGACCGGGATGCCGTCGGGCGCGACTTTGACGTCAATTTCTACGCCACCGCGGCCAACTTTTCCCGCGCCTCGTCGCAACCCGGTGACGTGCTCAAGCTGGAGCCCGTGGACCCCAAGACGCTCACGCTTGACGGCGGCGCGACCACATACCGCTTCCAGTACGTGTCCGTTGATGCCGACGGCAGCGTCGTCCCCGTGACGGGCTTCATCGCCTTTCCGTTCACGCCGCACATTCCGGCCGACGGCGGCGACGGCAGAGCGCCACTGAAATACAGGCTGGCGGCGTTTGCGCACGGCACGGTGGGCATATTCCGCGGGTGCGCGCCGTCCAACGGCGCCGCGCTCTACGACTACAGCTCCTGGCAGCCGGCGCTGCGGCGCGGCTACGCCGTCGTGGCAACCGACTACGCGGGACTCGGCAACAACTACACGGACCACAAGTACCTCTTCCTGCCGGCGCACGCGAGCGACGTGCACTATGCCGTCGTGGCGGCGCGCCGTCTCTTTGGCGCGCGGCTGACGGACGAGTGGGTGAGCTTTGGGCACTCGCAGGGCGGCGGCGCCGCGTGGAAGCTCGCCGAGAGCGTGTACGTGCGCAACGACACGGGATACCTGGGCACCGTGGCCATAGCACCGGCGACGTACGCGGCGGACCAAATCTACGCAGCGGCCGTCGACGGCCTGAGCGGTGGCGGCGGCGGCAACAGCAGCAGCAGCAACAGCAGCAGGAAGGGTGGCGCGGGCGTGGGCTTCCTCCCGCTGATCCCGACGGCCGTGCAGCGCGTCATCCCGTCGTACAACGAGAGCATCCTATCGCCGACGCTGCGGTCGCGCGTGGCCATGGCCGAGGAGGCGCAGCTGTGCCTCGAGGGCGTGCTCGGGCTCACGCTCGACCTGGGCCTGGCCGACGTGGTGTCGGTAGCGGGCGCGCTGCGCGACCGGCCGACGCTGCGGCGGTGGCAGGACATGGCGGCGCCGGCGCAGGGCGACGTCTCGCCAGCGCCGATATTGGTGGTGCAGGGGCAGAATGACACGGCGGTGCGGTGGCAGACGACGGAGGAGGCGTGGGCGCGCGCGTGCGCGTGCGCGGCGGGCAACGAGGTGCATCTGCGGCTGTTCCCGACGCAGGGCCACCGGCCGAGCTTGGCGGCGGGCGCGCCGGAGTGGCTGGCCTGGATGGACGGGCTGTTTGATGAGCAGAGGATGAAGGCGGCGGGAGGAGGAGGAGGGGCGTGCAGGGTGAGGGAAAAGAAAAAGTGTACAAGGTATGTGCGGGAGCCGTTTGATGGAGAGTATGTGAGGGCGCCGACGGATGTGGATTTAAAGCCATATCTGGGACCTCTGAACCAGACCATGTAGATTATGCGAGTGAGAGGAGAATCGTCATGATTAAATTGTCAAGTCGGCTGTGAGTTGTTTACAGGCATTCCAATAATATGGTCTTCTGCGCTGCTTCTCTCTTTTCTGGTCGGTTTTTCCTGGTCCAACACTACTTGCTCTCGCCAAAGTTGTGTCATAGAATCGTACAATTCGTAGTAGTTGACCAGAATTGTATTTTATTCAAGATTTAGCAAAATATGTAGACAAATTCCAGACACCCCTATGCTTCAGGCATATCCGGGCGCTGCACCGAGCACATGGCTATCGCCAGATGCAGTTCTGAACCAACTTGTCCAGGGTAAGCTTTCGGTACCAGCGGGATCGAGACCCGGCGTCATTTGTAGCGGCCCCCCCCCCCGTTTGGCAGGGCGATGAAGGAAATAGTGCCCGCCTGGCTAGGCTGATAATATCGAGGCTAGTGAAGTAACTACTGGTAAGAAACCAGTCAAGTGGGTGACAAAAAAGCTGGCCCAATTTCGCCAAGGCATATACAATACTTAGCGAAAGATATATAGGATAGAAAATAGTAGAAAAATTGAAAATTTTTATAAAAGACATGACATATAATTTAGTCACTATAGTTTAATTTGACTATTACTTGAAGTAAATATATATTTTCTAGAGTCTATAGAGAGTTGTTTAAATCTAGGTAGCTAAACTTCAGTACCCTCATTATGGGCCATTTATTTTGTCACCCGCATGCCAGTATTATTATCCCTCTGTGTGTAATGTAAGCCGACATGTGGGTGCAGCCAAAACTGGGGAAGCCGAAAAAAAAAAATCAAAAAAGTCCCTACTAAGTCCATGGACCAAAAGCCGCTCGTACCGGGACAGGCGGGATTGGATTCAATTCACTCATTCCTGTCTCTGAGGACGAATTTTCTCTCCTTTGCTTTGCTTTGCTTTTCTTTTCGAATTTTCTTCTGGCCACAAGCCGTAAGCTTCTCGTCAATTCATAAAACAATACTGGATTGGAGTCTGTTTCACTTTGTGGTAATAAGGCAACACCTGTATTAGTTACAGTCAAAGCGCCCCATAAAAAATCGTCAGCAGAAGGTGCATCGTCTCGTCAACAGTAGAGTCCGCCCGGCCCTTTCTTCTCCTTTTATCCACGCGCGTCATTTTTTCTTCTCTCCTCCTCAATCTTCCATCTCTTTCCTTCCTCCCTCCCTTCCTCCCCCATCGCCATGCTCTCCTCTGCGTTTGTTGGCGCAATTGTCCTCTGCGGCGCCGTCTCCGCCGCCGTGGCCGCGCCGCCCGCCCCAGCCATTACCCCGGCAGCCGTGCTGCAGCGTCGCGACCCGGCCGGCGAGCTGGACCCCTGGGTCAGCGTCAACGAGGATCCCTCGGCCACGACATACACACCCCAGTGGACGACGGACGGCGAGGGCAAGTCGAGTCTCAAGGACGCCGCCCCATCGAGCCTCACTGGCTCCGTCTTCTCCTTCACCACCCTCGGCGAGCCCACGACGACGACGGGCGACCCTCCCAACCCGACGGCCAGCAACAATAAAGGCACGGGCGCCTTTTCGCTCTGCTCCAAAAAGGACAGCAGTACCGAGCCCTTTTGCCGTCCAAGAGTCAACTCGACCCTCGAGCCCGGCAACGTCTACTACCGTACGTTGTTTCGACTGCATGCTTCTCCATACCCTCTCTCTACACGCATCTAACTAGCTCCTAGTAACTTGGGATCCCGAGCACTACGCGAGCAAGCTCAACGAGTCGTACACCCTCACCGTCCAGGTCAAGCAGCAGAACCGCACCACCAAGGAATGGGTCTTTCTCTCCGACTTTGACCACACCCAGGTACCCGCCAAGCAGGGCTATTTCCCCTTTGACGTCAGCGACAAGCTCCTCGACGGCCACGACAGCAACAACATCACCGTCACCCTGCAGCGCCGCATGAACAGCACCATTGGCGACCCGGACGACGTCACCACCGCCTACCCGCTCAGAATTGTCAAGTTCAAGTTCCCGGCCAAGGCGCCCAACAACGGCGCCACTGGCCGCTCCCTCACCATTGCCCTACCCGTCGTCTTTGGCACCATCTTGCTGCTCGTCGTCGGCCTCTGCCTCTGGAACCGCAAGACGCGCCGCATCCACCTCGGCGACATTGTTTCCCGCAAGAGCAAGCGCGGCTACTCGGGCCGCGCCGAGCGCCGTCGTCGCATGTTTGGCTCCGCCGCCGCCACCGATGCCGATCACGACATTCAGCTCGGCAACGGCTTTCCCGACGACGGCCACGCATACTACGATGATGCTCCTGCGGCGCACAGTGGCAATCGACGCCGTGCCGACAGCGATGGTCTCGACAGCTTGGCCGCCTCGCCCGTGCACGAGAGCTTTCAGCAGCAGAATATTACGGGTGGTCGCAACGCGTTCCGTGACGAAATGGACCGTCAGAACTACGAGCGCAGCGGTCCTTTGTAAATTGGTGATTTGAAAAGGAGTAAAATCAGGTTACTCGAGAAAGAGGAGGAAACAAGTTGACGAGGACCAAACGAGGGAAAAAGGTCGGCTACCATCATAACAGAGGCGTTTGGACGGTCATGATTGAGATTTTTGTACTTTTCATCTTTTCTACCATGATGCCTGTATCCAGAAGGGTTTGTTTTTTGTGTATAATGAAGTGGAGGAAGAATATGAAGTATGTATCAAATGAGCGGCTGATGCCATACTACTTTACTTACCAAGCAAAGCGAGTAATTTCACGGACACTTGAACTTGACAGTTGTTCTTCGGGATGTAAAGCAAAGACATGTTTGTATTTATTTCTTTTATCTCGTAGCTCATTCTAATCATTAGCGACAAAGGAAATAGCATTGGCATCGATTGCCACCTGTCCATGAATCCTTCTCCCGCCCACAACACACACATCTGCTCAACTCAAACACCACCCCAACACCCCCCACCACCACCCCAGCATCCCCATCCTCGACACCCAGCTGCTCCTCGCCCCTCGACTCGTCGTCGGCGGCCCCCCATTGCTGCTTACGCTCCCGTCGTGCTGGATGCGCATCTCCCGCGCCAAGCCCGCGGGGTGGCACGTCGTCCCGCGGGCGCACTGCATCACCACGCTCCAGCGGCCGGCGGCGCAGCGCTGCCAGGAGCTGGTCATGCAGTTCCACTGGCCCTCGTCGGAGCAGGACGAGCCGGCCGACTGCTGCTGGCGGGGTTCCAAATGGTGGTCGTGGTTGTGGTCTTCTTGGGGGTGATTGGCAAATGTGGCAATGGTAAGATCGGCACTGGTGGTTTGTTGTAATAAGCCATCGGCGGCGAGAGCGTGAGCGTGGGTGGCGAGGAGGAGAAGCAGCAGCCAGAAGAGGCAGGACAATTGATAAAAATTGAACATCCTGAATATTAAGCAGGGCTCATTCATCTTTTTAGGCGCTGAGCATGTGCTTTGTGCTGCAGGATTGTTTTCATCGATTTCTTTTTTGTGAGTTGTGCTGGGCTGCAGCTCACCGACACCAGCGCTCGTGTAAGTGGTTGCTTCGTGTTAGTTGGCACATTCGCGCCGAGGAGCTGCGTAAAACAAGAATACAAAATTCCGCAGGGCCCAGCACAAGGTGAGAAAAGCCCAGGTAAAGGAGATTTAAAAAGGTAGCACAGAAAACACCTTTTGTACGAGAAGAATAAATCACCATCGTACCACGACTAGGGCTTTTTCGGGTCGGTGAGTTGGTGCCCAAGTTCCCCCACACTGCTTCAATGCGGATGGACCTCTCTGATTGGGGCCAACGCAGAGTGAGAGCCTGGGCTGCGAAAGTCGGTGTGAAGCTGGAAGAACCCGGGTCAAGGATCAAGCATCCCATATTATGTAAAGATAAATATGGCTTCGTTTGGGCATGCTAAAGAGAGCCCGGGTGGCGTGGGCTGGCGCTGGGTGCCTGAGATTCAGGTACCCGACGTCACGGGCAAGTTGGGCAATTCTAGGTCAAATGCAGGTAACATCAGCACGATTCGGAAAAATCAAAGAAAAAAGAAAAAGACTGAATGTAGAGGACATTATCGAGAGAGCTAGGGACATTCGGGGTTCAGAGCGCGCCTTTCGCGGAGCTGCTGAATTCTGAGGAACCTCGATATTGAAGACTTTATGCGAGTTCAAGTTTGAGTCTACTCAATATTGCTACGGATCCTATTATTTTCACTTTTCTATTCTCATAGCGTAGAAAAGCAAGTAAACGTCTACGGAGAGAAATAATAGAAATTCCATCCATGAGCACCAAAGACTGTCAATTCCCTTCTTGAAAACGTTGGATATCTTGCCCGAGTACACACCCGAGCAAACATGTACACTTACCTCCATATCCAGCTCAAACTTGCACTTTCACCGAACAATCGCTGTCCATTCACCAGCCTCTTCACCATTGTCCCTTGAACCGCTCCCTTCATACGCAATGGCCCTTCCCGAGTCCTCAACCCGGCAAATGACCACCTCCCTTACCTGCTTTGCATCCGTCACGATGCGCCTCGCCCACTGCCACTTACTCCGCATCCCACCCGTGACATCATCCACACTCGCCACCGCCGCCGCCGTCGCCGTCTCATCATCCTTGTCGATTGCTGCGCTGCCTGCTTCGCTACAACATATTGTCTTGATGAGCACGGCGTCGTCTGGGAACCGCTTCGGATCCAGCGTAAAGAGGCCCGCCACGTCCGTGACAAACACGCACCGCTCGACAGCCGGCAGTCGCTCGGCGAGATAGTACATGAGCGCGTCGCCAGAGAGAATCGTGGACCCCAGCGTACGGTCAAACACGGCGTCGCCAAACAGTAGTGGGACGAAGCCGGCAGCGAGGACCTGCTGCACGCGCGCTACGAGCCGCGCGCTGGAGGCGCCCGTGACGGCGCCATTGTCCGTGTCGACCGTGTCGTAGGTGGACACGGACAGGATGGGCATGCGGTCCCGCACGTGCAGACGCTGCAGCACGTCGAGGTGCAGCTGCAGCACGCGCTGCCTCGTCAGCGCCATGCCAAACTTGACATTATCGCGGGCCTGTTCGTCATCACCACCTCCATCGCCGCTGCCGCTGCCGCCGCCACCAGCCATGTCCAGCCGGGCCGTCCATCCTGCCTTGACCTGATACTTTTTCGCAGGTGGGTGTCCGAAACTACCAGCGCCGTGGATCAGAATCAGATGTCGACCGCTTGGGCGTAGAATATGATGGTACGCATGCGCGACGCTGTCTATTAGACTATCGATGTTGTGAGAGAGCGTGTCTGGCGCCGCTTTGTCTGTGATGGCGGCGCCACCGAGTTTGACTACCACGGTTGACATGTTTCTGCGGAGGGGGGTGCAAGAAGAACGGCAAAAACAGAAACAATCGCCTAATCAACGCTGGCGTGCAAGAAGAGTGGTAGGGGAAGCCATGCATCGATGCCGGCACGTTTGTGTGGTTAGACAACACGTGATGATCGTGGAGCTTCAGCGTATGTAGCTTGGTTACAGCGTGCATGAGGTGATGCCATCACAAACATGCATAGATTGATCGGTACCATGATGCAACGCCAGCGCAAGACATGTATAGATTGACCGGCAAAATATTCCAACCAACTATAGCACACTCGAAAACAGTAACTGGACACATTGTCCATCAGGTGTTTTGCTCTAATCATCAGCGCGAAAAGGTCTCACAAATAAGTCCATGAATATCACTATTTGGATCGTTCTACAATTTCTTTTTCTTTCTTTCTTTCTTTCTTTCTTTTCCTTTTCTCCCATCTTTTACCTAGACTCCCTTTTGATCATATACTCGCCGCTTGGGCTTTTTCTTTTCTCTTGCTTGTTATATTTATTAAGCAAATGAATAATCTGGACGAATGTGATGATGCTAAGAGAGAAAGAGAGGAAGCTGTCTGTAGGTAGCTGGCGATAAGGGGCATCCTTGGCTGAGTCAGCCAGTGACGGGCGTCGTGTCTGCCAACCAGTCTTCCGTTTTCAGTACCGCCTTGACTCCCACGGCCACGAATTCACCAATTTCATCACGCATGATTCTTCTTCTTCTTGGTAGTCTGAACCTCTTCCCATTCTTGATTCACATTTCGATAATCCTCTGCCCCATAAGCGTCAAAAACTTCCCGAAACAGGTTGCTCTTCCGGCGCGTCTTCAACCCAAGATCGCGGAGCAATGTGCCAACATACGTAAGAGTGTCAAACACCAAACAAGGCGATTTCAAATCCCAATCGACTGGATGACGCCAGTGCCCAAAACGGTTGTGCAGCACATTTTCGTATCGTAGCTTCTCATAAGCTTCTGCGTCTGCGGCAATGGCAGAAGGGTTGTTGTCCAGTTTGCCATCAAGAAAGGCGCTCATCCAGAGACCACTGATATGCGCCGTGGTCATGGTGCTCAGATTGTACATGAGGCCGGCAAAGGCAATGTCGTGGTATCTGAGAAGCCTTGCTGATTGCGGCGCCAGGAAGCGATACAGCATGTAGCCGGTCTGGGGTTTGGCATTAGTCGTCACGACGCCGTCTCGCTTCGTGATGGAGGTGTAGTTGGGAAACTGGGGTTGGTTTTTCAGGATCGGAAGCTTGGCCAGTATTTCGCTGTCGGCACGCTTGATCAGCCGTGCTTGCTTTCCAGTCTCAGGATCCCATTCGCCGTCCGTTCGATGATGAGGCAGCCCTAGCTCCGCCTCGATGCCCTCGGGTAGAAACTTTACAGGGGGCGACTGCTGCCAACCACTATACGCCATCATTACGTCGGATTCAAACGAGGTCCCGTCGCTCAGATGTACCTCGCCCGGGCCGAGTCTCTCAATCTCTCCAATGTGGACCTTGATCGTTCCGTTTCGAACAAGCTCAAGCATGTCCTTTTCGTAGTTGAGGATGCTGAGACTGGTGGCTGCGTACATGATAGGGATCCACGGTTTGAGTTTGGCAGTCTCAGGGTGCTTGTCATAACCAACCAAGTCGTTGACGTCGGAGCCGATGACTTGCCACACGCTGTTGACCACCAGACGGCCGAGCCAGGTGCGATGCAGAAATCGCTGAATCCAGGAGAAGCCATCTGTTTCGGACCAGATGGATGGGCTGAACCAAGTCATGGCACGAGTGTCTACATGGAATCAGATGGCTGCGCAAAAAATGGCGGTGACAAGACTCACGTGCAAGTTTCTCCAGCCATAGCTTGAAAGGAGACACGCGAGGTGTGGAAAGCCATACTGGGCCATGGCCGGAAGCTGCAACGCAAGCTCGATTAGCAAAAGTGAAAAAGGACCGGGTAATGCCAAAGATGTGCTTACCACGTATGACCCAATTGACTGGCACGCCGGACATTGCATACGAATAGGCTACGTCCCAGGCAGCTTTACCAACCCCGTATACGGTTGGACTTTTTGCCGTCTTGAGAGTATCAGCATATCGTGGAAATTCCTTGACATGAAATATAGGACCCCCGAGTGTTTCCTGGCCGTCGAAAGCTGGTGCAATGGGATCGGTAGTAAGACCAGTTGCGGCAATCAGGCGACGTGCAAAGACTTTGGTCGGAGCGTCGGTTCCCTTTGCATTCTCCAGCGTGAGCACCCAGCCACCTTGTTCTGTTTCTTCCTGGTGCTCAGCGACGGCGACCTTTGTGTTGAACTGGATGAGCCTGTCGATGCCGAAGCGACGAGCGTAAGCCTCTAGGTACGCATTGACCGTCTCGCCTGGAATATGATCCTGGGCAGGCTGAAGCTTTGCAGCTTGCGCGTCGAGTGGAAAGTCCGGATACTCAAAGGTCCCCAAGAGATTGTTCGTCTTTAGGTTCGGGTACAGCCGCTCTACCGACCACGTTCCTCCCAGGCAGGGACGCGATTCGTAAATGACGAGCTTGTCGTCTGGGTGCGTGACATGATACTGCTTGGCGGCAGCTAATCCGTTAATACCTATCCATATACGTTTTACTAAGTCAGTCTAGTTTCTTGCAACATCTCTGACCCCCCGGTCTCTCAAGCCAATCACACATCCGCATTGCTGCGAGATAATGTGACTGTGACGGCTTTCGCGTTACCGAAGGCATGGGCTGGATCGAGATTGGAGGGGCCAGCCAGGACGTTGGGAGAGGGGACAAAAGGGCCTACCGCTGCCAATCACGGCACAATCTAGTCGTTCCATTCTGGGGTTGACAGGATCAAAGCGAACTGACAGCACACTACTTTTCTCGCTTCTGCTTTAGGATGATGCAGTGACAGGCACCACAAATTCGATTCTCAACCAAGAAAGATAATTGAGGAGTTTTTAGGGAAACATGGTCTTGTGGCAAAATATGGATATGGTGTGCGGATAGTAGAGAAAAATAATCGTTGCGGTGTCCATATAATACTTCATTTACATCCCTGCAGCCGCGCATCAGCTCCAGCCGCCTGCGTCACAAATGAGACTTGATTGAACAGCAGCCACTAGAAGTAATGATCTATCATCTTACCTGCCGAGGCGTGAGAGCTAGGAAGATCAACATGTTTCAGAGGCATTTCTCGGATTCTGGAGTGTTACGTATATGATGATATGTGTATGCATACATACATGTAGAGCTCAGCGACCAGGCTCGAATATATGAGCAAATTGAGCTACTAGCTATGTATAGTTGCTGTAAAGACTAACAAGAAACCTGTCTGGTTCCTCTATTACTCCCAGATTTGGTTTCCCTGGTCTGGACTGTCGTGTTTAGATACTCCCGTTTTCCTTTGCCCATTGACTGGTGGTTCGAGTCTCGACCTCCTGCCCATCATGGAATCCCATTTCCAGAGCAAATTTGGTTGCCAAACACATAGGCTGAAGCCAAGTACTCCGTACCCCGTTTGCATATCCACTCACTAACTAATAAAGCATGAGATCGCTGTTCAATATGCAGCCGCAGTCAGCTGGTACGTGATTGGGTGGAGTTTGGGATGCTGCGGGCAGAGTCAGGCCACCAGCGCCGGGAGGGCTGATATCGCTGTGAATGGTCTTTCGGATATTGTGATTGGCGAGTTGTTTCTTCTGTATCGAAAAGATAACTAACTACAGCCGAAAGTCTGCAATTGGGCGCAATTGGAAACAGAGACCTGGGGGGCAGAACAGAGAGGGGGCCAAGACAGCCCATTTCTTTTCGTTTTCGTCTTTTTCGTTTTGCGCTAGTTACTATGAGACTATTCGCTCGAATAAAATTTGCCCTTGATTGATGTCAGAGTCGTGTCGAAATATGCACTCCTAGACTATGACCTCATACTGCTTCCCCAGACAAGAACACAAGCAATGCAAGACGAAGGCGCTGTGAAATGTTTTCCCGCTGTATCCTGATTATTTCCAAAACTCACATCTAATTATTCTCATTTCGAAATGAAGGTTTGGAAATGAAGGTTTGGGAGGCCGCAGACTTGTGCTGCGCCAAAGGTGATTTATGATACCAGCATTCCTCCACCTTGATGCTGGACGCGCCAGAGTCTACGAAGCGCATGGGATGGCGCCGCTCGTGCCAAGGAACACCACAGAAAAGGCCTTTGAGAATGCAGTCGAGGCGTAGACATTGTTAGCAACTGCATTGGCCATTACCGCCCAACGCATGAGCTTTCGAATATCGACGCTAGTTGGGGATACAAAACCTGGGGTGGGATGACTATTTATCTCGTTTGCATTGGAACGGTTTGTTTGGCCCTCGAAATCGTGACGACGACGACGGTGCAATTCGTCTCGAGTACATGAATTTTTTTTTTTTCTGGTGTGTGTACTCGGCGAGGAGAGGCATGACTGATTTGTGCTGTAGCTTTTTTACGTGGCCGAGACGACTTTGGCGTATAGCGTCGGCCGAGTCGCTCGTTGTCTAGCCAAAGGAGGCATGACGGACCAGCAAAGGGCAACACTTGGGTCAAATGATCCCGAATACCGCCTGCGGTGAGTAAATGTTATCCTGAAGTGCAGGGTGTGCCGGCCGTCGCTAATAAACAAGCTGCGGCGTGATTGGGTCGCAGATACAAATAGCAGGTTGGACGACATATGGCACCATGCTATGGCTGTACAAGTCGTGTATGCTGATATACTACATGCGGTTGACAGCAAAAATTTTTCAATCCATAGAGAAAAAGTATGCACGGGCTTCGAGATTGCCAGAGCTCGAAATAGTGTGGTTTGCAGAGGAGCTGCAAGAAGCAGATACATGTCGGCTTTGCACGTTCTTGGCTCTGCCTACGTCGTGCTTGGCATTCGTCGTGGAATGCGCGTTGCTGCGTAGCACCATGATCACCATTGTTAGTGGGGCAGATTCCTTTGTGCACGGCGCACTCTGGAAAAATACTCGAGCATTTTCGATTAACAATATTGCCAATTGGGCAGGATCCAATCAATGGCCCTCAGACTGCAGGCGCCTGGGAATACAAGAGTCATTTGTGGCCACGGTCGTGACAAACCTACCAATCATCTTTCCGCGCTTCAAAACACTTCTTCAAGCGACATCTGGCACCACTCTGATCACTGCGATCATCCGAGTCTGACCATTCCGCCAGGTGGTTTTCGCCCGCACAATTGGCGGGGGCGACGGCCACGGCGACACGGGCGTGGGACATGGACGGCATCTGCCCCAGAGCGTCAACCCGCTCCCCACAAAGCTGACGGTAACGGGGACCGCAGAGCAGCTGGTGGACAATGGCATTGAGCTGCAAAAGTGGCAAATCGCTCGCGCCCGTCTGAGAGGGCTGTTGCTGTTAGTAATACGGGGGAGCCGCCGCCGTCGACAACAGGCGGCGACAGCCAACGCACGCGACACCGAGGCTGCTGTATCTGGCAGCGCGCGCCCGCCCTGAACGAGAGCTCATTAAATTAAGTCTGATAAAATAAATGGAGTTGGCCACTTGATTAGGGAAAAACTCTATTGATGCGCAAACAATTGCACATGATAGGCTAAGGAAGTGTGCTAGACCCCTTTTGGTTTTGGTTGGGGAAACGGAGTCGGCGTGTATGGCGGTACCGGTATTGCGGTATTGGTCTAGTACTGTGGGAAAGGTTACTGTGACTGGCTACCTACACACTGTACCTAGTTACAGGGCAAATCATTAGTAGCAAATATACGCAAGTCGGTCGGCCACATGCATTGAGCACTGGCGACGCAGGGACAGAGGGACGAGGCACAAGACGGGGCCGGAATTGAATGTTGGACAGAATCGCGTGATGGCAAGGCACGCCTTGAGTATCAGCATTGTAGAATGGCGTCGCGACAGCATCTCGTGAAGATGAGAATGGCAGCAAAAATTCGCGGAGAAAAAAAACTAAAACAGGCCATTACGCTCGGGTAGTCGTATGTCCCCCCTTGTAGACTTGCCCGATCTGGGGAAACCAAGTTGGTGCCTCGGCTGAAGGTTGGCTGGCTCCCCGCCATAATTTTTCTACCCTCGGGCGGGGCTTCGGTAATGTTGATGCTTTGCAGCAACTTCTCAGTTAGCAAGGTGGCGCCGAGGCCGCCACTATATATGGTAGTCCAAGTAGAGTTTCGGGTCCCCCAGATCATCCCCCAGGTTCCTGTCATTTCTTTCCCTCAACATATTCCCAATTGGCCCCTTTTCTCCTTTTTTGTTTGGTTATAACAATCTCCCGCGATCATACAATAAGAAAACAAAAGAAAAAAGAAGAAAGAAAAAGAAGAAAATGGCTTCTACCGAGCTGGACCTCGACGTCCTCATTGTCGGCGCGGGCATCTCCGGCATCAACGCCGCGTACCGGCTGCAGACGGACGGCCCCAAGGGGGGCAGCCGCTATGCGATCCTCGAGGCGCGCCACAGCCTGGGCGGCACCTGGGACTTTTTCCGGTACCCGGGGATCCGGTCCGACTCTGACATTTACACGTTTGGCTTCTCGTGGAAGCCGTGGCACAAGCCCGAGACGGTGGCGCAGGGCGCCGACATCAAGAGCTACATGACCGAGGCGGTGCAGGAGACGGGCATCGACCGGCACATTCGCTACCGCCACCGCGTCGTCGCCGCCAACTGGACCTCGCGCGACCAGTGCTGGGAGGTGAGCGTCGACGCCGACGGCGCGCCGCAGACGCTGCGCACGCGCTACATGCTGCTCGGCACCGGCTACTACGACTACGACACGCCCATGAAGGCCATGATCCCCGGCATCGACAACTTTGCCGGCAAGGTCATCCACCCGCAGTTTTGGCCCCAGGACTACGACTACAGCGACAAGCACATGGTCGTCATTGGCAGCGGCGCCACCGCCATCACCGTCGTGCCCGCCGTCGCCGAAAAGGTCAAGCACGTCACCATGCTGCAGCGCAGCCCGACCTACATCATGCCCATCCCCAAGCAGTCTCTCGCCGCCAAGTGGCTCTTTGCCCTGCTGCCGCAGTTCCTCGCCCACAGCCTCAACCGCTCCCTCTGGATCGTCCAGAGCTACATCATGATTTACTTTTGCCGCCTCTTCCCCAACGTCGCCCGCGCCCTCATCCGCACCGTCAACCGCCGCCTGCTCCCCAAATCCGTCTCCATCGACCCTCACTTTTCGCCCAAGTACCTGCCCTGGCAGCAGCGCCTCTGCGCCTCCATGGACGGCGACATCTTCGCCGCCATCCGCAGCGGCAAGGCCAGCGTCGTCACCGACCACATTGACACCGTCACCGCCGACGCCATCAAGCTCAAGTCGGGCGCCTCCTTGCACCCAGACGTCATCGTCACCGCCACCGGCCTCGGCCTGCGCTTCGCCGGCGGCATCGCCATTAGCGTCGACGGCGCGCCCTTTGACATTACCTCAAAGTTCATCTACCGCGCCAGCATGCTGCAGGACCTGCCCAACCTCGTCTACGTCGTCGGCTACGAAAACGCCTCGTGGACCCTGGGCGCCGACTGCGCCGCCAAGGTGCTCGTCCGCCTCGTCAACGAGCTCAAGGCCAGCGGCAAGACGTCGGCCACGCCGCGCCTGGCCAACCCCGAGAAGATGGAGGTCAAGCCCCTGCTGAACCTGGGCTCTACCTACCTCAAAAACGCCAACAAGGTCTTTCCCAAGGGTGGCACCGGTGCCTGGGCGCCGCGCTCAACATATCTGGCAGATTTGTACAAGGCCACGTATGGCGATCTCAACTCGGAAATGGAAATTGTATGAACATGGACTGCGATAATTGTTTGTTCTCTTTCTTCATTCTTGCCACGATTCTTCTTTTTTTTTTTTTTTTTTTGGTCTCTTTTTATAGAAACATCATCTCCATCTTAGACGACGTCGATATACCAGCTTTACACATTTTCCCCCCAAAGATTCCATAAAGAATACAGTTCATAGCAGGAATTTACTTGTTCACCTAATCGTCACAACCAACTCAGACTTGAACGCGACGGACCCAGTCCAAGACACACGCACAACTTTTGACATGTGAAAACTGTATCCTGGGCGTATTTCTGAATCTCAGTGGGTCGAGTTGGCCTCAATGTTGGCCGCCACCTATTTAACGCTAATGCGCCATTTCTTACTGGTCGGCCGTGTATTACTTGGGTTTTTTGCTCACACAGCGCACAAACACGCAAATCATGTCATTTTGGCCAACAACCAGGTGATACGGTGGCCCTGCATTGTCAACGTCTCCCACTTATGTCCCATCTTGATACTGCCTCGCCTTTGACAGCCGAGGTTTGGTTCATCATGCCAAGCTCGTGGGTTGATCATGCACTCCATCTACCCCGGGGAACACGGGGCCATTTTGAGCCTCTATTGTGCCGTCTCCGCGCTAGGGCGGGCCACGCCTTGCCTCATCAAACGTTAGCCTGCCCGTCACTTACCCCAGGCTACATATGATAGTTAGCCCATTACAATAAGTACTAGGTTACAGCCAATCAGGGTTTGGGTTGGGGCTGACTGCACTCCATGTGATTCGAGATAGTTGACCAACTTTAGCTACTACCATTTGGTAACAAGATCCGTCTTCTTCTTCAGTTTCCACTCGTCTCAGCTGAGGAGAGGAAAAAGCTGCGCGACAAGGCCATGCTGAACGAGGCCAAGGTGATATTTGAGCACTTGCTTACATCCCAGGTGGCCGGCGATGTGCACGTCCGCATGAGAAGCTGTTTTGGGCTCTGGAGGAGGGAGGCTGAGGGGAGTAGGAACTGATGATGAGGAAATGAATGACTGTGCGCGATATTTTTATTTCTTTATTCTTTTTTTTTTTTGGTTTGTACGAGGCAAACTGCACAGTAGCTCAAATGCGCGCAACGCATGTATAACGGTTGTACTACACACACAGTCGAGGGGGTAACGAAAACCACCGCTCGCTCATTATTGATGCCATGTTTTTGATTACAACACGCACCAGAAGAAGCCAATGAATTCTTAAGAAATTTCATTAGATCAGATTCTATATAATTTTAGACTAGCTTGTCATCATATAAATGGCATTTATTAGGCGTGAGCTGCTCGGCTTTCTTCTCTAAAGCGGTCCTTTTTTCCCTACATGACAGTTGCACCTTTCACAGAAACAGAGACGAGAAAAATTTACAGCGAGATGAAACAATTCCATCACTATAACTACTAGATTATGATATGCCGCAATGGCCGTCATTGGCTACAATTACCGCTGAGCGACCTGTTGGCTATCAATACTGCTGTTCGAATGTATCCCGAGGTCAAAAAAGTTACCCGAATTTCAGCCTTACGTATTAAACAGCCAGCCGTTTCTTGAATCACCAGCAGAATTCATCCGTTCTTTGAGTGTTGATCGATGGGAAAAGACATGGTAAACGTCGATCTTGTCGGCCCCATTATATGATCTGATTGCTGTAATACCATGAACACGTATGTACGGATACTGTACGAGTCAAAAAGGTGTTGTGATTGGCAGAAAGACGTCATGTACCAGAATCTTCTAATGAGCCCTTGGTGCCCTCTCCAATCTACAGTGATTGAGAGGGGCCTTTGGGGCCTCAAAAGCCTGTTTTGGGCACTGCCTTGCCCATGCTGCCAAGGCTCGCGATTTAATCTTTTGAGACACGACCCGATAAAAAGCAGCCACCAAGGACAAAACACCGTCATACTCTTCCAGGGTCTTGCCAGAAATTCCTTTGTCCCATCATTTAACCCCCCTTTGTCCAAGACTTGGCATCGGCCGGGAGCACAAGACCCGATGATTAAATCATTTACAGCGGTCTTCAGCGGTTTTTCAACGCTCTACAGCGGTTTTCTACAGCGGTCTTCAAGGGTCTACGGTAGTTCCTCCCGATTTTAGTGCATCCTTCTAGGGCAGACCCCGCCGTTACAGTGCCTCCAGTAATTCCGAGCAGCGACGTCAGAATTCGGTTGTGATTAGCTCTGGAGCGCCTCGGACCCACTGTAAACAACGTCGCTAGCGGCCTCTCATTGTTGCACTGAGAAAAACGCCCATGCCGGAAAATGCCCTTTTAGCCGTGCATGGACTTTTTCCCTACCGCATTTTCGCCACTTCCCCATGTAACCTCTTCAACGAAACATTTCCCCTTTCGCCACACACCATTTTCAGCCGTAAAATCACCTTCATCATCTTTCACCATCATCATCATTTAGAAAGCATCTGCCAAACCACTCTATTGGATAGTCGCTACAAATTTGCGCTGTCCAGCGCTAGTTCTTTCTCTTAAGTGCCATCTACACAGCGGGAGCAAAAAGCGTCATTGTGGACGTGCAACCCAGTGTCTGTGCCTTATGAACCAGAGACAAACGGCGTTCGCAGCCTCATTCTCGAACACGCCACCAGATTTAACACGCCACTGAGTACCTGCACTACTGCAAACCCATATCCCACCTCACCGCCGACTTGCATCATCAGCCTCTCACCATTCATCTCACGCTTGGGTATCCATTGTCATTATTTGCTTGTCATCTCCATCCACATTACTCGTCTAGCCAGAGGCCAGATGGAGTGCTGCAGCTGGCTGAGCCATGAATACCAAGTCACCCTCTGCGGCGACGGCGGCCAGCGCCCCATCCGCAGTTTCGCCCGACCACGGGCCGAGAAAGGTTTCATCTTCCAACCGGCCGGCGGTTAAAAACGATCACAACAGCAGACGCGCGCACAGCAAGTCACCTTCCTCATCCTCCGCCTCCGCACCGCGCTCCCGCGTCGTCTACGGCCCTGGTACCATTGTCCGCCTACCCAACGAGCTCGCTCGTCTGCACTTGACGTCGCCGCTCATCGTCGTCAGCCCCTCGCGCATGGCCACTGCTCGCCACATCCAGGCCCTCATCCCCAATCTCGACTCGCACCTTCTCGATTCCGCCCTCGTCAATGTAAAAGCCCACATCGTCGACGACGCCATCGAGAGGGTGACGGAGCGAGACTGCGTCATCAGCGTCGGTGGCACCTCTGCCGTTGGACTTGCTCGCGCCATCAGCATCCGCAAAGCCATCCCTCACATATGCATTCCCACCACTTATAGCGGCTCCGAAGTTCTCCATCTCTTCGATTGTGATGTTCCGATTCCGACCGGTCAGCCGGATGGCGGTGCTGGCAGCGCCGCTGCATCAAGACGTCCTAGCATTAGCAGGCGTAGCATCGGCAGCCCGCCGAGCGATGCTAGGAGCCGCACCAGCGGTAGTAAACACAGCTCAAGACAGAGTGTCGTGAGCGTCGCCAGCCAAAATGCGAAACAACGAGTCAAACCCGCCGTCATCATCTACGACGAAGAACTCACAGCTTCTGTTTCCAAACGCATCCTCATCCCCGCCAATACTACAGGTCGTCAGCAGTGGCCCGACGATGGCCAAAGCCCTCCCTCCAAATGGAGCTTCATGCAGCTGCCAGGCCTATGATGTTTTCGTCCCGTTTTCCTTCTATCGTGTGTCTTTTCGTCTGGCTTTTTCTTCTTCTTTGTCTGGGAGCGCTGGAGCACTGATAAAATAACAAAATGGCGTCCTTTCTTTCTATGTTTTCATGATCGTTCCTAGCCCTTACATCTTACCAACAAAAACGCAAAGGATCAAAATCGTTCGAACTGCAGACCTGTTTATCGTCCATAAAGCGCCGTGGTATCGTCTATATTGTAAAAATATGCAAACGGGACAAAATGTGATCCCATTTTCTAGTCCAATTCGCTGAAGCCCATGATGCCATGCGCGCCCATGGGTCCAAGCTTGCTCTTCTTCATCTCCTTGCGTCGCTTTGCGCGTTGCTTCATCTCCTCGACGCCATCGTCGTCGCTATCGTCGTCGTCGTCGTCGTCCTCATCGCTATCGCTTTCAGCCGGCCGTTTCGAGTTTCGGGCCTTGTTCTCCACCTCATCATCATCATTCTCTTCATCTACTTCTTCTTCTTCTTCGTCTTGGTTCTGGCTAGCCTGCAGCTCGGATAACTCCTCCCAGACTTTGACGGTGCGGCCACCAGCACTAATAAGTCGGTTTTGGCAATCAAAGGATAGCGAGACCACGGCGTCAAAATCATCGTGCCTCAGATTCAACGAACGGTCAACCTCGCGGCTCAGGAGATCCACCACGCGCAGGCTACCATCACCGACACCGCAGACAACCTTTTGTCCGAGGCCGAGGTCCTTGGGAACAGCCACAACGCAGTCGATGCTCTCGCCTCCGCCCTTGCCCCCATCAACAATGATGCGTTCTTGCTGGTCGTCCCAGGCACCTTTATCCCACAGTGTCAGGATGCCCGAGCCTGAGCCAATCGCCACCATTCCGTTGCCTCTCATCTTCTTCGGCCCCAGACCGTGCACAAAGCAGGCGTCCAAGAGCTCATCCTCTTGGTCCTCACTCCGAACGAGGACGCCGCGACGTACATCGGTCACAGCCAACGTGGTGCCTCCCGTGCTGACCCACTGTTTGGAGAACCCGCTCGTGCTCTCCTCTGTCGGTGGCAGAGGTGTGATGGACGACACGTAGTCGGCGTGGGGGAAGTGAGTCTGTGCTGGCTTCTTGCCAGGACGACCGTCTCGAAGATCTACAATGTGTAGAGCGCCAGAGTCGGTTCCCAACAGCAAGCTTTGGGGGTTTAATACGTGTAATAGTGTCGGCGCATCGGGCTGTGTGCTTGTGGTCGGAATTGCCATTTTGGAAATGACTTTGCCGTTTTCGGGGTCGAAATACTTGACAATCGCGTCCGTACCTGCCGAGTACATGGCTACATCCTCCAGTCAGTCATATATCGCATAGTTCTCGGCAAGTCGTGTACATACCGCTGCCATCGTGGGAGTATGCCAAACAGCGGCAGCTCCCTTTGTGCCGCCTAGTTTCCCACGTCGTCTCCAGATATCCTTTCCCATCGCTCAGCACGCTGGTGTCTCCGTCGACGCTCTCATCAGAAGAAGAGCTAGGTGGCAAGCGGAATGTCTGCACGTGGCCATTGGAGAGGCCGACTGTAAGCAACGGCTCCGAAGGGTGCAGTGCTGTCGCAAACACCTCCGCTTGAAGCGGCAGCGTGCAGAGGTTCTCAAACATGGTAAAATTGACGTCAGAGGATCTACCCGAGGCAGCAAGCCTTCTCTAGGATTTGAGAAGCGTAACAGTAATTTCAAGGCGATTGGAGAATTTGTTGCGCATAACAAAGCTGCAGTTTGAGCTGTTCACGATGGAGCTTGCCAACTTTTTTTTCTCAGCGCGGAGCGCCCCTGCCTGCGGGCCACTATACAGTGCGCGCACAGTGTCCATCAGACACTACTGTGCTGCCAGCTGCAAGCAAACGAGTGGCCTGCCTTCACACTTGGACTTGACATATCCGGAAAGTTTGTGTTTGGTGTCATCGACTTAAGAAAAGTCAGCGAGAATCCTTCGTGATGTTTTGTATGTGCATAGCCCAGTGGGTGCTCATGTGCTTATGGGCTGTGGCTGTGGCTGCTATTGCACCCGACTCACCACGGTGCATCATGTATCTGACAGGGTGAGTTCACGAGCAATCGGAAGTAAAGTACTATGCTGACAGGCATAGGCAGCATGATATTGTACCCGGAGATAGGGCACTGAAAGAAGGAATCACTCATGTCATTCTCGCGTTTATGCGCTCCGAGACGTTCAATGTTGAGCCGCCCCTGGTCAGCTATCCGCTTTTCACCACTGTGCATGAGGTTCGCCTGAGCTTTCCGTCTAGCACAAAAGTGTTGGTTGCCATAGGAGGCTGGGGCAACTCAGCGGGTTTCGAAGAAGCCGCGCAAGATGCTGCCAGTCGAAGTCGCTGGGCCAAGAACGTGAAGCGAATGGTAGAGACGACTGGGGCGGACGGCATCGACGTAGATTGGGAATATCCTGGGTAAGAGAATGAAGCCTGCTTTGGCCTGATCTAACAAGTTACAGCGGCAATCGTGATGATTATAAGATCATCCCCAATGATCAGCGCGAGTGGGAAATCGACGCATATCATCTGCTTCTGCAGGCCCTTCGCGAGACATTGGGCAGTGACAAAATCCTTTCGATTGCCGTTCCAGGACTGGAGCGCGATTTAATGGCATTCACGAGCGACACGGTGCCAAAAATTGTGGACGTGATCGATTTTATCAACATTATGACGTATGATCTTATCAATCGTCGAGATGCGGTGGTGCGACATCACAGCGGCATATCTGACTCGAGGGCATCCGTGCAACGATATATCGACCGGGGTGTCCCAAGGCACATGGTTAATTTAGGACTGGGCTATTATGTGAAATGGGTCATGACGAAAGACTGTAGGACAGATGATGTTCTGGGATGCCCAACGCAACTACTCGAAAATCCGGAGACTGGCGACGACCTGGGCAAGATAGGCGCCTTCAGCTGGCACGACACGGTACCTGACGAGCTGAGCGAATCATTCTCGAAGGCCTCGGATTATGGCCAGTACTTCGAGGACGGTAGCTACGGATATTGGGATCAGCATGCAGCATTGCTGGTGGACATTTGACACCCCGGCAGTCATTGAGCGGAAGATGGACGAATTGGTGGGATCAATGGGGCTTGGTGGAGTTTTCGCCTGGGGCCTCGGGGAGGATGCACCCGCCTTTTCAAGACTTGCCGCGACCGTTCGAGGTATCCGTGCCTTGCATAATTCTCACGAAGAAGGAAAAGATGAGCTGTGAAATAAGCAGAGGCAGGTACTGGATGGCAGGGCAATCTTTTTATTGAAAAAGCCGTGGCTGCCAGCCATCATGCGATGCTGTTGATGCATTTGCAGCCTGCATTTATTAAGAGAGGAGCTTCATGGCGCACCACGTGAAAATCCAGGGAAGATACTTCGCACATCACTGAAAATTGCTCGGCAAATAAAGCTGTCTGTTAACTTACATCTCAGTTATCAAAACGGTATGGTGCTGAGATAAGAAATTGCGCATTGTCGCTGAAAGTCAACTTTATCTGGCTGCCGACAAATCATGTACCCCAATGCAGGCACGTCTCCGCCACGCCCAAGCCATTGTCCCGCCTCTCATGCACATGGTCGATGTCCTCAAGCCACAAGCGGGTCACACCTTGATACAATGCTCACATGCCAAGAGAAGCGTGCCTCACATAAGGGCATCTGATAGCAGTGGCTGAAGTCCAATACCACACGAGGTTGGCTTATCGGCTTATTTATGACCGCGCCGTGCATGCATTGCGGCACGGCCAACTCTGCAAGACCGTTCAAAGGATTCCGGCGGGAGGTCAGTTGGCAAAGCAGCCAAGTTACGGGGCCCCGCTGGCGTCGGACTTTGCCAACCGAACTTAACTTGGCATCGCAACGATGTACTAGTCGGACATAATGGAACGGGGTGAACCGAGTCAGTCGCGTCGAGGATCCAACACTATTTATACGTTACCGCTATTCTACACATCCACTCGAAAGGTTTCTGGAACTGAATACTCCACAGAATCGGTTCGCTCTGCCCGAAAGTAACCCGACATAGCCTTAGTCGCTTGCGTTCAAGGACGACGATTTGTTTGCTCAAATCATGTATGCAAGACCCCAGTCGCCAAGCCACCTCTCTGGGCTGGTTAACGGGTGCATCCTTGCTTGCGCGCCACTGAATAAACAACGTGCCCGCACTAGTCGTTGAGTCGCGACGAGCCGAAAGGGACCAAGGAACTTATAAGTAGTGTGAGGAGGTCGCTCTCTGTTCCGCGCGTAGTCTACGGTTAGAAACCGGTCGTATTAGTTCAGCAAAAGACCCCTCGCCATGCACGTCATCAAGTCCCTCCTCGCTGGTCTCGTGGCCATTGGCCAGGTCTCAGCCGTGCCTTGCTCGCCTTGGGTCGTTAAGCCCATCAAGAAGATTGAGCTCGGCCCGCGTCCTTACTACCTTATCGAGAGCCTCACTCCCGGACCCCTGAAGGCCAAGCTCGCGTCGTGCACCGAGATGGACATGAAGCCCAGCACCTGGTCTATTGGCCATCGCGGCGGCGGCACTCTCCTGATCCCGGAGGAGTCGCGCGAATCTATTATGGCCGGCTCGCGCATGGGCGCCGGTATCCAGGAGTGCGACGTGAGCTTCACCAAGGACCGCGGACTAGTCTGCCGCCACAGCCAGTGCGATTTACACACCACGACCAACATTGTTACTATCCCGGAGCTAAACGCCAAGTGCAAGACGCCGTTCCAGCCGGCCGCCAACGGCCAGCCGGCCAAGGCCGAGTGCTGCACCAGCGACCTCACTGTGGAGGAGTACAAGACGCTGTGCGCTAAAATGGACGGCTTCAACGCCACAGCCACCACCCCCGAGGACTACCTGCACGGTACCCCGGCCTGGCGCTCCGACTTGTACGCGACCTGCGCCAAGGTCATGACGCTGCAGGAGCACATTACGCTCGTCCGCTCCCTGGGCCTCAAATTTACCCCCGAAATCAAGACCCCCATGGTGCCTATGCCCTTCCAGGGCAACTACACGCAGGAGATTCATGTGCAGCAAATTATTGACGCGTTCAAGTCCAATGGCATCCCGCCTAAGGACGTGTACGTGCAGAGCTTCCTCTACTCGGATCTCCTGTACCTGATCAAGAATGAGCCCGAATTTGGCAAGCAGGCCGTGCTCCTCGACTCCAGCGGTGACAAGCCCGCCACCCTCGAGATGGCCACGGCTAATCTCACCACCTACGCTGAGGACGGCATCCAGATTGTCGCACCCCCCATTGGCTACCTCGTCCACTCCGAAGGCGGCAAAATCTTGGCCACCGAATACGCTGCCAAGGCCAACACACTTGGCCTCAAAATTATCACCTGGTCGCTGGAACGCTCGCCGCCCGTGGCCCAAATCAAGGCCAATGGCGACTACTACTACGACAGCGTCAAGGATCTTCTTAAAACTGATGGTGACATTTTCACTGTGCTCGATGTTCTATGGCAGCAGGTCGGTGTCTTTGCCGTCTTTTCCGACTGGAGCGCCACTGCTACCTACTACGCCAACTGCTTCGGCATCGAGGTCTAGTCGCCATGTCGCGGCTCGATTGACATTCTCTGTACATATACATGAACCTGATGTTCCTTTGACGACTGAAACTTATGGGATTGGGAAGAGATTTGAAATCGCGATGCGATTATCACTTGATGAAGCTTGTACATCTATACACATTTATTCATCCTGCATGCTATTGGTGATGTGCTCCACGTCTTTAATGTAACTGACTAATGCGGTTTGATCATGTCAGTCGCTTGAATAGGCATGCAGCAACAAGGTAGGTTATATCTTGCGCGTTCAGCTTTTGGCAGGGCGGCGGAGTGGGCTGCCGGTTGCCTTTTGCTCACTAACACTCCGCGCAGCCTGATTTGCAACGGGGTTCTTTTGGTCAAACCTAGAAAACTCTGACTATTGCATCAGTTTCACCCAGAAAGAGAGCCAATGAGACTAAGATGAAGGCTTGTGCCGCGGTTGGACAGATGCTCGAGATCTCCAACATTACACTTTCGAGGTACAAACTTTCCACACTTGGCTACTCTAACATATTCGTCCGACTAGCAAATCAGCCATATCTTATAGATGGCTCCTCGTGACTTCCAAACTCGAAAAGCGCTCATGAATCTTGTCAACCCCCTCAGTGCGCCCCTCAAACGCAAACTCGAACCCGGCTACTAGCGCTCCCGTGATTGCCCGCTCTGCCTCGCTCGGGTCAATCGTGCCAAAGGCCTCCCGCAGCTTCTTGCGCACCTCTTCCGGCTGCCCGTCCGCAAACAGGGCCCCCAGCGTGGCACCATCGTTAAACGTGCCGTGAGTGCTGTTGGCAAGTGCTATCTCGGCCGCGGGCCCGCGTAGGCGCGGCCAAAAGACGTCCCACGAGGGGTCGGTACGCGCGTGCCCGGCAGTGCCAAATTGCATTGTGGGCGCCGAGGTGCCCGCGGTCAGGAGGGGCCCGCGCACACCGCCGTCCATGTTGACGGCGCCGCGGACGACGGGGCGGCGAGAGGAGGGGGAGTAGGAGGAGGAGCGGTCCGCGAGGAGGATGGAGGCGACACCGCCGAGGGAGTGCCCGACGGCGGCGGTGCGCGAAAAGTCAATGGTGGAGGGGTACTGCGCGAGGATATGGCGGCGCGCGGTGTGGTTGGAGTGTAGCTGCGAGAGCACAAAAGAGAGGTCTTGGGCGCGAACCTAGAGCACGTTGTCAGTACGGCCGCTGCACAATTGTTGTGCTGCTGGAAAGGGGGGGTGTACCTCGAGAAATTTGATGATTTCAGGCTCGGTGGCGTTAAACTCGATAGACTTGACAACAGACCCATCCGGAAATTCGATAATGTCCGCATCGTACGGATGATCGACCGTCACGACAATGTAGCCCTGACTCGCCAAATCCCGCGCCTTTACGCCGTACAAGCTGCGCGCGATGCCGAGCCCCGTGTCGTACAAGACCAGCGGGAAACTCTTCCTCGTCGTCCTCTTCTTGTCGTCGCCACATGGCTTTTCCAGGCTGCAGTACTCCATGGTCAACTTTGCAAACGAGTCGTTGGGGAGGCCAATCTCGGCCGCCGTCTGGCCGTAGTGCGCCGCGACGGCGGGCGTCATGTACGGCAGCGTCTGCTTGTTGGGGCACGGCGCGGACACGGGCAGGTACGCGGACACGGGCACGCGCCGGCTCTGCGGCGTGCTGGCGTAAGGGTCCTGCCGGGCGTGGTCGGTGAGGAGGAGGGTGCGGTAAGCTACGCCGTAGGGGCCGCTAGGGCCGGGGACGAGGATGGCGGCCGCCGCAGCAGCGGCCAGGGCGGAAAGGGTGAAGAATGGTCGCATATTGATGGCTAGAATCTTTCAGAAAATGGCTGGTGATCTGATAAAAGATGCTGCTTAGGCTTTGAAGTTGGGGAGTCTTGCGATGGCTTTTATAAAATATTTCGCTCAAGGAGCGTTGTCGGCGCTCGATCATTTCCGAGGCCAGGCATCCGAAGGCGATGGATGCCCTTCCATGCAAAGCTACGTAAACACTGTCCACATTGTGGAACAATAATCAAGGTAAGATGGACGAAGAGGAGTCACCTTGACTGCGCGTCTCGCATTCACGCAACATTGCATACTTGACGGCCCCCCGTTCGGGTAGGCTGATTCAAAGCTCCGCATCGCAAGATGACTTCCTTTTTCGGCTCGCCCACGAGTGCCAAGAACCAAGTGAACATCTAGGCTGGATCGGGCCGCTTGGCACGCCGCCGCTTCCTGTAGCCCGGCCGTTGTGCTGATGATCATGGCAGACTAGACAAGCATCTTTGCCGGCCAGGGCAGGACCACGAAGACTCACCCTTATGACCGTTCGCTTTTGGTGCCATCTTTCTATTTTTCACACCACCTCGATGAATGCATCCACGCAAATGGATGCCTAGCAAGCAGCACTTCAGGCAACAGCACATCAAAGCGGCGCTGCATCTCCAGCGTCGGTGGGGGGCGCTCTCAAGTTGCGGACCAAACGCTGCCTCGCATCGTCAGCCGCACCGGGGCTGGACCTGTAGAATCAGCACAGCCGCGCTTTCAGCCCGGGCCTGATGGCTGCAGCCCGAACCTCACATATCTGGTCCTCTTCATGCAGACATCCCTTCATTGGGAGATAATTAGCAACTCCTTTAGCAACGCGCGTCCCATGCACATCGCTCGGATTGCATCTCACCACCACAGGGCTATACCTGCGTGCAGGTTGTGCGGCTGCGCGTCTACGCTCATCTTGTAGTTTGCTATGCGAGGACTTTTAGCTTTTTAAACAAGCAGAGAGCGTCGCGTGGCAGCTTCGTTTGTCCTTCGAGCCAAGGTGCTGGGTAACTAGTGATGCGCCATCACCAACCCTCGATGCTAGGACCATTTGACCGTCGACTCAAGCGATCGCGCTGTCAGCGTTGTGCAGCGAGCCATCTCAAAGTGCGTCATATATCACTGCTTCATTCTGTACCAGGCGATTTTCCTATTCGGGCAATATTGTCGCGAACGCTCTCAAGATCCTATCAGGCTAACAAGAGTCGCAGTGCTCGGGTACGAACCCTTGCGCCAACTGCAGCCGCAAGAATACGCCGTGCATCTACGCGACGGCCGCAAGCACTGATGTTCCTATAATCATAGTTGAGAGCAGCAGAGCGGTCGTGTCGTTAGCCACAGCCCGACGGAGGTCGGCCGCGGCGCCCCGGGCCAGCCCCGCCCTCGACGACGAGCGATACTTTTACTATTTTGACGTGTTTGCGCGGCGGAATAGTTTTAGCGGCAAGAAACACTCATTTACAGATGATGTGAAGCAGATGAGCGAATTGCAGACAGTGCCGTATTTTCTCAACTCGATACGCGCTCTTGGCGCGATTCAAGCATCCAAGCTCGCGCCGTCGTGCAGCACGCGCCTCCGAAGCGACACTTGCATGAGTTACGCGCTGTATGCCCAAGCTGTCACAGGGCTGCGCAAAAGTCTCGACAGACAGAAGCAAGGACTGTCTGTTACGAATCGCACAGCGCTCTTATGGACGACGCTTTTTCTCGGCATGTTCGAAGTACGTCCCGGCGATGCCCCGTCCAGATTACAGACTAACCCGGGAGCAGCTCATGTCGGACACGAGCGGAACGGGGTGGCTGCAGCACATGGTGCACGGCACCAGCAAGGGTCTGGCTGCGTCGGGCCCGTCCATCTGCGCCGCGCCGGCTGGGGCGCGAATGTTTCAGCAGGCCAGGATGTTTGAGGTGTGTCGAACGATTGTGTTCAACGACCGGTCACTCCTGACGCGGCCTGAATGGACCGCGGCCTCGCAGAGGTTGTGGTCCGACGACCGCTTCTCGGACGACTGGCGACCGCTGGACGCGCTGGTGGACCTGATGCTGCTATGTTCCGACCTACGATACAGGTGCGCAGGCGAGCCCAAGCGAAAAATGTTGCTGACATGAAGCGTCACTGACACGAAGAGTAGAGCAAACCTGTTCTGCCTCGCTGAAGATGCCAATCCTAGCACAGGCGTACCCGAGAAAGCGCGCGAAATTGCTGGCACGGGCATGGCGCTGCGAGCCGCGCTGACCGCGTGGCACAAAGCCTATCTGGAGTCGACCGAGGACGGTGGCATTGTCGACGGGCGGGCGCATGAAGACGAATGTGGCCTGCTGACCAGACTCTTCTGGTCCGCCATCAGCATCTACCTGTCGGGCACTTTCGACTATGAGATGTACCACTGGCGACGTTTCGTGTTGGCGGTGCCGACGCTCGACGCGGTGACGGTGCGGGGGCACGTCGAGACCATCTTGTTGCTCGTCGAGCACGCGCTAGACCGGAGCAGTCTGTCGCCGTTGCTTTTTCTCTTTCCGTTGCGCATCGCGGGGGCACGCTCAACCCGGGCGCCAGCCGCACAGCGCGCGCGGGTGCTGCGCATCTTGGACGCGGTAGCGGAGCGTTTCGCCGCCGGGCAGGCGATTAAGGAGGCATTAATAGATGCATGGGTATCAATGGGCGTGGGAACGACCGATGATTGCTCCAAGGTTCATCAACTGATGTGCAGCAAGGGCTGAAAATTCTTTACTGGCTATGCCGCCTCCCTTGGCACGCAGCGTGTTTCGGGTTGCGTCATGAATGTCTCGGTGTGGTGTGTGCCCATGTGTCATCGGCGAGTTCGCCGGTTGGCGCATCTGAAACCCCGTCTGAGCAGGCGGCGCCCAGCTCGTGTTCGTACAGGGAGAGCTCACGCCACAGTGGAAGCTGCCGAAACGGCGTGGCGCCAGGTGCTAGATGAAAAAGCAGAGTCGCAAATGCAAGCACACACATGCATGACTTGTCGCAGTTATGCGTACGCTCTCGGCTCTCTGCTGTGAATTTAACGGTAAAACAAACACCAATGCCAAATTTGTTCCTTTGAATGGCGTATTGTCATGGTTGGGGACATGTGGCGTGAGCACTTGCAGAGCTGTATGCTTGGCAACGTGTGCACTCTTGCTTAACTTTGCGGGCATTGCCGCACGCTCAGATGCGGCTGCGAATCTAATTCGAAGGCGAGAGGGCGAGTGGAATATGCAGCCGATTAAGTAATAGATAAATCATTCAATGGCTTGTTCCGCATGCCCCGGAAAGGCCGTGGCTCCGAGAGTTCCATTCGGAAGGTAAACGCTAAGCCACCTGTAGCTGCTGGCATGACCTCACCATTGAGTAATTTAATTGTCAGCCACAGCCAGCGCTCCAGGTTCGACAGAAGCTCGACAGGCTGCTATTCATCCGTTGGTGGTGCAACGTGCCAGTGCGACTGCATCGAATTGACCGTTGTACCAGTACGTAATTAGGCGCCAGCAGAGCTGCGAACTAAGAAGCTAACGGCCGTTGATACATGCAATTGTGCACCTGCTGCATGAGGATTCGTTGAGCCGATCAAGACCCTAGCTGCTTGGTGGTGTGTGCCATCAATCGTACTCGGTAACTATACGGGCGAATCGGGTAGGAATCGAGCGGCGGCGCTGTGGCTTGGGGGATTTTCCCAGCTGTAGAGGAACGACTGGTAAGCCGGGCTGACGATTTGGGCCAGACTAGTGTGGTGAGTGTGAGCGGAACCGGCATTAAGCTCGCCCTTTGCGGCAAGAAGCAGGAAAACTTTGCTGTGTGGGTGTAGAGGGACTGGACCAGAGAGCGCCGTCAATAAAGAGGGGGATTGGGTCGCTGCGACGCTATGCTGGGCCAGGTGGACAATGGCAAATTGAATTGAAAGACGGCCGACGAGACGGATCAAAGTATCTAGATTATGTAAATATCGCAGCAGGCGTTGATGATCACGATGATGAAGAGAGCGGATGGTAATAAATAGACCAGAAGGAGACTCAAGAACTCGTTGCAGGAGACCCCACAGGTTGGCGAGAGAGGAGGAAAAAAAGTAGGGCCAAGAAAAGAGTGACGTCAATCATTGCGCCGGTTTAAGCATTAGGCACAGCTCGGTTCGCCGACTGAGCTGAAGACGGGGAACATGGCGAGTCGTACCAGCACAACGGAACTGCGGAACGCCAAAGTTAGGCGTCTACAGATCATTATGTATTGATTTCAATAATATCAGCATTGTTGAAAAAAATGCAAAGCTGTCTTTTTTCTTTACGTTCCAAGGCCATGAGCAATCCACTTATGGCACGCATCGGGCGCAGCTTTACCAGTACAGCTAGCGCCAGCCTGGAAACATCCCACTGTAGCTCCCCACTTGGAAACTCTGGCTAACTCCTTTCTAGGGGGCGGTGGTACCTGTTTTAGGGCGCCGGAGCCGGAAACTGAGCAAGCTCTGGGCGCTAACTAGATGCTGTAATTATATTAAAAAAAAACCTGCTTCCATCCTTGCGTCAGCTTGCGCACCGTCTCTGCCATTCCAGTCGGTCATCTAGCTTCTCCGTCTCCCCCCTCCTACCTACATACCTCCTGTTGTCCTACATTCGTACAGCTGCATCTTTATTCACTGTCTCTCTTACATCCGCATAAAACGCTCGCTCGCTCGAAAATCCGAACCGTCCTCCTAGAGACGGCTTCACCTGGCAAAGACACCCACACCTAGACGCACGCGCGCAACAACAAACACCGTCGCAATGGAAGGCATCTCCACCATTGTCCACGCCGTTCTCGTGGTGTTTCTCATCATTGAGCTGGGCCTGACTGCCTACTGTACGTAACCGTCTTCCATGCGCGCAGCAAGAGCTGCAAACGTCGCAATATTCCTGCGACTCGCATTCGCGACAGCAGCGTCACCATCAAAGGACTCAAACTAACGCGCGCGCGCGCGCAATCGCAGTGGTTGACCGATCCAACGGCAACGAGTCCCGCTTCAACTTCATGCTTTTCAACTCTATCTGGACTTTCGTCGTCGTCCTCTACACCGGCCTCGTCAAGCGCGTCTTCTCTGGCCTCTACCACGCCATCGTCGGCCTGGCCCTTCTCGCCCTTACAGCCATCTTTTGGTTTGCTGGCTCCATCGCCATCGCCGCCAAGATCCCCGTTAACTGCCACGGCGTACACGACTGCCAGGTCGCTCAGGCTGCCACCGCCTTTGGCTTCTTCCTCTGGGCCATCACGACGGGCCTCGCCGTCATCGAGGGCCTCGGCTCGCGCGGCGGAGCGCGCGTGTAAGCGGCGGTCAATGGACGAAGAGACGACTGCTTTTGGGGACATGGGAATGGCCGAGGCTACTTCGCACTCGACGCGCGCGTCGCTTGAGTACGGTAGAGCGCCTGGCCGCCCCTGTCTCGATTGCAGCTTGCGCGCCTGTACCTAGGACACTAATGATTGTACATGGTCTGTTGGATCGCCAAGGAGTTGCTTCTTTTATGTCCGCCTGGGCTGTCTGATTTACTTTTTTTTTTCTACCTAATCGGGATTATATGCGCGAGATACCCTCGAGCCGCTGTCTACGCGATGATGCGAGTACGAGTTATTCTTTTTGTTCTTGGATAAACGCCCTGGGTTTGAACGGGCACGGCTACAATGACGGGTACGACCACGGGAGTAGGCGGATTGGTTGGTTCACGGGAAAAGGGAAGAGCCCACCTAATGAGGAAGCTGATTGTCATGTCACGATACACAAAAGACGGCGTGCTTTATTCCCTGCGTCTTTACTTAGAATCTGGTAAAATATGTCATGTTATGTATAACTCCTTGATTGCCGATTCTACCCGAAGAGAGAAAAGCCCGTCACCTTGGATAATGAAACAAAGTACTGTTGTTCTACACTCCAAGTGACAGCGAGCCTGCCCACCAAACAGCAGCTTCGTCCTAACTTCCTGCGTAACCTCCCAGCTATGTCCCACCAGGTCCCCAAATGTCGCCATGCATTCGCCCTATGGCTTCGTCTGTGGACTTCGTCCCTGGACCCAGCAGGATCGCGACGCCCCTTGACCATGAGCCGCGCGAAAGCTGGCAGCGTTTTCCCGCGTCCGGCCGGGCCACGAACCAGTGCCCCCAACGAACTCTTGTAGTGCGTTTACTGCAAGGCAGATCAATGTATATAAATGATCGGTATGGGACTCGAACCCATCTTCACGGATGAAGCCGCCTGGCCGACCTGGAGAGGGCGATTACCCGTAACAAAAGCGGTAGCTCGTAACAAAAGCGGTTGCTCGTAACACAATGAATGATAGGGTTGCCCCAAAATAACAGCAAGCGTTGGCTCGTAACAAGAAAATAATATAGGGTTGCCCCTAAAGAACAGAGAGCACTGGCTCGTAACAATGAATATAGAAGGGTTGCCCCAAATGACAGAGAGCGGTCGCTCGTGACAAGAGAATATGATAGGGTTGCCCCCAAATAACAGAGCGGTCGCCCGCGACAAGAGAAGAAGATAGGGTTGCCCCAATGACAGTGAGCGGTCGCCCGCGACAAGAGAATAGATAGGGTTGCCCCAATGACAGTGAGCGGTCGCTCGTGACAAGAGAATAAGGTAGGGTTGCCCCCGAATAACAAAGAGCGGTAGCTCGTAACAAAAAGCAAGATGGGGTTGCCCCCAATCAACATCACCACCCCCCCCCCCCCCCTTTCACCATAACATCCCCTCATATCTTTCCCTAATACCATTCAACCTCCTCTACCTCGTCATAAGACGGCCAATCTTCCAACTCACGTTCTTGTGTCACATCAATATTCATACACTGCAGTGCAGGAATCTTGGTGGCGTTTTCGGCAATGTCGGCATTGGAAACGATTTTATAATCCTCCTCAACAATAGTAGAGGCGACGGGAGGAACAGCGGGAGCAGCAGTGGCGGCAGCGTCAGCAGCAGCAGCGTCAGCAGCAGCAGCGTCAGCAGCAGCAGCATCGACGGCAGCAGTATAAGCGGCAGAGGCGACAGTAGCAGCAGTCACAGCAGTAGCATACTTGGCTTGAGCGGCAGCAAGAGCCTCAGCACAAGCGGCAAGCTCAGCACTGGCAGCGGCAGCAGCACTAGCAGTAGTCTTGACAGCGGCAGCCCTGGCAGCTGCCGCTGAAGGAATTCCAGCAGGAGAAGGCGAAGGAGGAGGGGGAGGAGGAGGAGGAGTTGTAGAGCCGGCAGGGTTACCCTCTAGCAGTTTGCGCGCCCACTTTACAATTCGTTAGTCATTTGTTTGTATGATTTGTGTAGATTGGCAGACTAGGGTAGGGGCTTAACTCACGCGTCTCCTTGAAGCAACCTCGACCTCAACCTGGCGGCCGCGAAATTTCCAGCCACGGAGCTCCGTCTGAGCGCGAAGAAACGGCTCACGATGGTCGAAACCGACCTCGACCCTGCCTCGGTGCAGTTTGATGTGGGTGTCGCGGTCGGCAGCCTGCCAGAAGAAGTGCATGGCTGGGGGTTGCAGGGCATCCGAGGTCATTTTCTCACGGCAGGCTTGCTTAAAGTCTGCGCATGGGACCCTGTAGCCGATGCTTTTGATCACCAGCAGCCGATTCTTATCACGGAAAGGGGCCGTGGCCTGCTCAAACTGAACATCAATGGGGAAGTGTAACGACATTCCGCTAGAGCGTAGAGTATTAGTCTAATAGGGTTCACAGATACGAATGATAACTTACGTTGTTGTTTGGTGATGGTGGTATTGGTATTTGTAGTAGTAATAGTTGTTGTTGTTGCTGCTGTTGTTGTTGCTGGTGGTAGCTGGTGTTATTGATGATTTTGTAATGTTGGTGGTGAAAATTTTGGCCTCAGATGCTTCATATACTTGTGTGGATAACATGTGATCTTGTGTGCGCCTGTTTAGGGCTTTTGGAGTCCCTCCTCCTCCTCCTCACCTTCAGCTCACTTTCTCCTTACATAGGCAAGAAACCATGCCTGAGTTGAGCCCACAGCTGCATGGCTAACTCGGGTGTTTCTCTTCAGTTACAGAAGGGTCTCGTACCGCAGCAGGCTTTGCTGCATGTGATGATATCTCTAAGCGGGCGAAGTAGTAATTCAGGCCGACTTGTGCTCCTGCTGACGCTCATCGTCTTGATCTGATGGCCTATTTATGCATTATTACGTCCGTCGCAATGAGAAACGAACGTGACAACAAGTATATAACCAGAGACTCGCTGCCATTTGTTATTAGACGTCTCTGTATCATTTACGAGCCCAATCGTATCCTATGCCGTCGAATTGCTCCTCGACATGCAGTCGTCCGCTTTTGGCAGACGTATGTATGTCGTGAATTCGCCATACCTAGCTACGCGGAGCGTTCGTCTGAATGGATGCATTTTGCGTTTTAAAGATCACTGTAGCAATTAGAAGTATAGAGTATCGCCTTCATTCTTCCTTTTTTGCCGAAAAAGATCTATTTTGTTCGACAAGAATGCTCTGTTTGTTTGCTCCAGGATATGTGTTGCTTTTCTTCTACGTTGTCCTACTCCAGGGCATCTTGACAGCCGCACTGTTGCACCCGCGGGTATTTCTCCTTTTGAGATGCTGCACAGACAGCAAAGACTACAGCAATTAGAAACTCAATTTTTTTTGGAATTAATTACTAGTAAAATAGAACCGAAGACGGCATCATTGAATCAGCTCGCTTCACCTTTCGCTCATTTCCCTGCCGGGTAGGCTGTTATTGACATCTCCACGGGCCACGACAAGCGTTTATCTTGGAGAGATTCTAGTGGAGACAGAAGGTACCTACGCTAGCGGGCCAAGTTGGGTGGGCTCAAAAGTACAGATCGTCAAGAGGATCGGCATTACCTGATTGGACGCCATTTCCCACTGTCTTACCAGGACTTGCCCACTTGGGAAACAGGGCTTGCGCTACAGCCAAATAGTTGTCTACCTTATTCGTGACACTAATAACAGTAATTGTATTCACTACGCTGCAGGATTGCAATTGTAAAGAATCCTCGCTTCAAAAGAGTTGAGCTGATAGATAATGCTGAGGTCTAGTGAATGGATTCAATTAAGCGAGGGCTCAGATGACCACGTGGCTACGCACAATTTCAGGTGAAATTCTTGCGACTTTCTACGGAAAAGGCATACATACTGGGTGTGGTGCGTTTGTTTTATATGCCTGCCGGGTACCCCCTTGGCAGTACCTACACCAGCCTAGAATACAAGACTTACCCATCACACTCAGTAAACACACCAACAAATCATAAACATACACAAACACACACACACACACACATACGAGCTTTTCTCTTTCTTAAGCCGACATGGCAACCATAATCCCCAGTATCGCCAAGATCGCCCGCAACCAGGCCACTATGGCCGATATCCAGCATCTCGAGGACGCAGATGTGAGCCCCTTCACTGGAAAGGCATGGCCACAAGGCAGAGAGGCAAGTCCCAAAGCTACCTTATCGTCTCGTCATAAATATCTACTGACTAACACATGCTCACAGTCCCTGCTCAAAGACCGCCGCAAGTTGCCCGTCTACGGGAGCGCTGCCGACCTTCTCGAAATGTATCACCAAAATCAGGTGATCATCTTGTCAAGTGAGACCGGCGCGGGCAAGTCAACCCAGGTGCCGCAGATACTCGTATATGATGAGTATGGCAGCAATCTCTTGATTGCTTGTACCCAACCGCGCAAGTTGGCGGCTAAAACACTGGCCCGGAGGGTGGCCCACGAGATGGGTGTGGCGGTTGGCGAGACTGTTGGCTTCCAAGTTGCTGGCGAATCATGCATAACTCGAAAAGGCAATAATACCACCCGTCTGTCGTTCATGACGGAGCAGGTCTTGGTCAACCAGGCTATCGATGACCCGGATTTCTCAAAGTACGCATGCGTCATAGTTGACGAGGCCCATGAGCGCACCATGCAGGCGGATACTCTGATGGCTCTGCTCAAAAGAGCATTGACTCGCCGCAAGGACCTAAAGGTAAATGAAACTTACAGCGCGGATCAATTGCTGTTAAGAAAGTACTAACACTAGGCAGGTTATCATCATGTCTGCCACGATCAATGCAGAGAAATTCACACAGTACTTTAACAACTGCCCCGTCCTCCAAGTTCCTGGTGTAAGTTTACACAATCTTGTCTTGTGCCACAGCAAGCTAAACGAATTTTCTGCAGCGCGCGTACGAGGTCGACATCCGACACATCGAACCGAACGGAGAGACTAATGACTATGTGATGCTTGCGGCAAACGTGGTGGATTACATCCACAAGAACGAGGGTCCCGGTGACATTCTCGTCTTTGGAACAGGACTGTCTGATATAACAGAAATCGCTAATCTCGTTCGTCACTGTACTCCCGGCGTCGACGTGCATCTCCTCATAGCGTCTCTATCCTGGGAGGACCAAGAACAAGCTCTCAACTCATCAGGTCCCAATCGGAAGTGCATTGTCTCCACCAATGTGGCAGAGACCAGTTTGACAGTCAATAATGTTGTCTTTATCATTGACACTGGGCTGTCGAAGCAGGCAGTCTACAATCCTCGACTGCGTCTACATATGCTCCCGACGCGTCCAATCTCGCGCGCTTCTGCGATACAGCGTGCAGGAAGAGCAGGCCGAACCGCCAACGGAGTTTGCTTTCGGCTGTACACGGAGAAGACCTTCAATCAGTTGGAGGAAATGACAGCCCCGGCCATGTTGACTTCGCCGGTAGATGATGTTCTGCTCACGCTCCTTGCTATTGGCGTTACCAAGCTCGTCGACTTTGACTGGCTTGACATTCCGTACCCGGATATGTTTGCCAGTGCACTCCAGGATCTTCATCTGTAGTATGTTAATCAATCATGGGGAAGCCTAAGTTTGAGAATCCACGCTGACAGATACTGCATAGCGGTCTCATCAATGATGAAGGCAAACTCACCAAGTCTGGCATGACGGCTTCGACAATTCAGCTCTCCCCCGCATGGTTTCGGGCCGTCGAAGAAGCTGCTGCCACATCCTCTGGCTCCATCGACATGATTGACCTGGCGGTGGTGTGCAGTTCGCAGAAGTCAATTTTTCTTCGACCCGCTGGACATGAACAAGTCGCCGATCTTGCTCGAGCCATGTTTCAGTATGCTCCTTCCGACCATCTTACTCTGCTGAATGCGTTTCACCAGTTCGAGAGAGCCTTGGAAAAAAGCAAAAGCAACAAAGACTTTAGCTTGCAGGACTGGTGCAACACGCATTACCTCGACATCAACGTTCTTGAAGAGGTTCTTCAGACACGGGCCATTGTTGTACGTCAGTTCAAGAAGACCGACATCCGCCCCTCAACTGCAAACATCAGAAGCTTCGACTTCATCAAGGCCCTTGCCCGGGCTTTCTGCAACCAAATTGCGTACCTTGACAACGATAGCTATCGCACAGTCAATACGCATGTAATGGCACGTCTCTCCGCTCATAGCTGCCTTCTCAATGACAACGCCGTTTGGGTTATGTATACCAAGCTCTCTATGACAGGAAGAGACGTTGAAATGGATACAGTCTCTATCATCAGCCTTGATTGGCTTCTGGTGAGTGCCTCGTTGTCATTTCATCAATTCGAGCGTCGACAGCTAACATAGACATAGGATCTGCCCGCGTTTCAGCTGGATGCCTTGGCCAAGAAGTACAACGGCACCGCGCGTCAGCCGTTTGTACACGAGTCAATTGAGGCTGCCAAACGCGTTGAAGCTGAAAAGGCCACACCTGCCGCAACGGAGGAGTAACTCTCGGCTGTAGTAGGATAGAGGCAAAGTAGTAGAAAGGAGAAGCAGGAATAGCATCCAGAATAGAAGCAAAGAATAGAATAAATATGGACATTTGATGGTTTGTGGGTAATGAGTCTTCCTCGCCGGAGGCATTTACTTAATCTGATTTCAAGCAGAGCGGGCTGTTTTTTCTCACCAGCACGCAATATAGCTACGTTTATGATTAATTATTGCTGGATCACTTATAATGGAGCCTCTGCAATTTATCATTTTCCTTTCTTGTGCCCTGTCAGAGATTCTCCCTCACGCGTCAGGTGTCTTGGGATACGGGCGCCGCGTGACCCTACCTAGGTATCTTTGGGCAAGGCATTCACCAATGCAGTGTTCGCTGGCCCCTACCTACACGGGAGGGGAGTGTTTTCTGACATGCCTTCTGACAGATTCTTGTGGGTAATATTATTAATAAGGCATGTTACGGTGTTCGGGCTTCTAAGATAGGATGTTAGAAGTTTCTTAATATGCTAAAAAGTGTGGTTTGCTTACAACATACCTAAAAAATATGCCAGATACCTAGTAAAATATGTCAGAGGGCATGTCAGAAAACCACCCCCTCCCGCGTAGGTACCTATCTAGGTACCTAGGTACCTAAGGTAGCTTTGGTGCACAGCGCTGCTGCCACACACAGTTACGCAAACGCAACGAAACGCATCGCACAAAAACATCCTCAAAAAAACCTTTCTTCTCGATCTTTTCAAGAAACATACCTTTTTTCAAGCAAGTGAATGTGTTGATTCATGATCACGACTACATTCTAACATCGAACAGAATGTCAACGCCTGTCACCCAACTCATCGAGGCGATCGAGTCCTTCCACCTCTCGGATGGCCTTGGCGAGAATTGGGAGCAAAAGGGTTCTGCATCAGACAGCGTCCATCGCTACTTTGCCGCCCTGCCGGATATTCACACCTATTACCAGGCGATTGGTGTACCCTCGCACTTGCCTTCGAAAAACGGACTCCTCATGCAGGGCCATGGGTACGCGAGTACAATACCCGGCGGGACTGCAGAGAAGAAGGCCCAAGTCAATGCCGAGTTTATATATATATTCCGAAAGGTCGACCCAGCGAAGCCGTTCGACCAAGTTCCCCACCAGTGGACGGCAGTGCTGCGAGTCGAGAACTCTCGTAGACCGTTCGAGGATGAGACGTGGGCGATTGCATGTGTCCCACTGGAAAAGGCTGCTGCTCTGGAGACGGAAGGATGGGAAGTCTAGATAACTTCCTTTCCCGCGTTGAAGATGACACCAAACGGTTATAAAGACACTCGCAACCACACAGAGCGACCTCGCGACATCGACACGACTGACGAGCCACTGAAAGATGCCAAGAAATATCTTGCCATCGGCTACAGTCTCATCCAACATTATACGGATGCTGATTGGAGGTCTGGGAACCCCCTCCGTGGTGATGGCGAATCCCCTGGTGTACGAAGCTCGACAGGTCACATCCCGGTTTACACCCGACCATCCCGTGTGCCTTGGCTGGGGTAATTATGACGAGTTTCTTTCCCGGCAAGCAGCTGGCCGTACTGTTCGTAAAGATATGGTGAAGGAAGAGGAGTGGAACGTTGACCGGGACACGACCGTCAAATTTGTCAACAAGGATGGCCAAGTTGTCTCCACTGTTCCGAACAATATCCCCAAGGAGCACTTCCCACAATGTCAGGAGTTTCCAGTGTCTCTTTATTACGAACTAACGCAAGGCCAGAGGAGAGGCTTCCAGCGGGGTCCCGAGACGTCGGCTATGTCAAATCAGGCGAGCTGAATTAAATGAGGTAGCGAATGGTCTGGCTACTCGAGACAATGTTATCAAGGCAACTCGTTTGCTGTATTGATTCGATTGGGAAAACACAGTCTTGTTTCTTATTACGGCCATCCAGCCAATGTTACGAGCAGCCCGCTTCTGTTACGGACAACCGTCCACCCTGGCCATAGAGATGAGCATGCATGATCTGTGGTCGCGTGGGGGAGGAGTCAACTAATAGTCCTTCTTGTTATGAATGAAATTGTCTTTTAGGGCATATGACGCCCCCTAAACTTCTTTTTTTCACCTGCTGTCTCGTGTGCTTGTATTATGAATTACAGAAGAACCATTATTGAAGCCCGGTCCGTCCCGCCGACATGGAGGCGACGCCCCCCATCACACTAGAATCCACAAGGTGGACCACGGGAAACCTAAAGGCTAAAGCCAAACCTTAAAGACAAATACAGAGACAGCACTCGTTATGTGGCTACTGGCTGATGATGGCCACGGCGTGCGCCAGATACATCTAGACAAGAGGACTACAAGCCAAGGCGTTGGTTAACATTTTGTTGTGTAATAGTGGCCAAGTCAACTGAAACTGAAGTGAAAAAGTAGTGGACCCGGGCGCACAAAGCTGCGGCAAATTTTTCTTCTTTAAAAAGCAATGTAAATTAAACTCAAACCAACTTCGACAATAGCAAGCAAACCCAGACAAAGATCCGTCTTACTTACATCTCGACAAAGCCCAACGTGCCCAATCCTGAGAGTCAGCTCTTATCCCGACATTACGGATCTCTTTTGCCAACTTCCCTTATCTTCATTATTCTATCAACCAGAGGCCGTTCACCTTGGAGACCTGCTGTCCATTTTTTCCCGCAGATTTTGAAGGGACGTCGAGAACGCACCGAACCCAGCAGAGATGGCGGGCTCTTCCGGCCATTAAACCCCAACTTCGTATAAGTGACTTTTCGTCCTTATTACATCTCTCAGAACCCCTTTTCAAATTTCGCCTTCTACTACAGACATCATGGCCGAGGAAGAAGGTAGCTCATCCGTGGGAGCTGACGGCCTGTACTCAAGGGCCGCGTACGTCGACACGCCCGCCATTCCTGACTACCAAACCCTACACGACAATACTCCTGCTGTTCAACAGATCAAAGATCTGTACTGGGACAATCGTTGGGATTTTACAAAATGGCACATGGCTTTATTCTACATGACCTCAAAAGACCACCTTGCAGATTTGGCTGAAAATCCTGAAGCAGCTCGGGAGTATGGTAATGGTGCTGAGCTCTTTCGCGCTCTTTGTATGTACTTCGCATCTGCAAGCCACAAAAAGGTTACTCAAGAGATATATACTAACGCTTCCATTAGTTAATTTCGGCCGTATCCCTGCCTCGTACAAGCTTCGAGCTCCTCATGCCAGTGCGGCGGTGAACTTGGCGCCACCAAGTGCCTCAGTCACGTTTGACATCTCGGCAGGCGCCTCCAAGTCTCGTGATGCCAATGAGGCCACCCAGGATAGACTCAAGAGGAAATCCTCCGTTATTTCATTGACTGGAACTTTGAAGAAGAAGGCCACAGACTTCATGAAGCGCAGCGAAACCCTCCGATCCTTGAGGCGGTCCTCGTCTAGCAGTGACTCCAGTCCTCACCCGTCGACCAACACAGGAACGGGGCCCCCTGCCCCTACCGCTCCGTTAGACAAAGGAAAGCGTCCCGTGACCCGTTCAGCTGCTGCTGCTGCTGCAGCGCGTATGCCTCACGATACGAATCAGATCAACAGCGCACAAAGAGGAGAAACCGCACGGCACGAAGGATCTCACCAAAAAGCACCAGCCTGTATGCATTCTTCTGATGTACCGCCTGCCATACATAAGCGACGCAAATTTGAAGAGGTAAGTCATAAAAAGCCGCCTTCTAAGCCTTTTTCCACCAGCGATCAAGGCAATAAAATCTATTGAATCCATGATGATGATGCTAATACTAATATAACAGGTTCAAAAGCGTGACCGTCAAGGCTGCGTCGTGACACATAAAGCAAAGCCCTTCGAGGGCGCCCATATAGTGCCATTTGCCGTCAACTCAACCGAGGCCGGCCTTGGCTACCTGCCTCCCGCCCTTGCCATTGCGGAGCGTCTCTTAGGAGAGTCGTTTGGACAGACCATTCGAAGAAACTTAGACACTCTTGGGGGGACAGACCGTCCCTTCAACATCATTACCCTGACTCCTTATTTGCACCGATTATGGGATGCTTATGGTTTTATTGGTTTCAGACCCTGCTATATTGATGCTGAGCAAGACAAGTCCGGCAAAACTCTATACTTTGCCACGTTTACATTTCACTGGCTTTTCAAGAACGCCTTGGATGGGGACGTCGATCTTGGGAAGAATATCACAGCGCACGACTGCTATATGATGGTTGAAGAATCGACTGAGTTCGCCGCCGAAAAGGACCGCTATTTCGAAACGGTGTATACGCCGGGCAGAGAACCACAGCGACTGCAGGATGGACACGTCTGCCGAGTCGAGTTTGAAGACAGAAGGCTGGCAGAGCGTATGATGGTGATGCTAGATCTTCGTTGGCACGCCTCACGTCTTTTGCGCCTGTCTGGGAGAGCTGGGGACGACTTTCTCAAGCTCGACCCCAATGATGATGACAGCGACTCCGACGGTTATTATCTTGTCTTTGATGAGGAGGCCTCCAGGGGCGTCTGGGGTTCTGACTATTAGAAGGGCCGTCTCAATGAACAGCAGGAAACGGGGTAGCAGTAAACCTCAAGTCCAGAGGCCTCAAAGCCCAGACCCAAGTGGGGCCAAGAGCGGCAGAAAAATGAAGCGGTGTTGCAGGTGCTCTGCAGATGCGCTTCAGTAGTCAATCAACAGCCAGTCAATCAGCAGCCAGTCAATCAGCAGCCAGTCAATCAGCAGCCAGTCAATCAGCAGCCAGTCAACCAGCATGTCAAAGAATGCGGCTAGCACGAAGAAGATGGAAGGAGAGGTAGCAAGAAAGTCGCTGTGGCGTAGCTAGTAAATAGCAGGTAGTTCCTAATAATGACTTTATTGATCACTGGAGGAGGAAAGTCCCCCTCCAGTCGCACTTCGCAGCGTTCTCGCTTTTTTATAGCTACTTATTCGCATGTGACTTAATATGGGTCGTGACACAGCAGCCAGTCAATCAAACGGTCAATCAACGGCCAGTCAATCAGTCAGTCAATCAACAG